ATAATAATTAATATTTAGTTACTTGATTTGATATATTTAATATTGACATATATTTTATATTGCTGCTGTTTAGACCCCGGCTAACTGGAGGAAGAGATATTGTATCTCAATGGGATCGAAACAGTAAAACAGTGAGCTGAATAATACTGTATTTTTTTCAGTATTCACACAGTGCTTTGACAATATTGTATCTCAGCAGGGTCACGGCAAAAAAACAATTATAATTCGAAAATTTGAAATTTTATTTTCTAAAAAAGGCAAAAGGCTCCAGAGTCCATGAAAGAACATGAGGTCTCCTGCATGGAAAAGCAGCGGCGGCAGGGAAGTAAAGGGGACATTCATGTGGTTATTTTTACCCGGAGCATCCAGATTAAAGAACAGCTTTTAAAATGAAAGAGCTCCACATGCCCATATTTAGTGTCTGAACCAGGACTTGGAGACACAGCCACATTTTCCTTTTCTCTCTCCCCCCCCAAAACTTAATGCATCTTATCTGGACTTACTGGCTTTTAAACCTGGAGCGCTGCCCGTTGTAACAAAGCTTACGTTTCACATACGCGTGTAAGAGACCACCTCCAGTGAAATAACTCCAGGAGCTTTTTTTCATTAGTGCAGCCAGAGCGCTGTGTGGCTCTTTTGTTAAAACCACAATGATACAACAAGAGGGGGAATAAGTGCTGGTTGCAAAAAAACAAAAACATTGGAACTTTTCATACCGCTCTTGATCTAAGAGTTTAACCCTTCAACTCCATCCCTGTTTAACACTGACTCTGACCTCAATACTGTCCCAGATTCAACTGCCTGCCAGCATATGAATGCTATATACCAGTGGTTCCCAAGCCTTCTTGATTTTGAGGTGTGATGGAAAGCTTAAAAAATATACACAGTAGGTGTACGTCAGCATTTGGTTCACTTTTTAAGAAAAGTAAATTGTTAAATAATAATAGAACAATGTCTAAGTGTCAGGGACAAGAAAACAAGAAATAATCTGCTCAAAATTCATCTAAATAACTTGTTTTACACAAACTTCCTGCAGTTACTGAGTTCACTGTTAAGGTTCAGCGTACAGTTTTGAATATAATGTGAAATATCCATAAAATAAATCACTAAAGCCGGGGTCATCAGTTAACTCTATGATAGAAAAAGGTTGAGAACCACTGCTACATACAGTGCCACGGTAGTGAAACAAGGCTTATCTTATCAGTCAGCTTCTTAAAGAGAAACACTTGAGATGTGAAATCTAGATTGTGTTTATATTCCAGTCTGACTAACAGAGTAGGAAGTGTAATCCTTTTTTATAAGCAATCCCCAAATTAGGCAAGGAAAGGTTTAATGCCCTGTTCGTGTCACATGGGAATTACTGTAATCACCAGTTTCTGACTTGTAACTGCTGCTCACATTCAAGTCAAACTCTGGGAAACAACTGGGAATAACATGGCAGAGCCTGAATAGGAGAACAAACATGGACATCGCGCGTCATCTAAGGTCTGTTCATGGTAATTAAACCCAAACTTTAATGGACACCAGGCTGTACTGTCAACACACCGCTTTGTCGAGTCGGAGAAAACCAGGACAAACACTGTTGGACAGAGAGGGTCTACACTGAATACAGTCTTTGGGCGCAGAGGAGTTGATTTGTCTCTTGTGAGTCACTAAATTAAAGAGCCCTCCCGTGGGTTCTCCTTCGTGGTGAAAGTCAGGAACCTACATTACTCACAATGCAACCCAATCACAGATCACAAATAAAGGAATATCTAATCTAATCTAATCTAATCTAATGTAAACCAACGTATCAGTGTTCATCACCAGCTTCTTCTTTACTTCCACAGACTGTATAATTAAAAATGGAGGTAGTTTCCGTGACGTCACCCGCAGGTTTCTGAAGAACCGCTGTGAAGCTCAGGATGGTCGGCCCGGCTAATCCAAAAATGGGCAAAGACGGGGAGCGAGCAACCAGCAACCAGCAACCTGTGACCCATGCCCTTAATTATGCATAACTGTAAAACTTTATATAATTTAAATGGGTGAGACCAAAAGTGTTTATTGTACCAGGCTGTAAACGGGTTTATTTCTGCTTTAAAGTTGGGTTGGTTGAAAAGTTGAGCTTGACTCAAACTGGGGGTTAAATAAAGCCCTCATATTTAACGTTTGGTATCAGATCATTTACAGTCAGTGAGTGCCTCTCTGAAGTCTCAGACCTCAGCAGCCACTGTGTTTGTTAAATGTTTTGCTCTCTCAAGCCTGAACTGAAGCTAGTTTCACTTCCTGCTCCCTGTGTTTTGCCTTTAGTTAACATAAAGTTGAATTTAGGTCGTGTGACCAACAAAAACACACACTGGTTGCCTTATTGTACGTTCAGGATCACTTTTTTCTACAAGCATTTTAACCTCATAGTCACTGTTTCATGTCATATCCAATGTGTCAGAGCACCAAACCAATGAAGAACATGTCACTGCTCACACTTTCTGATTGCCATTTCTGTAAAACACAATCAGTGCAGGTTTCCTTCCTTCGCTCACCTGCTCGCTCCCTGTGGGACGCCCTGGAAGTATTTCAGCGGCAGGATGTAGATACACAGCAGGGAGAAGGCGGTCAACACACCGAGCAGCAGTCTCTTCTGGAGCGCCATCCCCGTCAAGGAGTGCGTGACCGGCAGGCTGCGTGTGCCCGCTCTGCCCTCCGCTCCGCCTGAAGGAACATGAGGAGGCAGAGGATGGAGCCTGAGGAGGCAGGCGAGGATGCTGTCTCCTCCACAGGACAGTTTTCTGGGGGGGTTTCTTTGGTCAACCAGGCAAGGAAAGGCAGGGTGTTGGTGATGGTGGGGATTTAATTAGCCCACAACAGGATCTGGGCTCCACTCTAGGCTTCTGTCAGCACAACTACAGTGGGAGGGAGATAGAAGGAGAGAGTTGGAACGAAGGCAAAGACTCGGGGGGGGGGGGGGGGTGGAAGGGGAAACTTTATCTTTCTGCGTCAACAGAGTCCCAAATAATCCCTTTTTAATGAAACCTTTGAACACAAAGTGCAGGGCCACAATCTTCATATCCTTTTACACTCTGCTTTTATTTATTTTTTTGCTTTCATGATCTCCTTTTTGCTCTCGCTGCTTTTCTAACACACAAAAGAGGAACCACTGTAGCTACAGACATCAATATAAAAGGCAACATTTTGGCTGCTACTCACAAGCTGACCGCTGTAGAAAAAAAACTAAAGTCAGCTGCAGCTGATGGGCCATAAACAATGTAGGAAGCCACAATCAGACAGGAAACATCTTACTTTCCCCTTCCTGCTGTGGTGGTCTCAGACATTAGCATACACACTGAACACCGTCCTCTCTCCACTTCTCACCTCTTTGTAAGTAGTGTAACAAACAGAGCCCCGAGGCCAGGCGCTGAAATCTGCTCTCTTAACTTCTCTTAAGTCCCGAGCTGCTCTCCGAGGTCCACGCAGTCCTCGAGAGTAATCACTTAATAACTGGGTGAATACGGAAAATAATAACAGCGCTGGTGACAATGTGAGGGATACAGTTTCCCAGGCTTGTGTAGGTACTCCTGTCTGAGGCTAAATGGGGAATGGAAAGAATGTGTTTGCAGTGATCCAGTGATAAACTCAGCCCCCATGTCTCTGATAACAGACATAACAGGAGGGAATTAGCATTTTTACAGGCAAAGAAAACTGTTTATAGCTGAGATTTCGACTTCAAATAAATGTCATAAACATCTCTAACATGGCTGACAAAGAGTCAGAACAAAATGTAAGAGGGGAAAACCACATCAGACTGTGACACAAATCGTGACTCAATCTTTTTCCTCCTAGAGTCAGAGGGCTCTACTCTCTTGTGTCTGTTTGTGTTCCTGTCTAACGGAAACAGAGCTCAAGTCAAACGTGACACAAAAAGACCAAATAAAGACAAAAAGTGTGTGTCCTCTCACCGGCAGAAAATCCTCTGTGTTCTGTGGTTCCAATCTTTCCTTCATGATGGCTGTAACGGAGACATATTCCTCTAAGTTGGGAGCTCTGCTGCTCATCTAGAGTGGAGTGGCTGCACTGCCAGCCTCTGCACTGTATGGGCGGGACCATTGTGAAATGAGCAACAGCTGCTGGCAATTGGTCAACCCCCTCAACTCCGGAGTATGAGGAGGGGTGGGGGAGAGAAAGAAGCCCACTCCAGGCTGCAATAAAGTTAGACATGAGCAGGCAGCTCTAAGGATCTCTGCTATGCTCACAATGTGTGGATCACAACACAATCCTGACAGACAGGAGACAGGAGGGGGGACACACGCACATGTATGACTGCATATACGCACAGAGGTGACAAGCAGGAACACGCAAAGGGAAGAGAGACTTCACTCTCTGCCTCATCCAGTGTCACTCCATCCACCCAGCCCTCCAACAGCCAGCCAGTCAGCCGGGACCGTCCGAGCCAAGTGAGAGTCAATAGCCGGTGCGCCTCTGCGGGGCTCAGTTTCCTCTGTGAAAAAGAAAGGAAATACGCTGAAAGGCGAGACACGTTTCAGTACGCGCCACCGGTTGCTTTGGAAGTCCAGAGGAAGTGAGCTAGCTGGAGGGCGATGGAGGAAAAAAAAGAGGGGGGAAGGAGGAGAAGAAGAAGTGGGTCAGCTCTGGACATTATTCCAGATGTATAGGCTGAAGCATCCCTGGGGTCGTTTAACTCGCCTCCATAAAGACAGCAAAGAGGAAGGAAGTACCGCAATTAGAGAAGTGTGGCAACCATATCTATTCATCAGAAAGCGTTGACATATTGGTTTACAGATATCTCAGGAATCAAACTGCATTTTAATTAGCAGTGAATCATTTCAGGATCCAAACCTACAATTTGGGCTCATAACTCAGATTCCACAGGGTACTGACTAGATGTGGTTGAAGACACTTGAGTGAGTTATGGTCTGAGAGAGTGAGGGATGATGGGAGGGCGGGGAGCAGAAACAGGCGAACAATTGTCTGTTTTCCCACAGCGAACAGAAAAGAGGAACACAGCGTGTCTTCCCAACAGTCTTTGCTTTTTATTCTTTTTTGCTGACAGATCAGTCACCATCTTCTTCACAGTTGTTCGAACCATCAGCCTGAATAACAACAAAAACTAGACTAACACAAGATCAGAAAACAGTGTGTGCAAGAGCGACGCGTTCGGGCAGAGGGTTACACGTGTAGAACAGCTGGAATGGTTTGTACACAAAGTTACAAATGGAAAAAACAACAACAAAACAAACAAGGGCGCCTTGTGTGTGTGTGTGTGTGTGTGTGTGTGTGTCTGTGGGTCAGCTTAGGTCAGAATGGGAGGAATGGTGGTGGCACACAAACACACACGCACAAAGGCAAGGCTCAGTGGCGCTTGTAGGACGGGCATGCGCGAGGAATGCCAACTCGCATCGCCACCCTCCCGGGGGTTCGAGGCCGGCGGCCCCCGTCTGCTGTGCCAACACCAGCAGAGCAGCGGGAAAACTACGAGGCCTTCGGGGCCTCCACGTCAAAGTCCTCGTGACTCACAGTGAATCTCAGTTAGTGAGTGTGAAACCGACAGTGACACGCTTTAACCAGTTCCTCCCTAAAAGGCTTTTATCTCCTTTTGCTTCTGTAAGGAGGGTTGGAATCGATGTGAATGTTTGGTTTATTGGTTAACAATCACTCTAATTTAATGCCTCTGAGGACATAAAGCTGGACTACATTAACCCTTCTGCTACGCTACACTTCATATGAACCCTTTACATTGCGGCTCGGACGACTTCCATGTCAGAAAAACCTGACATACTGTATTTAAACCATCTAAAAATGGCATCGTTATAGCTTCACCCCGGCAGTTATCAGTTCTGCCAAGTAACTGTTTAATGTTCTTGTAAAAAGAATTAAAAACACTTAACGTGTTGACTAGCTTTCAGAAACTTCACTTCAAATCTTTGACCTTTCTGTGGACCAATAACACTACAAAGGTCACGTAAGAGTGCTGAATTGGAAAATAAATAAAAAAAAAGAGAGAAAACAGAATAAATAGCTTCTGAAATGAGGTCTAATTTGGAGGCCTTTACAATCACATCCGAGTGCGGTCTCTCGCATCACGTTGCGCCTAAATAACAGGCTTTACTTCCAGGTTTAGAGTTTCTCTCTGCAGCACAAACTCTTGTTACAGCCCCCCCCCACCATCACCACCCACCCATCACTAACTCATGCTATGGAGCTTTCTCTCTGAAATCTTATCCACAAAGACTTTCTGTGTCTGTGAGAGGGGTTTCTGAATATCTCCAATCGTTATGAGGGTTAAGAAATTAGAAAAGTAACGTGAGAAAAAAACAAAACAGAATGAAATACATCGTTGGAAGTGCAGAGAGGTGGGGGCTCCTGAGAGAATTACAGAACAGAGCAGGAAACACAGATAGTTTACATTTGTGTGTGGCTCGAGGCCCCCCCCCCCCATTTTGCCTGTTGAGTTTGATGTGTCTTGTCACAGTGCAGCCTCTGAATCAGGCACCTATATGGCTTTTAAAATACCTCTGGTCACGTGTCTCGTGCCCCCTCAACCCTCCTACCACCCCACTCTGTCCCAGCCCTACTTTCCTAATCCTATAAACATTTTCTATGTGCATTCCTTCTTCCCTCCACCCCCCCCCATCCTCCTCTTCCTTCCTCACATTCAGAAACACGTTCTACAATCATCTGTCTTCGACCTCAAACACGCCATCAGACGTCCCGCTCTTCCTCGCTCGTCTTCCTTTAATTAGCCCACACTTCCTTTCATGGCTCTCTCTAACAACCTCCATCAGCTCTAACTGAATCAGACACACACAACAAGCTGGTCTCAGGGCTGTAGCGAGGGAGAGGTTATGGATCCTGTAATTAGCACTCGCCTGGAGGGGGGCACTGGGACTAAACACATGACTCGGCAGATAAAAGGGGGGCACCTGGAGTTGACATGGTGCAGACAGAAGCTCATACTGTAGCTCTGATGCTGATCCATGAGTCCATGGTTGTAAGTGGTCCTCCACAAAGAGCAACCCCAGCCCACTTTACACCAGTGCAGGCCTGGGCTGGTTTCAGTAACATCTGGAACAGTTCTCTGTGGCAGCTCTGTGGGGAACATGGAGGCATTCCTGCTCCCACAGACTGCAGGGGGGAGGGGGGGAGGGAGGGAGGGAGGGAGGGACACAAACCGCAGCAATCCTCCTATGGAAGGGGAAGAAGAAGAATGACAAGTCCATCCATAGTCTTTTCATCTGGTGCCACCTGGTCTGTGGCGTTTAAATTAGGGACCTTACAACACAACACAACACGCTCCTTCATGCCTGGGGGGGCTATACAGTGAGGCCCAGTGCATTTCCCCATTTTGTGTTTTTCAAATGAGGTAGGACAAGGTTCAGTCACTTGTTCAAGCCTCTGAAGTTCCACAGGTTCAGTCTTGCTGGCAGGAACAACATCCAAAGGGGGGGAGAGAAAATCAGGAAGAGCGTCACAATGGATAGAGCTCAGAGCGGAGGGAGAGCGCGGACCACGGAGGCTCAGAGAGGAGAGGTCCACACGGATCAAACCAGGTTCCAGACGGTCACTTCTCCAGGAGCTGCTTCCTCTGCTGTTCCCACAGGGCCTCCAGGTGATCCGCCCTCTTCAGGGCAGCCTATCAGAGGAGAGCGCCACATTAAAACACTGCGACAAAGAAAGTATAAAAGCTTTCTTTTTAAGCTTAAGTTCAGATGTAACTTGCTAGCGAACGATTGATGTAGATTAGCTCGCTAGTTAGCTAGTGAGCTTTTATTTTTTCAATACAAGAACATTTCATTACATTTGAAGAATATTTGGCTTGTTTCTAGAAGCGCTGTTTTTGCTGCCTGTGCTTCATCAGGCCGCTCACCTCATGCTGCTTCCGGAGACAACTGACAGTTTCTTCCTTCTTCAAGATGGCCGACTTCACTCTGGCAAATCACAGAAAAGAAGAAGTTAATAAGAGCTCATTTCTTAGCAAAAAAAAACAAGGTTGTGATATTCATTTGCTGTTTTCACTTCCCGTCTGAACACACCAAACAGTGGTTAAATACTTTGCTCCACCGATGGCGACTGTCAACAGCAGGGCTATGAAACACCACAGGAGGCACTATTTCCTCCTGTTTGAGTAACGTCCAGCTTTTAGGAAATGACCGAAACCTTTTTTTAGAGGCGTTCTTTAAAGAAGAGGCAGAGTGTCCCAGAGGGGGGAGGGAAGCCAGAAAGTGTTGAGAGACCGACTAACATGTGCCTGTGCTTTAATTACATTCAATTACATCATACAATGACATTTTAGACAGTTCCAACTTTGTGTCAGAGGCTCTGGAGTGAAATGACACCTACAGGGCAACATTCAGGCGTCTGAATACTTTTGGCCATATAATGTAGATGTCATATAATCTGCTCATATAATAATCCACTGCTGAGGGAGCTGGAAATGCCCCATTGAATTTCACATTGACAGTAATCAGGTCATCTTCAGGATTAGCCCAAGCCTCCCCTCTGCTCATATTTCTCTTCTTTTAGAAACTGGCAGACACCCAGTGGAGGGCTCAGGTTTTCACCTTTACTTCATTTTGAACTGCAGCTTTAAAATGTTAGCCAACATCCTTTTTTTTTACACCTTGGACAAAACAGACTGTAAGCAGCCAGTTGGCCCCCACCAATACTTAAATAATAGAGACTTCCGCTGACCTACATCCTGGAACAGTCTTTGCTTTTGATTGTTGATTTACAGATAGTTTTGTGGAGTTTGGGCGGGGCGGCCCACCCTCCCCAGATTTATTTGCCATTTCACTTGTGTTATCCAGCACGCTGTCCCTTCCACCTTACCGTTGGTGGACTTCGGCCAACTCCTCTTCCTTCTCCCTGGTGACCCTCTCCACCTCCAGCCGTAGCCTCGCTCGGACTTCTGACACCTCCACTTTCAACCTGCGGTTCTCCTCCTCTGTCATCACCAGCCGGTCGGCAAACTCCTGCCTTATCACCTCCGCCAGGCTGCGGCGCTCATCCACCAGCTTGTCCCTGGTCTGAAGAGACGAGTTCAAATAGAATCTGTGTTTGTTTTTGGATTGGATTGTATACACTTTTCATCACATATGCTGTTTGTGGCAACTTTCTACTTGCTGGTACACAGAGGAGAAGAGTAACAGAAGTATAATTTGAGGCCTTCAGAGGCAAGATGAAAGAAGGGACTCAAAGGTTTTATCAATGAGTGAAGGGCAGGGGTTTGCTCCTTACCTGAGTGATGTCTTCAGTCTCCTGTTCTTTCTGTCTGAGCAAGGCCTGCAGTCTAATCAGCTCTCCCTCCATCTCCATCTGCTGCTTCCTCAACTCTTGTTGTTTCTCCACAGCCGCCCTCTCGGAGCGCTCCAGCTCCCTCAGCTCAGCCTCGTATTTCTCCCTCACACGCTTCACCCTGAGAACAGAGGGAATTGGTGGTTGGAGTTCATTCAAACCTTTGTAACATTTGGTGAAGCTGTTGTTTGCACAAAGGAGAAACTGTGCAACAAGTAGGATTTGCAAAAGTAAAAAGGAACAATGTGCACGTCCAAAACTATTTCCAGGTGCTGGACAACAACAGTGAAGAGCTCCTTCATACATATCTGAGTCAGATTAAGACCAAGAGATCATCCAAGTTGCCAGTTTGGCAACCAGAGCATACCACAGCTAGGTTCACTTAGAACAGCACACACACACACACACACACACACACACACACACACACACACACACACCTGTTGTCAGCTGCCCTCTCACACTCCTCTTTGTCCTTGCTCGTCTCCTCCTCCAGCGTCCAGATGGCGAGCTCGATCTCTTTGTCGCGTTCTCGTCGTAGATCGTCTTTGAGCTCGCGCTCGCGGCTCAGCAGCCACACTTCCTGTGGACACACAAAGCACACATGCTGTCTGTCCTGGCTGCTTTCTGACCGCACACACACAAGGACAAATACATGAAATGCTAATATAACACACCTGGTTCAGATATATTTGTCATTAGTTGCTTATTGTTTTTGTTTTATCTCCACCATTTCCCAGATCACTGATTGTGTTCATATTTTCATAACAAGAAAATATGAACTCCTGACTCATTAAATCTGTCATCTACACCCTGAGGATTTCATACAAACTGCCTTTAAATAGAGAGTTGGAAAGCACAGGTTGTTCTCACACTACACTCCAGAGAGTGAAATGTACCACCTGCCTACGCCTACTACCAACAATGGAGAAAGTTTCTCTTGTATTTGAGACAGCTGCACTCAACAGGCCTGCCTACAGGTTCCTATGAGCACAATATTTACAGGGTATTCTGTGGTTTGTTTAGACATTTATCTGAACAAAAGAAGAAGTGCTTTAGAGCTGATATAGCGCAAGAAAGAATGAAGTGGTTGCACACATTTATAACAGAATGTCACAAACCTCTTTTTTCTTGTAGTTTTCTTCCCACGTCTGCTTTTCGATGTCCAAACGTTCTTGTAAAGCCTTCATCTCAACCTGGTTACACAAACAACACTCAGTTAGCAAGTTGCGGTCCCGCTCACTGCCTCAGATTTCTGTAGGATGTTGCAGATACCAGACAGACAGCATGTGTAAAGACCAAGTTTGCAGATTCTGCTGAAGTTAATGATCCTGATGCCATTCTAACGGTTTACACTCATCACCTGGTGTCTCCTCTCCTGCTCCTCTCTGGTCTTGTCCAGCTCCTCTCTGAGGGCCCGTCCAGCCAGAGAGCTGTTCTCCTCCAGCTGCCTCCGCAGATCCTCCAGCTCAGCACGCTGCCTGTAAGACAACACAAAGAAGAGCATTTAAAAAGGAGAACCACAATAATCCCAATATAAATTATTTGTTCCCCCTGCCTCGTGCTGTTCCTGTTACTTTTAATGACCTTTAATGGAGTTTATTTCAGTCTATCTTCTAAAGGTCACTTGTTTCACAGCCAGGCAGCTATAATAGCATTTTTCTTTTAGAGAAAAGATCTATAAGGGCAACATGTGTTTTATATCCCTTGCAGGACTGTAGGGGAGACAGATTTACAAGCACAAGCAGGAGCAGGATGGGGATTAAAGGAACAGTTCCTCTACTCTGTAACAGACATATCTAACCTGGAAGCTGCTCCAGTTCAATAAATCTTCAAGGTTGCACAAACAGTGTTCCAGTAATGCCAAACTAGCCTGGAATCTAACGATAACACTGGACTGAACACCCAGAACATCCTTTCTTTATTTTCCACCGATTCAGCTTCTTATTCAGCGACATCTCTTGCTCGGAAAATGACTGGTCCATGTCTTCAGATTTTCACTGCTGAAAGAGAGGTGACCTTTGACCTTACCTTGAAGACAGCTGAGCCAGCCTCTCTTTCTCATCTGCCACCTCCTTGTAGAGACGCCTCCTCTGCTGCTGCAGGGACAGCTCCTCCTCCTGAAGCTGCTTCTCATATCTGACACACACACGTAAACAAAAAGACACACAAACACACCTGAATGTGGCTGTGCTCAGTACTGTACAGCATTAAAGTCAAATTAAATCTCTGTCTCTCTCGCCTTGCAGTACAGACAGCCTGATTGCAGCGCTTCCAAAAATAGGCATGACGAGCACATTGAATAAACTGTTGAGACCGAAGGCCATCTCTTAATGCATTAAGCTCCACACTGGCTGCTTGTTTAGCAAGAGATTTTGCTTGAAGCTGCCTCCTTTGTTTCTTTCAGCCTCCAGTCTAAGGGGGCTGAGGTTGGATGTTTTTAAGGTTTCATTCATACAGGCAGTAAGCTGACATCTATTGTGTTTATTGGTGCACTATAGTATCTATGAAATATACAATTATCAAACAACGCAAGAAAAAAATACAGGAAGCGTAGTATAGTAGTGTATAGTACGTGCTCCTGTATAGGAGGCCAGTGTGAGTCATGGTGAGGAACCATGTCTACCTCTGTTTGGCTAGTTCCCTCTCCCTCTGGCACTGCTCCTCCTTCTCCCTCTCCAGCTGTTGGCGGAGCTCCTCACACTGGCGGACGTAGCGCTGGGCCGCCCGGTCGTCAGCCTGCAGCAGCTCCGCCTCATGGAGGGTCCGCAGCTTCTTCAGCTCCTGTTTGTGCTTAGAAATCAGCTTCTGGATCTCTGGCTCCAGACCTGAGGGAGGAGGGGGGAGGAACAGTTCACGTTTCTGTGGCTAGTCACAGCCTGCAAAATGTTTACAGCTCACAGGATCCAACTTTTTTATAAAATAATAATTCTGGATGTTCATGAGTCAAATTACTGTAAAGCAGGTTTATTTTAGGTCGGAATATCAGTGAAAACACAAGTAAATATACCTCAGCGGTCCCTGACTGAAGAACAACAAACAATTCTGGGTTCTCGAGCCCTGTGACTGTACAAACACCTCATCAGCACTGGCTGACAACTGGCTGTGACTTTTCATGGATCAGCTCGACACAGGCAGGAAACAGTGGAACAACATGGTTTCAACAAGTTTCTGGACACAGAACTGTACCTCTATTGTTTATGCTGCTCTTAAAAAGACAGGAAATGTAAAAAAAAAAACAACAGCTAGATACAGCTGGAAGGTCAGAGGCATTACAGAGCAGAGCACTGAAAGAAGCCAAAGTCACGTCAGCTGAAATATCCAAAGATGTGTTATAGATGAGTAATCGAAGCCAACATCATTTCCAACTTTGGACAGTTTGATTAAAAGAGTGCTCCCACAGTTTATCATTAAAAAAGATCAAAACATTGGTATCATCTTTCTTATTCCACATATGTTTCTTCCTGGCAAACCTGGCTCTGATGGGACCCCACAATGCAACTTGATACGGAGGTTGCGTAAGCTCACTTCTTTCTAACGCTACACACTATATTTTTTTCATTTTCAAACTTGTAGTCTTCAGCACCAACCAACGTTTATCAGTTTTTTTTTTTAAACCAAATTTTTGCACGTATGCCAAAGTAGTGGTAGAATTATCCAGGATTACATTACACACTTCACACGATTTCCGCTCCGAGCCGAGGCTCTGTTTACTCTACCTTTGACTGTGATCTCTTTAATCTTCTTGGTTTTCTCATCAATCCATTTCTCCCGGCGGATCTTCTCTGTGGCACTCATTAGCTCTTTTAACTTCTTGATTTCCTGCGGAGGGAGGGGTTGGAGGAGGGTAAATTATGGCAGTTTGGTGTCGCAGTGAAGTGGCAGCAGGGTATTTGCCTTATTTAAAGCAAAAGAGGTACTTTGTAGGTCCCAGGTCTAGTTTCTACATGGTTACAACAACAGTGACAAATTCAAAGGGTCAAATTCAAACTGTAAATTAATAAACACCAGACCGGTAATAAGAGGAAGAGGAGGGTTCAAACTAATTCCGGGCAAAACAATTAACTTAATAACAGAAAGCAATGCGAACTTTTCATCTAACACTAGAGATAAATAAGAAAAGACTGAGGAGACTCACATGCAGACAGACTGTCCAACAGAAGTTGTAAGGGACAGACAAATGAAAGGAAGAAGGAATGGTAAAATGAGAGAGATGATGGTGCCAAGGATGACCGGGGTTAGAGGAGAAAAAAAAAGTTACCTCGCACAAGGGACCCAGAATTTGCCACACCTAAAAGCCAGGAAAAAAAACAGAAATACAGACAAGGACAGAGAAAGACAGTGAAGAAGAAGAGAGGGAACAGAGAAAAGACAGTTAAACAAAAGCAGAACTGCAAGAAAGCAAGTTCTAAAAGATGATCACACAAGATGCAGAAGCAGAAGCAGAGAGGCAGAAGTTATTTGTGAAAACTTGAAGTGAACATGCCAATTCTTAAATCATCATTTAGATTATTATAGTTTAGGTCTTCTCACCATTTCATGTTGCTCCTGCATCTGTGCAATCTTCTTGGTGTACTTTTGGTCCACCTGCTTCAGTTCTACCACCACTCCTTCACAGCGCTCGCTCAAAGCCTTTTTATCGTTGATCAGCTGAAGAAAGACGGGACATATTTAATACCATGGGGCAAACAATGTGAGGAAAAGTTTGGGATTAGATCTGTGTGTGTGTGTGTGTACCTACCTGATCAATGAATGTAAGGTGTCTCTGGATGGTGGATTCATATTGTTCCTTCTGGAGCTGGAAGTTCCTGTTCAACTCCTTCTCGGTCTCCTTCACATGTCTCACGGTCAGCTCCCTCTGCTGGGCCTGATGGGACAGGAGAGGAGAGGTCTAGATATTATCATCTACAGCAGCTAATCTGTAGCTAACCTACAGCTTCATTACAACTGTGCTGCCCTGAACTGAGTGTGCATTTCCCCCACCAGTGCGGTCTGCAGCATGTTGACGGTGCGTTTCTTCTCCTCCAGCTCCAGCTTGATTCTCATCATGGAGCCGGTGACTTCGGCAGCGGTGGCGGACGCCTGCTCAACACCAACCAGCTCCTCCTCTGACAACACAGCCTGAGATCACACAGGAACCATTCAGCCATTTGTCAAACTTTTTGCATTTTGTTATTAATGAGGACATTTAAATGCACATTGACTGGTTGAGACTCACTATTTATGGGAAAAACACACAATCATTATATCTACTCGCGTGTCAAGACTATCTGAACTAAATATACAGGCAGAAGGATGTTGGAATGGGGCCCAAAACCATAACATAAAAACAGACAAAGAAATCAACAGGATAGTGCTCCAGACGCTGACCTCTCTGTGAGAGCCAGAAGTCACTGAGCGTGGTCTCTCCTGTTCAGACTTCTCCATCTCGTCCAGGAAGCTCATGATGCTCTGCAGCTTGGCCTCGGAGAGCAGGGCGCCCCCGTCTGGCAGCGCAGGGTGGTGGCTCAGCTGGCCGTGACGCTCCAGGTTGTCGGTGGTCAGAGAGTTGGAGTCTCCGTCCTTTAATCAGAGGCAGTGGAGTAATTTAATCAATATAGTTTAGCATGACATAAATTCACTTCTTTAGGTGATGAAGAGGAAGTCTCACCTCATCTATCCAGGCGTATTTCTCTTTGCGGTAGCACTTTGGCTCTGACAGCCTCTCTGGCTCCTCCTCTAACAGCTTCAGGGTGTCCAGCAGCTCGTTGAGGGTGGTTTTAGACTGAGCCCTGCTGGACAAAGCTCCCTGCCGCTGGTCCTCCACACTCACCGACCTCTGCAGAATCTCCTGGAGCACGGAGAACACACATATATAATGGGACCAAATAGAAGAACTGCAGGTGGATTACTCAGCTGTGCAGTAGAAAAGTGTTCAGTTATTTACCTGGGAACACTGGGAAGCTCTGCAATTGGACAAAGCTGGGGAGATGGCTCTGAAGCTGGTGAGCTCACCTAAATCAGCCACAATGTTCAAATTGGAGTCTGTGGAAACAATTGACCAGCACAGTTATTACACATACTCTATTTTCCATGTTTAAAATGCCACCTTTTTAGCATCCTTAACTGGATATAAGATGATTTTGGTGCTCACTAAGGCTCACGTTGAACAGTAGGAGTAAGCATCATGTTATAATGCTACAGAGACATACAGACCTGTGTTTTTAGCTTTGACGTCTGTGGGTGACATCAGGCTGTTGTTGCTCGGTGAGGCTGGACTTTTGTTGATGGGATAAATTTTGGCCGGTTTCTTGCGCCCTACCACACCAGTCTGTCTCGTGTTTTCTGGGTCCACCCCAGCTGCATGCTGTGCCTCTGCAACCCGCTGGGCCCTTTTCTGCTGCAGCTCCTGTACCGCACCACCAGGGGGAGACAGTAGACAATCAAGAGTCATAAACCCAACTCAGTGTGTGAAAAAATATTGCTTTAACCTTGAGTCAGGGTTTATAATACGTACATCAGATGTGTTCGCCTGGGTGGCGGCGAGGCGGGCCAGACGAGCCTTCTCCTTACGAATCAGTTTCCTGTCATTCTCCAGATGCTGCTGCTGCTCCACGGAAATGTCTACATCTGCTCTGTCTTCGTGATCCTACAAGGAAAAACAGAGAGGATTTGTTAGGTATCAGGAGAAAGGGAGCAGTAGAAAGTGGAGAGCTGAGCTGTGAGGGTGCAGAGTTATCTACCTGGGAACACTGAGAGCCTCTGTGATTGGACAAAGCTGGGGAAATGGCTCTGAAACTCAGCTCACCTACGTCAGCCACAACATTCAAATTGGAATCTGTGGAAAAAAAACTAATCAATACATTTCTAACAAAACAATCTTATTACATTATCCACGTTCTTCAGCAACCATTAGATATCACAGCTACAGCTAGGATCACAAGAACTATCAGGACAACAGACTTGATACTGCAGAATATGTTTATATGTGACCGTAATTTTTCTCTAGTAGTTTCATGTGATTCCCAAAGATGGTGCATCTGAAGGTAAAAGAACCCAGAGCAGAGAAATACAGACCTGTGTTCTTAGCTTTGACGTCTGTGGGGGACATGGGGTTGTTGTTGCTCGGTGAGGCTGGACTTCTGTTGGTGGGAGAAATCTTGGGCGGTTTCTTGCGTCCAACCATACAGGTCTGTCTCAGGCTCTCCTGCTCCACCTCAGCAGCATGCTGCACCTCTGCAACCTGCCGGGCTCTTTTCTGCTGCAGCTCCTGTAAAAGGACACCAGGGGGAGACACAGGACTATGTTGTAAGACACTATAATCCAGGGAAAGCATCCACAAAAAGGGTTGAATCAAATGTTTTGTTCTGTGTTAATGAACACAATGTGCTCAGAGTCATAAAGTATAGTTTCAAGTGCATGATCTAATAAAGTAGATTTGGGTCCAAATATAGGTAACTAGGTTTTAGCTCTAGCATTTACTCAACATGTACACTGAGTTAAACTGGGTTTTAGCTTGGCTCTACTGATGTAAGGATTGTCTTGTCTTTTAACTTTGGTCTGAGAACTACTGACAACTAACTGACAGACTGAGACTGGAAAATCTCCACTTGGAGACTAGAACTTTAACAGAAAGTCTGTTTACATGCTTGAGACATGATTTTAAAGATATGGACATTTATCTAGTAGTTTAGTAAAGATCTCCTGCATCAGTTGTGACTATTCTTTTTTAAATATTTCTCTCACAAGCCTCCCAGCTTTATAAAAGTGCAGTACTAAAACCACTAGGAGTAAATCAGAGGTGGGCACCTGGATGGCAGCGAGGCGGGCCAGACGAGCTTTCTCCTCACGAATCCGTTTCCTGTCTTCATCCTTTTTCTGCTGCGTCTCCAGGTGACTGTCCTCCTCTGTTCTCTCCTCCCACTCCTAGAAGGAGAAGACACAGAGAGTGTTAACACAGTAGCAATAGAAAGAGGGGGATAAAAGCAGTTAAGATCATGGAGAATAATAGGTGAAGGAGTAAAGCAGCCTGGGGATGGAGGGATACCTTTCTTTTGTTGGCAAGGATGCGTTTGAGCGCTGCCTGGTTAGTGTGCCGTCTCTGGGCATGGCGTCTGTACCAGCGCTGGATAGTGACTGCTGCCTGGTTCACCTGCTGAATAAACCTTCAAATACACAAAGGAACTGCTGTGAGTCACAGAACAGCTGACAGACGAATTACCAAACACTGTGGAGGCAACCCTGTGAATCTGAACCCTCTGAAACAGTCTGCCGGTTCTGACCTCTCGGCCTCCTCCTCAGTGACCTCCCTCCTCCGAGACAGGACAGGGCTTCCGCGCTGGGCCGACACTGGGGATCTGTTGTTTGATGTGGAGGAAACTGAAGAGAAATTCTTCTGGGATTTTGTCAGGGAGCCGTTCTCGAGCGACACCTCATCGTTTGCTGTGGCCTTCAGGATGTTGCTGAAGGGAAAATATGATTGGAAATTCTTAGAAACCAAAAAAAAACAAAAAAAAGAAAAAAAAAAGAAACAAAGTCCTTAAGCATTAGAAAAGTATGACCACATGATACTCATTATTTTGGAGGCAGCCAGCTCTAACTGGCTGATAGCAAACATTTTTTCTTTATGGCCAGTATCAGCCTGATTCACTGGCCATAAAAATCTCCAAACTCATGTCAGGCACGCAAGCATGTTGATTTCAGGACATACTTAAACGACGGCTTCTGGTTGGAGCTCTTCGGTGTGAGCGGTTTCTCAGAGTAGTTGTTGTGTAAGATGGTGGTGACAGAGTTCCCCACGGCTCCCTTGTTGCTTCTGGGAAAAACAAAATGGGACAATGACACTCTGCAGGAGATATTACTGACTTACAAACCAGGCAAAGCTCATGTGTTGGCATTTGTGTGAAGTATTTAGAATGCAGCTGCCTCCTTTTCTCACTCCATCGCCTCCAAGGCATTACAGTAACTGATACTGTACATGCCTTTACTTTATCACAAACTCAGCCCGCACTGTTTTTTGTTTTTTTTTGGGACAATTTTCTCAGAAGAAAACGTCTCAGTGTGTGGGTGGAATTCCTGAAGGCAGTATCAGCTGCCGTGATCAACAGGTACGAAACATGAGAAGCAGGTAGAAATCCAGAATGCTGCAGTGCAAGTAGTCACCGGGCTGATGTTAGCTTCTCCCTGCTCTACATGGACTATTGTGTGTGTGTCTGTGTATTGTGTGTCAGAGACGCTGCCCACCTGTTGTTGGCAGTGAAAGTGGCAGCCAGGGCGATGCCAGGCTCTCTTTTCTTCAGGCTGGTGGGAGAGTCCACGCTGCCGGTGCTGCGGGAGCTCGAGTGTGGGGGGAAAACTCTGGGCTGGTCATCCTGAAGGAAGGGAAACACACACTTGTTACGCCCTGAACTACTGTACAATCCGACACCCTTAAAACTGATATCGTTTTCATGTTAGGAAAGGAGGGAAACACTCTTGGTAAGCTTGGTAAACTTTAGTAAAGCTGTCTTTCTGGTATTGGTAATGCCGTTTAGCTGCTCAGCATAGATAATGTGGTGATCAGGATGTGTATCAAATCAAGTGAACAAATACCAGGATGTTCCACGTGGTTCTGTCTGGTGAGGCCTTGCTGAGGCTGGCCAGCTTCTTGCGTCCATCGGAGCTGCTGTCAAACAGGGACAGGTAGTCCTCGCTCGGGTCCTGACTGGGAAACACACACAAGCCAGCCTCATGTTAGACACTTTTTACCATCAAATAAATGGTCTATCTGCACGGAGAAATGCCACTAGTAGGTTTATTTTTTGCCATTTGGGTGAAGTGACTCTTTAAAAGGCTGACGTGGTAGCTGCAAGCCAAGAAAATTATTTCAAATCTGTCCTCATGAAGGGGGGGGCACATTTTGGGCTCAATTTTCACGGAACAAGAGCTTAGCATTGGGCAACACACAATTAACAAACCAACACAAGGGACCCTGAGTCATGCTTTTAGTGGTGGCTTTTGTGATTAAATGTTGTAATGACAGCTGCAGAAATGGGACTCGTCCCCCTTCTCCTCTCCCCCGCCCCAAGTGCTGGAATTCAGTGTGTAGCAGCTGACCGTCTGCTGGGGGGAACTCCATTATGGATTCCATGTCAATGCGTGTGTTGATCCCGATGGCCTGTCATTCATCCTTCAAATAGCCTTACACACCAGCGCCTCCATCGTGAGGCACAGATGCAGGGTGACCTCCCGTCTGGCCCGGCCTCTGCTGCTATCTGTGCTGCAGCCTGTCTGTGCTGCGCAGGGTGTTTCTGTCTGGGTAAGTATATAAATGAGCGTGTGAGTGAGCGTGTGTGTATCTTCGGGGGGGTAAAGCCAGCTGGCCCAATGAAAAGCAATCTGACAGCACTATTCAGGCAGCACATTCCTCTACTTTTAGCTTTACAAGAGAGTGATGCATGGAGGGGAGGAAGCAGCAGAGAGGGAGAGGGGTGGTGAGTGACCCCACTGACTGCCCTGAAAGACTTGGAGGGGGTATTTAGAATGTCTTTAAATTTAAAGCCCTTCTGCTCTGCATCCTCGGAGGCAGCGAGGGGAGGTGGGGTGGCGGCAGCTGCCGGACAATAGAAGAAGAGCGTGCACACACACTTCTCCTTTCACTGGCTCCTGGTGGAGGGAGGGGTAACCTGACCTCGAGGTCCTGGCCCTCCCCCTCTAACCTGGGACAAAGCAAGTCCCTGCACCCCGCGACCCTAGCAACAGCCGCCCAGCTTCCCTCTACTCTTTATCATGCAGGAGCCGCTGCACCACAATTCCCATTGTCCGAACTGCTGGAGCTCCAGGGCTGCCAGCTGTTGCTCGCTGAAGAGAAGCACTCTGGCTTTAAGAGCAAAGGCTCCACGCAAGCAGGCGTAACTCCAGAGATTGTTCCTGGTTGTACGAAAGCGTCAGACTGACACACGTTATCTCAAACGCACACATTCCTTTCTGTCATTTCCAACAACATGGCCTTCATTTTTCAGGGGCATGCATGTCACTATAAAGGTTAATTTGAGGATCTAATTGAATGTTTAAGAGCAAGTTTGCCCTGAGGCTTTGCTAAACGTACATGTTACAGCACATACTGTACTATATGCAGTTCAGTGTGTCAATGTCAGTGATAAGGAATGAGGAAAATAGGCTCAAAGACATGAGAGTGGATACTGATTCCCACTGAAATATTTCTGGTCGAATTGTAAATGTGTTACAAGCATAAATAGTTACAGCGTTATTATGTATTACAGTATGTGTGTATGTGTGTGTTTGTACCTTAAACTGATGTTGGCCTGCTGATTAACCTGAGTGGTGCTGTTGGACCGCCTAAGGTTCTTGATGGAGCGGGAGCTACCGAGGCAAGCATCGCTCTGTGGATTTAAAAAGGTAAAATGAATGAATTATTAAGATCTGTTTGCAAACAGTGCACACTGGGAGACAGTCTTCATTCCTGCATCTTGAACAGATTATCTTATAACTCACAAACAATCCGCAGCTCCAGTCTGCTGCCAGTACAAAAGCACACACATGGCAGCGCAGTTACTCACCAGGGTGTTGCGTTTTCCTCTGCTGTCACTGGCCACAGAAACTGACACGGACCGAGAGAAGTATTTCCCAGGTGATGCACTGCTGGGTCTTTTGGACATAGAAAGCTGGGCGCCTGACAAGCTGAGGTCCAAGGCATCTCCGGAGACACCTGTCGGGATGGATGACGGGCTGCGTGTCGTATGCATCCTCTGAAAAGCTGCAATTGAGTACAAAAGGCTTGGATATAACACACTAGAGATTTAGCAGGCACAACCACAACAACAGAGGAAGTAACAGCCACTTTCCCCGGACTGTTTTGTCTCCCAGGGCAACCAACAACAAAACCACTCACTATTTTTACTCCAGCTGGGACGGCCTGACAAAGACAATGAGCTGAAATCAAAGCACAGACGAGTAGCTAACAGTACTTTAACACAGTGGTTCTCAACCTGAGGGTCGGGACCCCCACTAGGGCTCTTGATTTTAAGGGGTGTAAGAAAACTTAAACAAATATACACAGCAGGTCTATATCTCAGCATTTTGTTCATTTTAGTGAAGAAAACTAAATTAAATTGTTATTTTAGATTATTATTTAAGATCTAAGAAACTTTGAGGACGTGAACACAAGATATATTCACAGAGACTTCCCTCTCTGATTAACAGCCTGCATTACAAAGGTTCAACCAAAGAGCTCACAGAAGAAGAAAACACTGAAGTTATCAGAAAGAGAAGCCTGTTGAGTGTGTATTATTGTTAATATAACACCACACAGACATAATACAGACAGAGAACTGCATAAAACCATCAGGAAAACTCATCTCTGATCAACATGTCACTTAATCAAAGATAGAAAAAGCTTGTGAAGCAGTGCTTTAACGGATAACTCATATTAACTATAAGAATAAAATAACAGAAGTTATAATAATACCGCAGTGTTGTTGTTACACTGAGGCAGGTGGACGTTATATTACATATTACAGAGGCTAACGTTAGTGGCGCTTAATAACACTATCTGAACGTTACTACCCCGTTAGTAACGCGTTACTAACGGTAACGGGAGCTAACGTTACCGGACCCGTCACTACGACACGTTCACGTACACTGATTTGTTCGTAAATCTGAGCCTTTTACACAGAGCTGGCCGACAGTAACGGGCTCTGTTTGAATCGTTAATAAAACCGGTTGGAGGAGGAATAAATAAAAAAATAACGCGTTCAGATGAAGTCAAAACATCTCTAAGCTAACAGTTAACGTCTTTCTGCCCCCCCTCCCTCCCTCCCTCCCTCCCTCTCTCTCTCTCTCTCCCACCACTTAAAATAAATACAAAATGCTGGTTGCTTTACAACCCGATAACTACTCACTTTAAAAGCTGGATGGCACCATCGTTGATACGCTGCGGTGGTTTGATTCCCAGCGACAGTACTCCGTTGACTCAGCGGACAAATACAGGGAACCAAATAACGCGTAACATCATCTCTGTGGTAACAACACAGACAGTCGCCGCCTCTCGGCGTCTGTGATTGGTCGAGAGACAACATTGTCCCTTTATCCGTGCGTCTGATTGGCTGGCCGGAGCTGTCTGTCTACCGTGGTGGGATTCCAAGGGGCGTGGCCAGAAAACAACGGTTTGGTTGACTTTGCAAAGGGAGGTGTGATGGCAAAGTGACATTTCTTTTCCAACTTATGAGGGTTGGGAAATATACTTCCACACAAAACAAAGCTCCAGTTCATTCATCATTCATTTATTAAAGGTTCCCTGACACCTCAGTAACAGATTAAACATAACATAATTAATACAAATCACTTTCTCTCTCATTTAAAGACATTTCAAACACACTGATACTATTTACAGAAAGGCATATTGGGACCTATCATATGGAATTAATTAATCAGCAGATGTCCCATCGGCAATAAATCAATAACAATAAGAATCACATGAGAGATTTGGAATAATTCAGCTGTGCGTAGACAGAATTTATCTTCTTTTAAACTCTACAGCGGCCCTCCACACGTCAGCGCCCTGCCCGAGGGTGATGTGCTCCGATAGAGACTCGAGCCCCAGCGGAGGTGGAAGGCCTTTCTGCTCCAAATGGATCTCCAAGGTGGACTTGATGCTGGAGACAGTGGGGAGGGAGGGCATGAAGAAACCAACTGTTAGCACTGCATCCATTGTTTTCACCACAAGCATTCCTATTCACTTCCCTGCCCAGCTGCTGCCTCAACACAAATGACCTGAGGCTGAGGGGATACAACTTAAGCTCCTTTCCCCTGACAGATGGCTGCCTGGAGGGGTCACGCTCTGGTCCTGGATGTCAATAGGCCTTAAAATCCCAAGGGAGAGTCCCCGGGTCAGACCTCCACACTTTACTCTGATTAAAGCTGTCTAGGATCAATGGATTCCTTTAGACTAGGGTGGTAATCTTTGAACTGACAATAGGCACACTTCTTACATTCATTAGCTTTTAATAAATTCTTCCTCCTAAAAACACCTCTTGGGCAAACGTGGGGATGAATGTCAATAATGCAAATGTTTTACCATTTGGTGCATCACCTCCTACAAAAACTAAACTCACAAATGGTAAATGTGGTTGTGTTTTCACTGCAGTGGGGGTGGAATACAAATGGCTTGTGCTTACTCCCATTGTGGTAGGTACAAATCGGGCATGGTGTTGCTCTTCTTCAGCAGCAGAATTTCATACAGCTCCAGAGAGAAAGCGTCCACGTCTGTGACAGCGAGGAAGACCTTCAGCTCCTTCCTCTCCTCCTCAGAGAGCGTCTGCTTGAACTCTGAGGGCAGACTCGGAAACGGGTCCTGAAACGTGATCATCAATTAGGTGTATTCAAAGTGTGACGTGATAACAACAACAACAACAACAACAACAACACCACAGTGCTGTGAGTGCAGAGGCCGCAGTCCAGTTCCACAAATTCAGGTTTTATTGGGGTCAAACTCTGGGCGCCTGCCGTGTGAGACGGCACACTTTCAACGGATTACAGCCCAGAAAGTTTAACTCTCTGTGGCGTTTGGGGTCAGTCACTGGCAGCCAGCAGAGGAAAATAAGGAGTCAAACACAAATGATGTGGTTGTGGAGTATCTCTCATGGATTTGGTGTTTTTAAGTCTTAAAAGGGGGCTATTCTATGTTATAATTGTATTTTTATATTTTCCCCTGCCTCATCCAGTAAATCCCTGGAGGTTTTATGCTTTTATTAATACTTACTTGATTTCTGTTCAGCATAAGCTCTGATTTCCAACAAGTGAGGAGCTGCCAGGTGAATGTGCTGTGCTGCAGTTTGCTCTCTCCAAGAGCCTAAAATGAAAATGAAACAGGGAGGTTTAATCTTTAAAAAAAAACAGTTTTTTTTGCAAGCTTTAGCTCCTGAATTACAGCTCATGTATACTTTACATCAGATTAAAGTGTTTTTCATGTATTCTTTCTGTTTTATTTATTTATTTCTTTTATTGTTTATTTGTACAGGGACAACACACCACAACATTTATAGTCTAAGTTCATTTGCAATGCATCCCTAGATAGGCCTTTAAAATACATAAAAATCAACCACAAATGCACAAGAGGCAACAAGTGTGTAGACTAATACATAAAAGAACCATAAACCAGGATGCATTCATGACTATATGACTCTGGTTTCCAGTTATTTCTGGAACCTGCAAAACTTGCTTGACTTGTGTAATCCACCGCAGTGAAGATCACATGGTCTGCCCCGTCAGTGTCACATTATTGTTGCGTGGTATTGCAGATTAAGTGACTGGATGAATTTATCCGATTTGCAGTTTTTCACAGCAATAATTCAACTTATGTAATGTGATGGATTCATTCATACAAGCTTTAATAGCCCGCTAATAGATGTTCATATTTTACAGAAATGAATGTCTATCTCCAAAAATAAAGACTTTAGTTGTGAGTGCACTGATTCCTAATTAATGGATTAAAATATGCATCTCGCTGTTCTAGGTAGTCTTACAGCAGCAGAGCTGGTATGATGGACTTTATTAATTATTTCCACACATTAATATAAAAAAGGACCAGTGTGGAGGGTTTAGCGGCATCTAGCGGTGAAGTCTGCAACCAACTGAAGCATGTAGCCCACTTCTTATTTTCAGGTGATTATACCCTAATGAAAACATAGTTATGATTATTATATTCAATTCCCGCCAATAGATCCTCCTAAATGTTACACACTGAACCTTTAAATGGTGGTTTTATAGAAAGGGGTGTTGTAATCAACACAATCGCATTCTTTGCATAATGGAAATGGCTGTGGGTCCGGAGGTTTCTACCTTGGCTACAGAGCTGGAAATCTGTGGGCCCATCTGCAGTGAATCAATGAGGTAGGACAGAAGTTGATCCTGAGGATTCCCGCCCGTCTTGCCAAGAAAGCGAAGGCCAATCTCCACCACAAACACAGCATCGCAAACGTCTGTGTACGAGCGCAGCACCGTCCTCATGGCGCCGCTCACCGAACCCTTCAGCGGTTCCTGCGGCACACAGAGAGAGAAAGTGTCAGCAGGCCAGCGAGAGAGGACTGTGAGGGAAGGAATTTGACCTCTAACAAAGTGGCCTCACAAAATCCAACAGGGGAAACTACTGTGAACATTCTTGGGCTGGCATTAGTCAGTTCCACATGAAGACTTTGAAATCCTAAAAGTTTATAAGCACAGGAAGAGGTCTTACCTGATGAATCTTGTCTCTGACCTCCTTTAGAACCACAGAGAAATCCTGCAGGTGTCTGTTCAGGTACCTCGAGGTGTCCTAATTGTGATCAAAGAGAACAGTGCTGGTGAGCAGAAGGTGTGGTTCGTCTGTGTGCAGCTGTTTGATTAGTATTGATTTTTACCGCTTGTATGAGTGGTTTTCCAGCCAGGAAGCGGCGGGCCAGCTGGGTCTGGATGCCCGGCAGATCGTAGCTTCTGTCCGTCTCGCCGCCTTTCTTCAAGGTGTAGTGGCAGTGGGCTAGAACCAGAGGCAGCAGCTCTCTTTCTGGGTGGCACAGGGTCAGCTGGGTTTCTGATATCCTCTCTAAAGGAACACTGTACTCGCTGAGGGAAATAGAACAGCACAATGTCCATGATCAGAAGTTTTAATCATATGTTTAATAACACAAGAGGCTGCACTGTTACAGGTACAGGTGGGAAGATGATTATGCAGGCTGTCTGCAGGCTTCGACTGGTTAAACTGAACACTTTTTAAGACCATTACAAATGCAATTTAAAACATATTTTATGTCCATACTGGCAAAAAAACAAACAAGCAAGTTAGCGGACCTTGAATCATATAGTTTGTTACGTGGTGCCTGTGCGATGTGTCTATCTTACAAGGAAAACCGGACTGAACTGTGTGCTTGAATAGAGCCGGTACGATAACGTTACAGACGGGAGCAAATAGCCTTTATATTATCAAATGTTTTGCTTGATGAACTCTGCAGTTGTACTATGAACTCCACACCTGACTGTGGGCCCGGTGCACTCACCTGTCCTCTTGGCCGCTCACTCTCCTGGCTTCTCTCACCAGGCTGTTGTGAGTCTTCGACAGGAAGTCCACCAGAGTTCGGAGACACGACCCCGGTCCGTCTCGACACGGTGTCAGAAACTCCCCAGAGCTCTCGGTTGTCACCTCCTTCTCGCACAAGTTCACATCCACACCCAAGTCTGCTGCTATATATACACACACACAGACACGGGAGACATGCAGTGAAGGAAACAGACGTGTAGGACACAACTAGTCATTACTTAGAGGTGGGAACATCTCGTTTAACACTGATTCAACTCAACTCAAGTCAAGAGTGATTAATTAACACTATATTCATTAAATAAACATGTGTAATAATGTGAGACTCTCCTTATTGTCCTATAATATCCAGAATTATGCTTTTGAGTATTCTTAAATAGGAGACAAAATGTAATGTTTCTACTATTTTACTAAATATTATGACTCCAAACACAAAGACTTTGGACTGTTTCCATCGAACACTGTTTAAAAAAGTGTCGACCACACACTCTCCCTCAGCAACAGGAGCTAGAAATGTTGTCACATTTGATCTCAACTTAAATTTCATGAAGCTGGTTTTGGTTTTTTTATGACTTATGTTCAACTCCTGCTCAGTTTTAAAGTGTCATAAATAAATAATGTTTTACTGAGTTGAATCACTTTAAAAATCTAACTTTTACCAGAATTTCTTAACAATTAAAATCTTTTGTTGTAAATCACACAGTAACTTTAGCTTAGAAAAGTGCCCAATAAATAGTTTACTGTTGTTTTTAGCACAGTAGTAAAACAAGCTGCAGTCCCTCTAACGGCCACTAGAGGCTGGCTCCAGCAGTGAGTCAGTCTCCAGAAGGCCCCATATTAAAATACACAACTGTACAGCAGAAATAAACACGTTTACAGCCTGTTGGTCTCTAGAGCTAATTTCCCCGTTCATGACAACTTATACTATGCAACTTGCTCATTTAAATTATAGGCTTCAAGTGATGCATAATTAAGGGCCTCTTGGGTGACAGGTGGGTGCCATCACAGGTGGCTGGTTTCAGTAACCAGGTTTCATTCAGACCGCTTAAGCTCCACCTGTGCTCCATGTATTTACGGAGACTACGTCCATTTCTACTTATACAGTCTCTGAGTGGAAGTCGGTGACAGTAATATTCATTCATTAATCTAATATTAAACTTTTCAGTGAGGATTAGGAAGTTTTCAATTGAACGCATCAAATCAGGATAGTTTATAACTGCTGCAGTGGGTGCAACCAATGAACTGTTACACATGTACAACAGTACATTTATACATAAATAATAAAATAAATAAATAAATTGAGTTAATGTTAATGGAGACGTGCTTACAGTTGTTTGCCACCTCTGCTCTGAGGAGGTTCCACACCTCGATGAATCTCTCCACTCTCTCAAGCAGCAGCTTCTTCTGGTATCCTAATGAGGATGATGAGAAAGCTCAGTTTGTGTCAGAGAGTGTGTGTGTGTGTGTGTGTGTGTGTGTGTGTGTGTGTGTGTGTGTGTGTGTGTGTGTGTGTGTGTGTGTCTCATATTGTTGTTGTACGTTTAATTAAAAATGAAATGTTGATATACCTGCTGGTATCTTCTGTAACATCTGTGCGATACTCTGAGGTGAAGAGTGTGACGTCAGAGGAAACACTCTCAGCAGGTCTGACTGTAAAGCCGCCAGCTCAGGCAGGTGATGTAACTGCCTCACACAGTGTATCTGGGACGCACACACACACACACACACACACACACACAGTCACGTCAAACACTTCATACTGATATCAGGACCACAACTAACATGCTAAATATCATGCGGTGATGCAACATGCATTAATATTCACGGAGAACACAAACATCAAACAACAAGAGCTTCAAACGTTAGAGGAACAAGAGTGGTGACCAGAGAGATTAGGAGAAAATGTTATGTAATTTTAGATGAACTGCCTCACTACCTTCCCCAGGACAGGCCATGTTTTCGGTCTTGCATGTTTTTTTGTTTTGTCTGATATTTAACGTGATATCTGTGACACTACAGATACATATTTCAGTGACATTTGTTCAGTATAGAAACCTTTTTCATGTTTCCTTGGTTTAACCTGGGTATTTCAGAGAAGGCTACACCCTAAAGGTCCAGTGTATAACATGTAACAATGGAATCATGTAACAATGGAATATAATATTATATATCAATATTATATATTATATATATATCATAGGTATGTTTTCATTAGTCTATAATCACTTCCAAACACATTCTGTGATTCAAATAACTGTGCAGTGGACTCTCCTTTAGGACTATCAGCCTTCCCTACACCTCAGGTCGAGATTTAAAACAAGTCGGATCCGGTGTACATCAGCCTAATAATCACATGATGAAATCGGTACCTTCTCGAGGAACGTTTTCAGCAGGGGTAAGGGGCTGCGTCCCTGCGGTTCTCCCACCAGCTGACAGAAGCGCTCGAGTGTCATCATCTCGGGTAGAGTCCAGAAAGAGGAGCGATGTGTCGGGCAGTCAGAGGGGAGGGACAACTGCTTCTCAGGATCCCCGTAGAGGAGATTCATCAGAGGACTTCCAGCAAGCCCATCATCTGCACTGATTCTGTCCTGAGCTTCAGCCAGATTCCTCTGCAAATCCTGAAAACAGACAGGTGGAAGAAAGATTTTATCATCCTGTAGTGCAAAATGTGTCTAAATTCCAGTTCCAGACAACCAGTGCACTGCTTTTAAAAACACTGTATTTCTTACTTGAAGTACTGGGTTGATGGCAGAACTACAGACGAGCTTCTCCCACTGCTGCCGTCCTTCTCTGGAGGACAGAGCCTGCCTTGCGCCGCGAGAACCTGTGTTGACATTTAGCAGAGTTATGTACTATGATCAATAGAAGCAGCGTGCTGAACACGATTGGAACGTCACAGTCACCTGTAGCGCAGGTATTTAGAACCAAATGAACTGTAACCGCCACGTTGTCCACGTTCTGATTCAGCGTCTGTCCCAACACGCTCATGTCCTTTTCCAGGTGGTTCCACAGGAAGTTTAAAACATCATGGGGCCTGGGGTGGATCATGTCACCGACTCCCTACAACAACAAAAATTACATAATGCCATCTGTTCAGTACCGGTGATGGTACATGAACAATCTGCTGCAAGTTTAGCTGAAGTCTCACTCTCTGATTTCTTATGGCGCCTTGAAGCATAGCGAGGTGAGTCAGCAGGCGCAGGATGCAGGACTGAGCGTAAGACATCTGTCTTTCAGGGGCGTCAGACCGCTGTCGAGCCTCTCCTAGTATGTGTCCTGTCCGAGTTTGATCTCTGACCCTTTTACAAGGAGGAACACAAATTAAACCCAAGTATTTGACTGAAAATAGTGTCACAAAGCTGGTTGACTACAGAGATTAATACCTTTCTCCTGTGTGTTTAGTAAATCCAGCAACTGGGTTGTGATTCTGCCCACCAATTGGCAGTCCACAATGACACCTTGATACAACCACCGGTTTACCACACTATGGGACAATACAGAAGCATATAATGTATTATTTATTGAATCTTTCCATGCTTCAGGAATGCTTGCACACAAAAATAGCTCGTACATTTCCAACAAACCATGGATGTCCGTTGGCACAATCTGTGAATGATATAAAAAATTATATAAAAAACATTATATACAAAGTAGACTATTCATGAAGTGATGATGGCAGATAAAACTCTTTATAATGGAGAACACTTACAGTACAGCTGTGCTTTCGGATCTTTAGTCAACCACTGCTTGGCTTCACTTGTGTGATCATCGGGCATGGTTGGCAGGAAGGAGTTCTTGGGGGGAAAAGTTACATTCGAGTTAATGTGATAATGTGTGATTTTGTCATATCTGTTCTGTAGTTTAACTCAGATTCATAATCTTTAGCTTTTGGTACAGACAGTTTTAAAAACTAAGGTCAGAATTGAAGCCACAGAGGTTGAGATATGCTGACTTGTAGTCTCTAGTAGGGGCCACGGTCCTGGTGATTCCCAACCAGGGACTTCCTCTGCAGTTGCTCAACAACTTACAATTTTCCTCATCCTCCCACTATGACATCACCTTCACAGACTGAGTAAACCGACCTGTATGTGCATGATAAGTGGAATGGCCCTTTATGTCTGAGATAGGAGCGTCTTACTGTGACATTCTGGGGCTGGGAGGCTATCTGGTAGAGAGGAAGGAGTAGAGGATTTTCACTGAGCAGCACAGAGTCCAGATGGACCAGCAGCTCCAGGACGGTTTGTCTCTGAGCCGAAAGATTTGCGTGGAGGTGAAGACTTGAGCCCTGTCCACCGATCTGGTTTGACAGCAGTGCAGTGCAGAAATCCCTGAACTCCTTTGGCCTGACGGTTTTCAGGAGCTCGTTCAGTGGTTGCGTCTCCTGCGAGTTCACATAGAGTTGGGCGTTAGAGGGAGAGGGCCAATTTACTGCAGACACAATTCACATTTGGCGTCATGTATACCTGTGGGGACGGCCGTATGCTGACGTCAGGGGATTTGTAGCGGCAGGTGACCTGTCTGAACAGGGCCAGAGCCAGGAGGCTGATCTGACAACCTCTCAGCCTCTACAGAGAAAATAAAACAACAGAGATGTAAAAGAGGAACACAGAAAATCCTGACACTGACGTAAAGAAGGAAGAACACGGGGGATTTTGCTTTAGTAAAGTAATTTAGTATTTATCCTCTTTATTACTTATTACTTACTTATTATATATTATTATATTAAGACTTACTCATATATACTTACATTTTACTTCAACCCCTATTTAGCATTTATAAGCAGAATACAAACATATAATTAATAGTTAATGATGCACTGTAATGTAGTTGTAAGATGATATAAGTGTAGTTTAACTCCTACTGTGAACACCGGTGAGTGCATGCTGGTGGTCATGTTTTTTATTTGATCTCATCCTCTTATTCTCTGTTATCTTGTTCCTATTAAAGCTTTTATTAAACTCTGTTTTATTGTATTTTACTGTCATTTGTTTTGTCTTTAAAATTTATTTCAACTAGTTAATTAGTAGGCGTATTAAGTAATTGATTAACTGATTACACATAACCTCCCTGCCCTCTAGTGGTCTTCAGGAGACATTGCAGCCCTCTCTCTGCTGCTGTGCCTCTTTACAGTGGAGACGGCTCATAAACTAAACACTGACGTCAGCCTTCCTGTTAGCTCTGGACTCTCTCTGACCTGTATTTCTGCCTTGAAGGTGTCAGATCTGTTTTGCAGCAGAACCTCGGCCACGGCGTCTCTCACAGCACGGTAAGGCGGCCCGCAGCACAGGAACTGGTCCACGTTGGTTGGAATCATCCGCTTTGAGGAAAAACAGTTTTAGTGTTAGTTTCCTTTCCAAAGGAATCAGTTCCAGCTTAAGAACACCTTATGGATCCTTTTTGATATGAGTCAGGAGTTAACAGAGCATTTAGAAACTGATCAGCAGTTGTGGTGGTTAGTTGACAAATAGTTAAAAACATTAAATTCTACTTAATGCTCACAAAAGCTTGCTTTACAATAATTTAAAAGAACATGAGTAGAGCTGAAATCATTGGCTGCTGGTGCTATGTCTGAACTGTGTTTGTCTAAGATACCTGCAGTCGAAGGAGATCTGCAGGGAAGACCCATCTCCAGGCCGGACTGTTCATCAGGGACAGAATGCAGTCCATGCCAGAGAGTCTAAGGAGGGCCCGAAGCAGGTAAACCCTGTGCCAGTCGTTACCACAGTACTCACACACCGCCTTCACCTGCTGCAGGTACTGAGCCTCCTCCATATGTCTGCCTGCATTTCACAAACGAACACAAAAACTTGACACACTTTCCTGTTTTATTGAAGCTGCAGTATCTGATGTAGATTTCAAATCGATGCATCAGATCTCGTGCAGTTAAAACACGCGTTACACACCTTGAGCTGCAGCTTTCTCCAGCAGCCGGGCTGCAGTGCTCAGGCATATTCTGAGCCTGGCTACGTTGAGCAGGAACTCTGCTGGGTCTTCTTGTCTGCCTGGAGTCTGCTTCCTGGCCACTCGGCTCAGGAATTTGATATCTGCCTGCCTTTGCTGTTCTACTCTGCTCTGTTCCACTTCTCTCGCTTCTGAGCACAACAGAGAGTCCTGAGAAAAATCAGATATGGCATTAATAAAAAATGGGCTAATGGCATTAGAATTCATGTTATTACACGGGACATGATTTCTGGCCGAATACTACTTAGCACCAAACATGAGGGCAAAATTAAAGAAACAAAAATAATGAGGGAGGTTATCGTCACTCTGTGGGCAGTGTTCATGCAGAAAAGCAGAAATGGAGTAAAGTTTGAGTCTTTTACCTGGAAGCAGTTGACAAACAGCAGGTAGAGTTCAGTACGATCTTCTCTGGCCAGAAGATTCTCCTCCAGATTCTTCAGGTAGGTCTGAATGTGAGCCTTCACCTGCTCAAAACTGACAGACATACAACGATTTACCAACATGCAGTTTATAGACAAGCGATACTGTAGTTACATTAAGTATAAATGGGGGATGTTTTAGTTGAATTTGATCCATTTTAGGAAGATTTCTACTTTTGTTCCACTGCTGTTCAGTAGAAAATATGGTAATAGGGAATAAATCACAAAATTTTGCTGGTCAAGAGCAATATTTCAAAAAAGACAGCTTTCATCTAATAGCTTCCAACATGTAGAGAATAAAAAGAATATATATATAAAATATATCTTATGTGTATTATTAACAATATCAACATTTCATTTTAAAATATCTTGATTATCATCAATATCAGTTTAAAGTGACACACTTTATTCATACTGTACTGTTCTTATTTTCCTAATGTGGTGTCACTGCTTTTAAAAGAGCACTTCCTCCGCCGGCTCACTGCGTTCAGGCTCACCTGTATTGCAGCAGCAGTTTTGGCAGCACAGATCGCACCACAGGGCTGTTATCCACACACTCCAGGAAGGGAGTGAGCTCTCTGGTCCTGAACACATCTCCTGCATCACACAGGAATATAAGTGGTAAATGCATTCGTTATCACATCAGATATTCAGTTATTATCACTGACTTATTGGCTCACTGACCGTTAGCAGAGACCAGTAAGGAGAAGAGCAGCTCCACCACTCCCTCTCCGGGCCTCTGCCCCTCTGACAGACAGAACCTGGACACCACCTCCAGGAAGAAAGAGTTACAGCAGTCCCTGATCGCTGCATGCTGCTGCAGTGCTGCCCTGGAAAATGACAAGAAGAAAAGTACTATTTGTAACATTTCAACAGCGTTCAAGTTCAAATTCAACTATTCACGTCACAAATACAGGTTAAATTCAATTTATAGTTTAAGTTATTTTTATTTTCAGTCATTTGTCTGACTGATTTGTCGCCAAACATCAAGAAAGTGGGTCTTATATAATATGAGCCTGTTAGAGGGTTACTGGCGTTCTGCAGATACAGTGAGGAACTCTTTTGTTGAGACCAAGAAGGACAATAAAATAATAACCCTAAGGTGTGTTGGTTTAGTTTCTGAGTGCATTGATATGTTAACTTAAAGGTCCAGTGTGTAACACTAGGATCTGTTGTCAGAAATGGAATATAATATTCATAGGTATGTTTTCATTATTGATAATCACCTGAAAATAAGAATTGTTCTGTTTCTTTTTTACCTTAGAACAAGATGTTTTTATTCATTATGAAGGAGTGGTTCCTCTTCAGGGGACCACCTTTTCCACCATGTTCAACCACCATGTTTCTACAGTAACCCAGAACGGACAAACAAACACTGGCTCTAGATAGGGCCTTTTGCCCTTTTTGCGAGCCACCGTAGTTTATCTTACACACTTGGAAGGTGAGGGTTATTCAGTTGGTTGCAATCTGCAACCACTAGATGCCACTGAATCCTACACACTGGTCCTTTAAATGAACTGAAATTAATGCAGAGTTGTGAGCTTGGCAACGCAAGAGTGTGGGCCAGTCTCCAACCACAAAGCTTTAGAAAGGGAGCAAGTCCAGCTCAACAGGGTTCAGGTACGGTCTTGGCAACCATTAGCATTAACTACATGTTCTGACCTGTTAGGTGGTAGAGACCACGCCTTAGTATTAATAAATTCCTCTAGGTTTAACAACTTAACATTTCTCCAGTAATAAATGTTGATTATTTATTTACTATCTTGAGTGGAGTTTCCATACGCAGAAATACATGTGTATCATTTCTATGAAGGATTTTTCTGAACTCACTTGATGGTAGGAGACACAGTTGGTTTGAAGTCGGGCGGAAGGTCTGTCCTGCATTTAGGACAAGAATGTCTTTGTGGCTGAAGCCAGCGTTGGAGACACGGCAAACAGAAGACGTGCTGGCAGGGCAGGACAGACGGCTCTGTGAGCTCCAGGAAACACACTGGGCACAAAATGCCAAACCTTAACAGAACAAAATATCACCAGAGATCAGATATTGTACCAGGAGATAATAAAAAGCTATTTAGAATAAGTACAGATGTTCCCTTAAAACTAAATACAAACTGCAAAGGCAGATCCTGACCTCAGATCCCTGCTGATACACTCCGCATGAAAAGAGTTAAGGATCCGGATCAGTTTTTGCAGTGTGTCCAGGGTCCTTACATCAGGTGACTCCTTCATCAGCTGTTACAAAATGAGAACCAAAAAAATCTGAAAACACACGTCTCCCTCATCTCCCTCTCGTCTGACTGCTTACAACTACCAAAACATTTTACTTTTGTTTGTTAAAGATAAACTGTGAGTTTACAACTATGTCTGCTGCTCTTATTAAGACATCTCTGGTCCATTAAGATCCCTTCTTGCTCTTGGTTTTATCTTATTTCTACTCAAGTTGTTGTTTAGTTGTTGTTTGCTTTAGCAGGAGTTAGTTAGGTAGGGAGCCACCTTACCTGAAAAAAAAGACTCCTCAATGCTGTCAGATACTTAGAATAACTTTTTTTCACATCTAACACGGTGAATTAATTAATTTCGACCAAACCAGCACTGGTGATTGTTGGAAAAGTGAAAAGACAAACAAAAATGTTTGGTGAGTTTTATTTAGATTCTGTCCTGTCTGAGGTTGTGTTTTACGATTCTGGTGGGCCGTAGAGCTCATTTGTTTTGGAGATGTTGGTGCTCTAGTGCAACATCTAGTGGCAATTCATTTGTGTATGTGTATATGTGTAACCTATAACCTAAAAAGAAAAAAACAGTTGAGGTGCTATTTCACACAGCCAATGTCAGTGAATAAAAATCCTGCAGAGAGACCTCATGTAATCAAAATGAATATAAAATATCAAAATGAAAACCCAGATCTTGAAACCATTTTACTTACGTTCAGGTGAAGGTTGCAGTGTTTGAGAGCCAGTTCCTTCAATCTTGAGTCATCCGGTTTAACCTTAAAAAGGATGTGCTGGATGAAAGACCCGACAACCAGCATCCCATACCACAGTGATCTGAAAAGGCAAATGAGGTTATAAATAAGCTGAAAACGTTATTTTTCTCACTGTACATCTTGCCAGACTCACCTGATAGAGTCCAGATGTTGCAGACAGCTGGGGCTACAGAGGGCACTGTATTTCTGACCGAACGCTCTATCCAGACACGGCTGCAGAAACTCCACCCTGCTCACAAAGGACTTGCACTCTTGCAGGGACGTCACGGTCTGGAGTTTGGTCTGCTCGACACAGACACCGAGGGCTAAAATGTCCTCCAACTGCCAAAAATAAAAGACATCATGCTCATCATAAAATGATAACATGTTAACATTGTTATAGTTAGCATTGTAGGTGTTGTTATGCTGATTTTTGGCATTCGACATTATCACTAGTCTGAGCAATTTGAGCTGTTGGTGACACTAGATTAAACTTCATGTTTCAATAATTAAATGCAATTGTCAAAAAGATATTTAGAAATTTCAAATGATGATGATGATTATTATTCCCACCATTTCTTGGGGCTCCCTATTTGACACCTGCTGAAACACACTGTTGGCTAACTGGGGCTGCAGCAGAAATATGTGGCAGAGAGTGTCCAGTCTGAGGGCAAAATGTTTGGCAGCAGCCATTATCCAAGCAGGAGAGAGGTCAGCGGTGGCACCCATGGACGTCTGAAGCTCGGACACACAGCCCAACATGGCCCTGGAGAACACCTGCATATGACACATGTGAAAAGTCAAGACTATTCGGCTGTTCCCAAAATATATTCCACCTAAATGTGTAACTCATAAAGTCCATACCCTAAGCTCGTCCTTGGACTTGATCTTCAAAGAAAGCAGCAGGTAGTCTTGTAGGTAGTGGTGGCCGTACTCCAATCTCTCCTCGTCTGAGAGTTTTTGTAAGTGAGTGCCCAGCGTGCTGCTGTTGAAGGCACTCACAAACTTGAGAATCCTCTCTGTGTCATCCTCTCGTGTTGCTGAAGATCAATTACAAGAGCGAGAAAATACGATTTGAAACCACACCATACTGTACCATAAACACCTCATGATCTCTCCAACTGAATGTACATTTAGCCATTTAGAAAAACTCCTGCAAACCTGGAGTAAATTCTGATTCTTCCCACAGCTTTTCAAGGTGCATTGTGATAATCCAGCTGAATGCAGCAGCGCAGGGTTGTTCTTCACCATCCAACATGAAATAGTGCTGCACAAGCACCTCCTGGTCTGAATCACTAGAAATGTAATAAAGAAGCATTACACCTTTGTTGATTAAATTCACTGTGGGAATTATACAGAAGAAGTAATCCATAATACCTTGAGTTTTGAAGAGGTGTTATGTCTAAAATCTGCGAATCTGCCAGGATGTCCAGCCACAGCTTTTCCAGGCCATGGCTGAGCTTGCCATCTGAGAGGAGGTCCAGATTTGCATACCTGTCCATAGCTTCCAACATGCTGGCCAAAATTGGAGTCACGGTGGACTGAAGACGGCGCCACAGGGTATGTCTGTCAGTTAAAGACACAAAAGGAAGCTGCACTTGATCAAATCATTGACTTGACACAGGGAAGAACTTAAAGAGTGCATTTTAAAAACTGGATCTGGATGAAAATGCACATTGCAAAATTCTCAGATACACAGCTTGAGCCAAATTCATACAAACCAAGAAAAACTTGTTCCTTGTCCGATTGCCTAATCTTTCAACCATTTTATTTTAACATTATCGGGCTTGATAACTTTACCTCAGTGTCCCCCCCTCCTGTAGAGCGTGGCGTTTTTTGGCTTCTCTGCTCACCCACTCCTTAGGGACATCCATCACTTGTTCTCTCTGTGCCAAAGCCTCTTTCAGTCTACTTAACAACACCTCCTGAAAGTGAGCTTTAATAAAGTACATAGTTGACATCCATCAGAAACAAGTCAGAGTCAGAAATGCAACTGAGAAATCAGAAGTGCAAGACTGACTGAATTTGCTCCTCCAGATGTATAAACAAACAAACAAATACAAAATGAACACAACCCTCTGGGACCTCTGCAAATACACTCCTGTCAATTATATGGTATTAATATACAAACTAAACTCATTCTCAGCTGGATATATTTACCTCCTCTTTGCCCAGTTCCCAGAAGAGTCAGAAGGATGTGATTCCGCTGCATGCTTCGTGATTTCACACCATCGGTGTCCCTCAGCAAACCAACAGCTTTTTGGATACATGATCTCACTAAGGATAGGCTGTGGAGGTGGGCTCTACCTGTCTGTAAATTAAAATTAAGTAACATTAAAAACTAAGCTATAAAAAATATAAAGGAGGTTTATTTATTCTTAAACTTTGTATTTACCTGGGAGTCTTCTATCTGCCTCACAGATTCTCCATCTTCATTGAATTCTATTAAAGATCAAGAATATTGTATATTAGCCTAGAAAACAATGAAACCACTTTATTCTCAATTATTAATACAACACACCTTTAAAACCGTAAGATTTACAGTTTCTACCTGATGGTGCAGGGTTAAGTAGGTTGCTAATGAGAGTTCCACAGAAACCCAACAGGTTCAGGCTCATGTCTTCTGAATCCCTCAGGTCATCGATATGCACTGACTGCCAGACTCCTTTGATGCAAAAAAACATAACATGGCTTTAATCTTGTAATACATCATGTACGATTCAGTCAGCAAATAATTGTACTGCAACAATTATTATATTCCACTTAGTACCCACCTCCTTGGAAACCAATGTACTGAGATTGACTTGGGATCCTAGAAACCTTAACAATGAAAATCACCCAACAGGTCTGATCCGCCAAGGACATCAAGTAATTCATGGTGCAATATCTGGAAGCAGATTGAATCATAAACACAACTGAAACACTTAAAATCACATTTCAATCTGTATGGGATCTTGAGATTGAGCCTTACTTTGCTGATGCTATGAGCTCGTCACTGCAGGTGGATTCCTCAAGGTCCATCTGGATTAAGAGGAGTTGAAGAGAGTGCCCAGCATCTTGAAGGAAGCCCCTGAACCACAGAAGCAAGTAAGAGAAATATTTAAAGGCAAAAATAAAATAAATAAGCCATGCTGCTGTTGTCTGAATAGTTAGTACCGTATCTTGTTGCAGAAGGAGACCTCAGTGTCAAACTGGTGGAGTGAGAGCAGGAGGATCTTGTCTGTATGCAGTCCTAGGGCATGGGCTACAACTCTGACATCTGATCTGGTTAGCAAGCTGGAGAATGTTGTTATCTATACAAAATCCCAAAGAGGACAGTGATGTTACCAATTTGCAAAGATTGTAAAGAAAAGATAAAAACAAAATTCGAGCAGCAGTTTGTTGCTTACCTCTAGAAACTTGCTGGACCCTTGCTGCTTTTTCAGACAATCTTCCAGGAAATCTCGGAGGGAGTGGTGATGTTGTTGCTGGAAGTACATTCTCTGGAGTTTCTCATTCTCCTGCTTTGCTAAATCTGAATACTTGAGCCTCACCACTGCATCGGGGGTGGCACAGTTCAACAGGAGACCTTTAGCTAAATCGAAGACTTCTTCCTCCTCGTTTTTCCCAACAGATCCAACATCGTTTTCTGTCTCCATCATTTCTTCACTATCAGACATCGCTTTGTTCTCGTCATCACATGGCTCAGTGGATTCATCATCTTTCTTCTCCATTTCTTTCTCTTTTCCAGCAATCTCTATGTCCATTTCATCACCCATCTGATTGCCTTCCTGATCCGTTACTTCTTCCTGTCTGCTTGAATTTGATTCAAGTGTTTCATTTGGTTCCTCCTCTGCCAGTGAGTCATCTTTTTCAGTCTGTTGATGTTGTCTTACTGCAGTGTCTTCAGCTTTTTGTGTTCTCTTTTCTAGTGCTTGCAAGAGAGCACTGGCACAGGCATCACCATGGTACCCAACAAAAATGTCAGAGAGCTCGAAATCCTCTGAGGCCTCCTCACCTGAGAATTCCTTCACCCAATCCTTCAGTTTTTCGAGAACCCTGTGTTGCCATGGCTCCAGATCAGTACTCCTGTCCACCCTGTGTTTTTCAAGCCTGTTGATGAGGGGCATGGGAAAGTGCTCATAGACCTTCTTCTGGTCTTCCACTACCACCAGTCTGAAGTTGGTTTGGACACGACATTTGACTCTGTGGGAGCCGAGACCAAGATCAACGTATTGCTGCTTACTGAGGTAAACATAGTACTGGTTCAAGGCGTCGTACAGGCTTTCATAAAGATTTTGCATATTGAGGAGGATGACAGTACGTCCAGTCTCCATGCATGTTTTCACCCGGTTAACGTTACGGCAGATTTGGGCATATTCCTGGTCCTTTGGGAATCCCGAGCCAAAGACAATTTCAGGTGGTGGATAGTCTCCTTTGGCAAAGATTTGTTGCTGAAGGATATGGAGAGCAGCATTGTTGGTAGTCAGCAGAAGAAGGTAACGACTCTCCTGATTGGTGTCATGATCAAGATTCTTTTTCACCATTTGCAAGGTGCTTGGTCTGGGAATATCTGTTAAGTTTTGGAGAACCTCTTGGAAAAATACGACTGGATCAAAACCCTCTGGCTGTCCACTGAAGTTACGCAAGATGGCCTCAACTAACTGTCCACCATCAGGTTCTTGTTGTGTGGATTTGACTGCGGCAAAGAGCATTTTGACTAGGCTGTAATAATCCCTTAGACCAAAGAACTGATTTTTTGAGGATTCTTTACAGATGCTCAAGAAGGCCTTTGCCAAAGATGGGAAGAGGTGTTTGATTTTCAGGAGAATTTGGTTGGAGGAAGCACAAATTCCCTTAGCAGTTTCCACAAGTTCATCCTCACTTGGATCCCATCTGGACACAAATATTCCTCTGTTCATCTTTGCTGGGTCAAGAGCCCAGTTGGAAATGCCCACAAAGCCAACCTTCATGTGTGGATCTGGCTTGTCATTGTCAATGCAACCATCCTCCAAGAGAGGATGAAGGGTCTTCAGGGGCATCTGAGGAGAATCTTCCGCTAGTCCTATCTCATCAAGAACCACCACTGATACATACTCGTCCATGTTTTTGTCTTTCTGGAAGCGGGCACAGTTCCTGAATGTCCCTATGATGCCCTCAGGACTTGAGTGAGGACTGCACTGGAAGGAGACCATATGAACTTGCTTAAGTTTCTTGAATAGTTCACAGTGAGAGTTCTGGCCCTGCATGGCATCAGCAACTACTGTTTTAGCAAGAGACTTAGAGCTGCCTGGCTTGCCAACCAGAAAGAGTGGGATCCTGAGCTCAATGCAAACCACCATGAGAAACACATTCTCTTTGAGTGCAACATTTTTGGCTATGGTCTCTCTTGTCTGTATGTTCTGAAGGAAGATGTCTTGACAGGATGAAATCTCTTTCTGCAATGCTTCTGAAGAGTGGAGAGGGTCTGGAAAGTACCTACAAATTACGGAGAGGTACTGATCCTTGTCCACCAGAGATGGGTAGTAGCAGACTCCAACTGAAAGAATCAAGCACTTCAGTGTTTTATGAGCCTCACTGAGATGAGGGCAGTTTTTGAAAAGAGCTTCACTGTGCTGGTAAAACCAAACTAGCACTTTCATTGACCTCTCCACATCTCTGAGACTCACAAAACTGCACTCATTTTTCCGACTTCGCATATACTCTTGGGAAGCTCCCAGAACTTTTGAAATTATGTCCTTGCAGGCCACTGGCAAATGATGGTCGTGAACTTTCTTCTGGACGATCTGTTTGATGTAGGAAAGTTCAGTAGAATCACTCAACTGACCAAAATCCCAGACCAAAGACACCATGCTTGGAGGGAGAGGATGAACTCTGTACACCAGCTGCCTCAGAGGAACTTTGCCAAGGCGGTCTTCGGTTTCATTTGCCTTAACCCTGTATCCCAAACCTGCACGTTCCAAACGTTCCACCATTTCAGGTGAATGCTTCCTGTAAGGATTGCAAGCAGCTATTATTTTCAAGCCACTGCCTGCCTTCAGAGGTTCCCCTTTCATTGACTGGTCACACAGGATTTCCTTGATGGCAAAAATGGCCTCTGTGGTGTTGGCTTCATCAAAGAACAAAATGGTGTCTAGCTTGTGCATTCTACGGTTTTTCTCAGCAAGTATCTCTGCCTCCATCACCTTTCTGTAGATCATCGCTGCTGTAGTTCCACCATGTACCTTGACAAGTACCATGTTCTCTGCAGGTTTTTCCTCCCTTTGCAGGGCACAAAGAAAACGGACTAATCGTGTTTTTCCACAGCCGGTCTCTCCCATGATGACAACTGGAATTTCACACCGGAATCTCATGTGTATGGCCAACATCTTCATCACATTGTCAGCAGTGAGCTCATATGTTGGGTCTGGATCAAATTCTCTTCCTATCATTCCTTTCATTGCACCAACAACGCATGAAATCCTTCTGATTTTGTCTGGCCGGGGCAACTGATCGAAGTCTTCAGTGAGAGAGATCCTTTGCCGTTCCAAACCTTGAAAAAGTTTTTCTGACATCACATTTTCTATCAGGACCGTGAGGCTAAGAGGATCAACGGCATTGAGGGTGTTTCGCCACTTCTTCACATTAAAGCCAAGGAAAGACATTGAGGATCGGTCTGCATTAAAGAAAATGTATGGATGAGACTCATTTTCCCAGTGCTTACGAATTGTCAGACGGGCAAGAACGTCATCCTCCTGACTGTTATCAATGTGCATCATGGGACTTTTGTCAGATGTGTTTAGAGATGGCGAGGCAAAATCCCTTGCCATTAAAATCATGAACTTCACAATGAAGCCCTTGAAACCAGGGAGATGGTCAGCCAGAAAATCTGGATCACAGAAAACTGAGTTTTCACAGTCTTTCAGTTGCACATTGAGGAACCAGGAGAAGTTCTTCAGCTCTGCCCATGATGGATCTTGCATCCCACAGTCTGACAAAAAGTGATGGATACAGTCATCAGGATTCCCCACTCTGGATCCTTCCTGGTACTTAAAATGATCTAGATTCTGATTGTTTCGGTAGAGTTTTAAGTACTGATACGGCCTTTGTATCCCTTCACTGCAAAACTCCTGTTCATCCATGAGTGGATCAAAGGTCTGCTTTGTCGACACCCTTCTAGTGGCCATGACCTCTTTTGGAGGTCTACAATGGATGGTAGGCAGAATGTCAAGAAGTCCAAACCTCATCTGTATGAGCAAATGAAACACAGATTTATTAAATCAATTGCAGCCTGAGGCAATTTTGTAATTTTGCTTTACGTTCAATAAGGGGCAGAGTCCCTTAATTTTCTGACAGTTACCATGCATGCTGAAAACAATTATGTTCTGAAAGACATTGCTACCTGTTTTGGCTGGTTTTGAGGTGACATCTTTGTTCTTAAGACCTCAACAGTGATCGAGTGAGCCACATTTCTTCTCCACAACATGCCATGGCTATCACTTAAACAGCCCAGAACTAACAGATGGAACAGGAGCTCCTCCAGACCTGAACGAACCTGATAGGTAACAAAAGTGAAAAAGGAGACAGGCTCTCAAATATAACCAACAATAGAACAAGTTGTCTGCAGGGATACATGCTTGCATACTTACTCCAGCAGTGTCAATGTGCAGGAGAACAGGGTCTTGCTCTCTCAAGGGTGCCAGTTTCTCTGATAGACTCTTAATTAAAGAGTCTACATCAACGCATGGCTCAATTAGTCTGATCGTAATATGTTCTGCTCTGGGAGATCTGTGCTGCAACTTCTCAAATAAACGATCCACATAAAGAGATTTCCCTATTGATAGAAAAAAGAAGAATGTTAAGAAAAAAAACTGTAACTGAAAGCAAAATGTTAGTGTTTAACAAAATAGAATGCAGTGTTCACAGAACAAACAAATTATATTCTTTCCACCTTTGTACAAGCATTTTCAGAATGGTATTCAAATTAGGGTTACCCTTACCAACTGCAGGGCGTACAGATGACACCATCCAGACTGAGAGGTGATCTGGAGAAACCAGGAGCGCATTTTGTGTGAAGTGGTGATGTAGATATTTCCTGGCAGTCTCTGCTGTTAGACTCATGCCAGCCTGTACTTTGTCATTGCTGAAGAAAGAGGGCACATATCTGTGCTGCTGCACAACAGGACTGACTATTACCAAACGATAATGCGGGTTGGCACATCTCGCAAGATCCTCAAAGAGCTTCTCTAAGGCCACACTGACATCATATCCCAGCAACCCTGGATTGACAAGAGAGTATATCTTCTGCCAATTTTGTACAGAGCCTTGGCCAAGAGCTCGGCGGAGAAAGATTTCTACCTCCTCCTCAGTGGTTTCCTCTCTGCAGACTAGGACCTCATCATTAGATGGCAGAGGCTGCTCTGGACTCTCCATGTAACAAGACAGAGTGGTGGCAAAAACCTCTGCACCAGGACAAAGAATGAGATTGGGCTTTCCCTCCTGGAGAACCAGTGGAAGCTTCCTGATCATGTGTTGCTGATTCCTTTCAGAGAGGCATGAGAGGAAATGGGCCAAAGTTGAGATGTCCAAGCACTCGTTGAGGTACTGTTGCATGCCGTCCTTGAATTTACGCCAGAGTTCTTCAAGACTGTCCTCAACGAGCTTCCTGTTGCGATCAGTGTCACATCTCATCACACCATCACCCTCATCCTCTGAAGAAAACTCCATCAAATCACGAGCCTCATCCATGTCCTCTTCTGTGTCTGTGTCATCTTCCAGTTCATCGTGCTTTGAGATCATACTTGCTGCATAAGTGTAAGCGACTCTGACATCAGTTAGAGTGCACTGAGGCTTTATGGGAAAAAGCAAATGCCATAACTGTGGGGGAACTGAAGCGTGTCGTTGACAGACTTTGTGTATCCAGTGGCACAGGTACACTATCTGCTCTGAGGTGTAGTGGTTCAGGAGGTTGAAGTTGGAGCGCATCTCACTGATGAAGGAACGCCATTGACTTTGGCAGCTCTCCATGGAGTTAGCCAGCTTTTGTAGCTGCTCAGTCACCTCACCGTAGTACACCATCTCTTTACCCATCAGGGATAGGAAGGCAACTTTGATGCACGGTTGCTGTTGTGGGCAGCACTGGACTCCAGCGTGCCATTCCCTGAAGAGCATGTTGCCAGATGTTTGCATCTGAAGAAGGATGGCACCCAGTCTCTGAACTCCTTCGAAAACCTACAGTACACATGGACAAGAGTGTAGGGATTTATACAGTTGATCTCAACAGATAACTCAACCAGTCTTTGGTTAAAGTTGAACATTTTCTATAATAACAATGGATCAAATGATTACATGTAGGATAAAAATATGAAAGGTGTCAGTCATGGTGACTTACACTCACAGTTACCTAACTCTTTCATTCACCTCACATATCTAGAGAGAGCTTTTTAGCACACTATTTTGGTTTTACAGTAAACGTAATGAATGGTTAAGTCTCAGCACTATCAGCAGCAGGCAGCTGTTTAGCATACAAGCTCCAATAAACCCACTGTACACTTCCTGCCCTGCATCAAATACCAAACAAAGTTAGAGACTAGCTGGTGAAGACTGTATAAAGTACACCGATCAGTCATAACATTATGACCATTATGGCTGATCTGTGTACTTTATACAACGAAATCTACTTCCTGTTCTACTTTACCGTGCAATTTCATCATTAAATGAAATAAAACCTAGCTTTAAAGCTGTTAATATACAACAGCATGGAACCATGCTCAGCATGAACAGCATGGAACCATGCTCTTCCATTTTTGTTGCAATTCATCATCTAAATCATCTCCCACCACTGTATATTGTAGCCACTGACCTCTGTGAACCTGTTGACTTGTTCTCTGCCCTTCTCCCCTTTGGACGACATGAGCATGAGTTTGTTCTGTAGCTCCAGCAGATCTTCAAGCTTGTAGCTCTTCTCCTCTCTGCCCTTTATCACTGTGACGTGTACCATGTTTTGTAGACATCTCTGCAGACAAGCGAAAGAAAATGCCTCATAAATATCTTATGAATTCAGTCAGCAAGGTCCTACATCTTGGTATCCTTGGCTGTGTGTCCACTTACCTTCTCTGTGTTTTCATCAGACCATCCTATGTGATAAACTCCATGAGAATTAATAGAATTAGCCAGGGAGAGAGAGGACTGCTCCACAGAGCCGTGGGTCTCCTTCAGTGTTTTCAGCCAGTCCAGCAATCGAGTAGACTCTTTCTGGAAAACAAACCCAGTGGCATCATTGTCACTTTGCCACACTAACAGGGCTTTATGTTGCTGCATAGAAATAAAAGAGAAGTAAATACCAATTTGTCTGGTAGCTTCTCATCTCTAAGTTGGGTGTCCCACACCTGCTGAGCACACTTCATGAACTCCTCAAAGCCAGTGTGAGGTGAGAGGCTGTAGAGCAGAGGGGCGTAGCCCATCACTGCATCATGGAAACAAGCCACCTGGTCGATCTCTTGGTCATTCTCTCCAGCAGATATGGAAGCCAGCTCGACATAGACCTTTACGTCGCTCATATCTGTCGAGGGGACAGAAAAGCGAGCAGGTATTCATCATCTGCAAAACTAAAGACAACTTGTGTTTTTGCTTCAACCTAATCTTACTTTTAAGGTTCTCTTTGACCCAGCTGACCAGAGTTTGGCTCGCTAGAAACTCTTCCAGACAGGCAGTGTGCTGCTTGGTGACTTCGGAGAGTTGCTGTCTAGCACGAAACAGGTCATCGCTTAGGGAACCCAGGGCCCTCTGCTTAAATGTGTCTTCTTCCTGTTAAATAGGTGCACACATAATAAAAACATTATATATAAATTTTTAATTTCGCAAAGGTTATATATATGGGATTTTGAACATTAATATAACAGCAAACAGCTATTTTCTATGTTTCTGTCTACTCTGAATGAAGTTATGATACTAAACTAAACTTCTAGTGGTCGACTTTGACGCATTTCTCCCAAAAGCCATATTTGTCTCAAATATTTTGTATATATATAACCCTTTTTTTTTTCTTTTTTTTTTTACTAAAAATAGCTATCCCACTTTGTCAGATCCCAAGACTATTACCAGTTGGCTGAGGGTGTCAATTTCTGTGAAATTCCCGGAAAGCTTCATTTTTTCTGCAATCTTCAGTATAGCACTGGCTGCAGCCGCTGCCTCGTGGAGCTGTCGATAATTCTGGATCTGACCAAGCCTCTGGTCCACCCAGTTCTCCTTGGGTTTCAACCTTCCTGACACGCTGAATGTCTCTGACATCAGACTCAGCTCCTTCCTCATTAGCTGCCCGTCTCCTTGGTCACCAGACTCCACCAAAACCTGATCAAGCAGCTTGAAAGTGATGTCTGCATTTGCAATGCTGACACCAAGCTGAGTGAACTCTGTCAGAAGCGGCTCCCAGATCGTTTCGTAGATCTGTGTTAGCGTGACTGGAACAGGGACTGGGCAGGTTTGCCTTGCTGATGCCAAAGATGCAGCCCCCTTGACCCAGAGGGACAGAATCAGGCTGCTGTGATGCAGTTTATGCATCTCACTGGCCATTTTCAAAACTTTCAGACTGGCCTTATACCAGAAGACCTGGGGAGGGCCAGTCTTCCCCAACTTCCCCTCAGCATTAAAGGACTGAACCAGCACCAATCTGTTCAGGCCCACAGTCTGGAGATCTGCACTGTGCTGCTCCACCAGAGTCGACATCTCAGGAACTGGTTAAAAAAGAACCACGTTACTTAAGAAAACAACCCCTAAAACCCCGATACAGAATCAAAATCTCTTAACTTAAGAGAGTACCTTAGTAGTTTTACTTACCAGTGATGCTTTCTGTAACCTTTGCTATCATCTTTATCAGTGTATCCATCTGCTGTTTCAGCAGGGTGTAAGGGGCTAAATCCTTCTCTCTCTGAGCCAAAACAACAGCTGCTTCAACAGAAACTGTCTCAGATTTGGTGTTTTTCTTGACTGTGTAAGACACAATGCAACTATGATTAATTAATACAGTTTTTTTCATATCAGGAGAAGTTAAATGGAGTAATCATGGAAGGCTGTAATTATAATGATAAGATTCATACACTGCTGGTAAAGTCTCTTAAACTGCTCTTTATATTTCAGGCAGGTCCGTAGGTGTCCCAGGGGCACGTGTCCTTGAAGCAGAGACTCCACCAGAGATTGCAGTGCAATCACAGAGCTGTGGACAACCTGCGCCGCAGTGTCATCCACCGTGATCGACTTCCAATCACCTGACCCATAACAATGACAATGTGACCATTACAAAGCTTTAAAAGTACAAAAACGTTGTGGAAAAAGGAAAGTATATAGATATAAATGAATGGAATACATAATGAAGTACCTTGAGACAGGAAGTGGTTCATGGCGGACTGTGGATCCAGCAGCTGCACTACAGCGTCGTCTCTGAATCGTGCTGCCGACTCAACCACAAAAGCAGACATCACAACATCTGGGAGATCCTTCACCTTGGTCCTGAGACTCTCCAGCAGGTCTCCCTCCTGCCCTCTCTGAAAACATGGATGCATGATCATATTTAACTCAGGGACTTTAATTGACCTGCCTGGTTTGAGAAATGTAACAAATGGTTTAAATTAACTACTTAAGAACATCTGCATGTGGGGAAGATGCACCCAAGTGCATTATATGATGTGTGATAAAAAAAATCTAAATTAAAGCAGATGCCATCTTATCTGGTGCTGCTTCTCTGTGAGAATGATGCAGCCTGTACAGATCATCAGTATGTACTGTACCTGGCAGACTGTCTTGATGGCAGACTGACACAGCTCGTCGAAACAGGTCTGTACAACGTTGTGGCTTTTCCTTATAGCTGCCAAGGAGAACTTATGGCAGCAGACTAGTACTTTCTCCTCCTCACTTGCCTGCAAAGCAAACAGGAAAACTGTAAAAGGAAAGCCTTTACCTGCTGGCACTAGATTCCTGTTTGAATCTGTGCTGATCTGAGTTCAGAACTGACCTTGGAAATTCTCTTCCTCAGGTCTTTTGTGAGGTTCACCTCCCAACGGGATGAAACTTCTTCAAGAGAGCATTCCACCTTCAGCAGCGCGTCCCACATCTGATATTAAATAGATAGATTTACTTTGTTAATCAATTTACTTTATAAATGGTTTAACTGCATGATTTAAGGCTTATCACGTAACTTTTATTGTGGAATTTATATATACATTTTCACTAGTAATATCATTTTCAGCACTGTTTTTCCACTTTATCAGAGGGATCACTGTCTTCTTGCAGTAGGGAACAAAACCTCTGGGTGTTAGGGTACATACAAATCTGAATGAAAAGGTTGTAAATCAATCTTTTTTCCTATCGATTATTTTTGGTGAAACACAGATGTTGAACTGTGTACCTCAATTTCCTTTGGGTAGGAGAGTGCTTTTGCTGTCACAAGGGGTTTTTGCAGCAGTTCATCTCTCCACTCACTGACTTGCTGCTGCATGAGATGTAGGTCCTCCAAGAGTTTCTGCTTTAAGGTCTTAAACTCATCTTCAGAAGACTAAAAGGCACAAAAGGAATACAGTGGATTAAAGTTAGTGTTCCACAATGAGGCAGTGAGAGCACACGATAAAGACATTAATACCTCTTTTCTCAGTTTAGCGTCCAAAATCTCTGCCAATTTTACAACTAGTTGGTAGGACAGGACTGCAGCTTGGTACCAGGGGACGAGTTGCACAATTCCGCATGTGCTCTTCAACACACTGAGGCTGCTCATGAAGGCTGGCTCGATATTTCCAGATTCAATCATCCTACAGACACAGAGCAACAGTTACAGCGAGCAGATCACAGGTCATTAGTGGGACTTTATTATTCAAGATCATTACCTGTCCTTCTCTTTGTCTACCTTCAGCAGGATATGGGTCAGGGTTTTCTGAAAGGACAAACATTATCACATCATTTTAAAGATGTTATTTCAAATGTTAAATATTGTCATTTGCAGATTTGCTCACCTTCACATGCTCCTGTGTTCTGTTGTGATCCCTTGTCTCTCCACACTTTCGCAGTCTGTACAACAAACTCTGGATCAGGTGTTCTACAGGTATTCCTGTCAAGTCTGAAAATTCAGGAAGATCCTCGAATGCAACCAGAGATGACCAGCTCTGCAGGAGCAGAGGCGACTCTTTGGTCATAGATAAGTGTGTCCTGAACAAAGACAGCATTCTCCTGTGAAAAAGAAAAATGTTATTTCAACAAAATATGAAGCATACCATTCCTGGTTGCTATGAGCCAAACTCACTTTCTTTTGTCAGGGTGGAACTGTATGCTCTCCCTAAACCTGCTGAACTGGACATTTTCAAGTCCTGACCAGTTCTCCTCCTCGACAGTTGGGCCCACTTTTGCTGCATCTGCTCCTGGCTGCCTGAGTCTGAAGAGCAGAGGAACGAGCAGGACGAGCTCCAACACCGACTGCTGCGCACAGATGTTCATCAGAGCCAACACAGTACTGAAGGGAAGAAACAGAGTATTGGGAGGTCAAACATCATCATCAACATACCTTCAGATAAATACTCCTCTTACTACTCAGGATCAATGAGCACACCACGGCTATGTCCTCTGTACTTTATAGGAGTTTATATTCTATAGTTCCGCATTTTGTATTTCTCCATAACCATAATTTCTCCACCATCTGCTGCAGTCAGGTTAACTTTCCACTAGTTAACACAAATTAAAATTCCGGCCTTAACCATGTTCTTCTTGGGACAAATCTGGGTCCTATTCCCTGATTAATGGGTTATCGCTATTTAAGTTTATCGCCTAACTCCAACCATCTTCACTTAAGTTAAATTCTAGCCCAACCACTGAATTGAAACACCTACTGAATTGAAACACCTACTGAATTGAAATACCAGCCTAACTTGGATTTGATCCTGTGGAACACCTCTTTATACTCCCTTCACCCTAAGTGACACACATGGGCCCATGCCTTGACTTCTCTCTATTCCAAACCATGTACTCATCGGGAAGCACAGGAAGAGTCACCGTGATAGATTAGTACCCCTAACCCTAACCCAAACCCTAACCCTGGGAACAACCACTACCTTCCCGGAAAGGTAATTTTATCATTACAGAAGTTTTTCTATCAATTCAACCTGTGCCAGTCCACCTCAAGCTATACACTGCCTTCTATTAAGCTAACCCTAACCATACCCCTGCTGCTGACCTTAAACTTAACCCTGGGAACATAAAATCTTAGGAACATAGGACCCAGGGAACACTGGACCTTTGTCATGTTCCCATTATGTCCCATATACATCTTGGGGACACAGGAATGACGCCGTCATGGAGATTACAATCTGACCTAAGTATAACTTTTGGTTCTGTAGGCTACTTAGGTCATGTGATGACAACTAAACAAACTCGATTCCCTGAAGAAGACCATTAGACGCAGTTGAAGGCTTTTAAAAAACCCAGTACCCAGTGGACCTCTTTTTCATCAACCTTGGAGCTTTTAATGAACTTACAATTGTAGATTCTGGAAACAACTGTGCAACCCTTCCAGGTTTTTCTTCTCCATTGCAGTCTCTGAGGACACCAGGCGACACAGATCAGCCCAGCCTTTCACTCCAAGGTTGATGTCACACTTTCTGGTAACCATGAAAACAGACAGGCCCAGAACAAGAGGACTGGTGCTCCTCCAGCTGCTTGGGAATTTCTCCTTTGGTTCTCCTTTTAAGATCTGAACTAAAGTCTCTGAAATCAGCTCTGATGTCTGTAATATAAAAAATACATTTGATTACTAGAGGTACATACTTTAATGAATGCTTAGAATTTTACTGTTCTTGTTGCACTAACCGGGATCGTGGGAGGTCGGGAATTGTCTGGGAATGTCACCCTTGTATGTGCAGAACTGAGACTCCATATAAAATTCACCAAGTGGTCAGACAAGTACTCTGTGCTCTGTTTGTCTGATGGGTGCCATTTCTGGAAGATTCTGTTCAGCAGATCTCTCGCTGAGGCCAGCCAGGCGTCTGATACCTCCACACCTTTTGATCTACTCAAGCCGACCATGTGAAGGCCAGTTTGCAACCAACCTTGCTCCAGACGACAAATGTATCCCTCGTAAACATGCAACTCTTCATGAAACACAGAAAGATACGTGATTAGTTGCTAAAGACACAAACCTACAGCGATGTGATGACATGCTGAGATTAAATGGTTTGCTTGTCTCACCTTTGATTTTTGAGTCAAATGGAATTTCAATGTGTCTTCTGGCAATTCCTGTGATCTCTTTCTTCTGTCGTTGCTTTACACCATACCAATAACTCCACACAATGCCTCTCTGCAGGTGACTTTCTTCAATGGAAAGACTTGCTTCTACCAGATACCTTCCTTCTTTTAGTCCACTAAACATAATATATTGAACATTTGTTATAATGACAAGCTACAGTAAAGTGAAAATCATATCACTGTACTAATACATTCTGTGTATTACAGCTTATACAAAATCAATACTCACACAAAATGGGTCATTTCAAAGGGTAAATACCCTACATCATAACACAGCAAAAGTGTGTCATGCTTTTGGTTGAACCTGAACTTTTTGTCCAGCACAGCATAGATGTGAAAGGTGAACATGGGAGCAGAAGGTGGAGGTCTCACTGGGCTGCGTTCACTGTGAAGAGAGAAAGATGCACGTTTACAATCACAGGTTCGACCACAGAATTCCATATAACTGTTGATATCAGTTATTCTCATTCATTGCTCCTACCGTGTGCTCTGGGAGGGTTTTGTGGTTGTATCTGCTGCTTTGGAGGCTTCCATATTGGACTGTTTCTCAGTCCCGCCCGCTCCAGACACAACTTTTGCGTATGACATTGGTTTGGCATCTTGTGAGTCTGTGGGATCAACGGAGGTTCCTGCAGAAGGATTCTCATCTTTAGACTTTGACTCTTTCTTGGGGTTTCGCTCCCTGGCTGAGTCTGATGATGCACCGTCTGTATCTTCCTTTGGCTTTAACGGAGTGTGAGTAGCGCTGTCGTCTTGCAGCGCAGGCGCGGGTGCAGGCGCAGGCTCAGGTGTTTGTTTGTCTTGTTGTATCTGTGACTCAGCAGCATTCTTTCTGCCAGGTCGAGCCTTCTCGTCGTTTTTGTCTTGTTCTGGCACGGGGAAGTCTGTCTGTGTTTCCTGGTCGCTCTGAGGAACGGCTGCAGTTTGTGTGAATTTGTCTGAGCCTTTAAGTTTCCTTGTTTTAGTCTGTGCTTGCACCATCGTAGCATCTTTGTGGCATTGCTCTTCAGTCTGCAACTGGTCTCCTGCTCTGTGATCCACATGTTGAGTTTCTACATGCTTGCTCTCCTGAGTTTGGCTGCTAGTTGTCTCCTCAACCTCCATCTTGGCTTTTTCCGTGTTTTCACTTTTGACATCTGCATCTCCTTTAACGTTTGAGATGCTCCTTTTTCTTCTTCGATTTCTCCTCTTCCTCCCCTCTTTCTCTTTAGCTTTTCTGTTGGGACTGGCTGGCCCTTTTTCCTGGAATACAACGTAATCTTTAACCTCAGATCACAGATTTCATGGTGGTTTGGTATCATGATTGCATTCCTACCTACCCTTCTTTTCCGGGGTCTCTTGGTTGCGACATCCTCCCTACTCTGGGCTTCCTGGGATCCAGAGGTGCTGGGGAGGTTTCCTGCTCGCTCCTCCATCTGTAGGGACTCTCTTTTCGGGGGAGTCCCTGTTCCCGTTATCTGTTTCTGAATGTAAAACCCACATGCAGTTACATCGTCCACCTCTGAGACTTACTATTCAAGTTAAGGGAGTTGGTTTACAGGCATTAAGGGAGTGGCAACATGAGAACTGCTGCCAAAGATACTTTCATCCTGAGGGACTTTGCTCGATCATAAATTACTTACGCTACTGTAATAAACATATTTTGTCATATAGTCTGTAATACAATACCACTGTAAACACCACGAAGGCTGCAAGTAGCAATTATATTTATCACTAATACATTTTGTGATTATTTTTTCAATTAATCCATGAATAATTTTCTCTATTAAATGTCAGAAAATAATGAAAAGCCGCAACTCTTTTTGAGAAATCATTTTCTTGACAAATACACTCGCTCACAACCGGTGGTCAACGATTACGGGACGTTCTATCCAGAGCCCATAAATACGTTAAAATCAAGTAGAATTTATTTTATTACACAGAAAATTCTCACCGATTAAAAGAGGAGGTAGAAAGTGAGAGTGCTGCATGGGAAATGAACATCACTGTGCATGTATTTATCAGCCACAACAATAAACCTGATCAATAATAACAGGCTGTGTGAGTGTAGATGAGCCCATTTAATGCAATTTACAATAGACTGGACACCTAACGTTCGCTGCAAGCGAACAGCTAAATAATATAATTAGGTATGTAAAAACAATATAGATTTTTTTCCAGGATATTTGGTCATTTTCATCCAGGTTACAGGTTAAAACTGGGTTCCAGGTTTTCAAGGTTCTCCAGGACATGTGGGAACCCTAAAATAAAAAGCAGCATATTTTAACATTTTAACAGCTGGAACCAACAAATGTTTGGTAAAACGATGAATCAAATATCAAAATAGTTGGCAGTTAATTTTCTGTTCATCAATAATCAATAATCAGTTAATTAATGAATCACTTCAGAGCTAAACGCCATGAAGTCGATTAAGGCGACCAAAAACTAATTCAGATACACCAAAAGTTTCTATAAAAAATGACTGTGATATAAAAGGCAGTGCTGGAATGTAACTAAGTACATTTACTTTTTATTCATTTACTTTTGCTGCAGCCTGCTTTAACTTTGAAACGCATCTGTCTGACAGCTTTGGTTCATTTCCATACTCTGAAGAAACGAAACCTTCATTGTTATCATTGGTAACACCTGTGTTACCCAACTATATCAGGCCAAAAGGGCTGCTGTGAGAAAGGTCATTTGACTACAGTTTTCCTCAAACCATAACATTAATTTGGCCACAACACAGCCTGGAAAATGCTCATTGATGATCTCGTACAGGAGATTAAACTACCCAACAGTAGGTTATAAAACGCCTGCATTGAAATCAGTATACTATTTTAATAATATGATATAATAACACAACTCTCACTCTGCTGCTACTTTTACTTTTATACTTAAAGTAGTCTACATTTATTCTTCCATCACTAATATAAATGTCATAAAAACACAACAATAAATGACATCTGAGCTTATTTCAGATGGTTGGACTTATTATTATGTTATTTACTGATAAAGTTCAATAAAATCACATAGAAAGTTACCATATCTCTCAGTTAAGGCTGTAGTTACATAGTATAAGAGGAGAAGGTGCATTAAAGAGCCTAAAGCTGAGAGTTTGTCCTACCTGTGGTGCTGTCAGACAGTGACTGTTTATCAGACCTACTGGGACTTCCTACATGGAGCTTCAGGGAGCGTCCTCAAACTCATCCTCCGCTCTAAAGATGGTGGTTGTTTCTGGGCCTAAACTCAAACAGGTTGTGTATCTAAGCTAACTGTGTTATCTAGTAAAATATAACTCGACATATTAATCGTCTTTAACACGGTTCGGCTCGGCTAATAAGCTGCGTTTAAAGGTTTTTCCGTCTTTATTTGGAGACTAATTTGTCGACAGTCCCTAAAGAGGAGGAAGATTTTTTTCAGTTTCATTTCTCATCAAACCAGAAAGTTAATGCTGTGTTCAGGTGCTGCTGGGAGTTTTCTCCTTCGATATCGGCAGAATGGAAACTTACACTCAGGAGTGATTTTTTATTGAGTTATGATTTCAGTGCTTTGTCATTCATGTGTTTAACATTAAGCTCTGTTTTTATAATAAAATCTAAATATACCTTTTACTCCACTGTTTTTAGTTGAGAGCTGTAGACTCGTTTTATTCACATCAGCTGGTTGACTGTTTCCCTGTGGAAGGGGAAAAGGATTCTGAAACCTTCTGAAAATACTGACTCAGCATCACAAAATAATGACTTTGTGATACCAAGTCATTTTTTGAGGGGTCAAGATTTGGCAGAATTGGACTGAAATAACTCCTCTTTCCTTTTTTGGAGTATTAAAAATGTAGGTTTATAACCTACAAATGTACTGATCCTCTAAGAAATGCATTATTAGATAAACATATATATAGATAAACAATAACTGTATAGAAATCAATCGTATCGCTGATGTCTCATTTGTTTATGAATTCTAAAAACTTCCTCCGCCACTGTGTGATGGAGAAATAATGTTAAACATCAATCATTGCTCCACTCTTATGAATAACTTTGGGTCTGAAGTCTTTGGTGGTAAATCATGTGAAATATACCAGACTTTATTGTGTTGTTATGGTTTATATCACTGGTAATTAATATCTGTAGTTTGTTCAGAACTCAATCAAACTGTACTTCAAAAAGCTTTTATTTTGAAGAAACAAACAGCACACAGCATGTCCAAAACAAAATATTATTTTTATTACAAGACTGCTAAGATGAATGATAAAGTTTTACAATGATTGTTTTCCATACACAGATTTAAATATATGAGTGTGTGAACCAGAATACACTCCTGTCCATCAAGGGTAAATATGGTCCTGATGCTGGGGGGCCACCTAGTGGTGGAAAAAGAATACAGCTGTGTGTAAATAGGGTTCAGTACTTTAATCACATTACAGTACAAGAAGACAAACATGTATGATGTTTTAGAGATGCATTAAGATGAGAAAAGAATGAATAAATAAATTAAACCTTTTTGGGTTCAGCAACAATGACATTTTATTATTTGTGACAATTAAAGCTGCAGTAGATAACTTTTATAAAAATGTCTGAGACTGTTGATGGAAGCAGAAAACAGATGAACTGAACTCAGAGATTATAATGAGTCATAACAGGATCATAATTCTGTCTCAAGCTCCGTCATCAGTCCTGTGAACCAGCAGGTTTCTTGACTCTCCGAACTACGACCCTGGTTCTCCGTCCTTGAGGTCGACCTCCTGCATCAGCCTCCGTCTCTCCTGGCAGCGACCCCGGGGGTCGGGGTTCACCTCGGGGCGGGGCTGGCTTCCTTCCCAATCGCACGTCGTCCACGAAGGCCTCCACGCCGTCAAACTTGGTGGTCAGCTCGGCGAGACGCTCTTTCAGGGTGTTGAACTCCTTGTAGAGATCTCCCAGCGCGTCGGACAGCGGCTGGATCCTGAGAGCGGTCAGAGGTCAGTTACTCTGCTCACTCACACTAAAAGAAACTTACAGTCATCATGTGATTGGGAATTAGTAAACAAGAGCCTTAAATTCAGCTGTATCGTATTTGCTACTCGAGTTTTTGAGACCTCTGAAGAACCTGCTGTATCCAATCTGACACGCTTTCGGCCCTCTGGTGGATTGTCTGTGCACTGCAGGCGGGAACGGGCCTCTGAATGCTAAATCCAAGATGGCTGCCTTTATTTTTGGCAGGGACATCTTAGCTAGTTTTGAAAAAGTTCTGGTAAAAATAACATTTATATTGTTACTAATATTTCAATATCAATATTTACTGTATGGTGCTGCAGGGATTACGTCTTTTGTAGGCTAACCCCGAAGTTACGAGGCTGTAGTAGTGGACTAGTGATTAGATAAGGAACACAGAGACTTTTTAAAATCATTTAATTAAACTAATTAAAGATTGAAATTTCATCTCAAGACATATTTAGAGTGGAAATTGAAACGTGTGTAACCTGGGCTCCTGATAATCACTTGATCGATTTTCACTAAAACAATCGGCTATCACAATCTGTGCATTTAAATCTGCATTTATTTGATGTGTTCGGGTTCAGAGAGTGAAGACAAATGATTAAATGACATGAAAAACATCCCGTTATGGTTAGAAAAGGATATAACCTTCCATAGTCAGGAAGCACGGTGTTGTGGTCATGCAGCAGCAGATCTTTGACCTGCGTCATGATGGCGTATTTCCAGTTGTCTAACACCAGCGTGAGGTTGGCACATCCTCTGGTGTTCACTCGCTCTGCTACAGTGAGGAAAACACGGAGGGATGAAGGATCAAATATTCCAGTTCAATATTTATACTGCTGATTTTATTCAAATGGTTAATGGGCACTAAATGATCTTCAGTGGTAGAACCAAGGAGGAAACAAGGACAGAAGGGAAGCAGAAAAGGAGGCGAAAAGGAAGGAAGAAGGGACGTAGAAGGAGTTTAAAGAAAGTTTATTCTGAATATAAAATGTAAACTCTGTCACTGCACATCAGTTGGTGTGAAACATTCCTATATCACAATTCCTACAAAAAGGAAACACAAAGGGCTTCACATAAAAGCCAATTCTCCTAAACATTTCCATTAAATGCCATAAAATAGGGAACATTTCCATTTCTCATTCATCATTCTTATGTAAAATCACGATTAGAAAGAAGTGTTAAATATGTACCGTAAATCCAGTTTTAAGACGATAAAACAGATTCTCACCGCAACACTGCAAAAAGGAATCTCAGGAAAATAAGAATTTATTGTCTAAAAGGAAAAATAATCTTGTAATGCATTTTACATTAGAAAAGTAATCTTGTTTTAAGAAAATATATCTAACTGTGTCTTAATAAGATATTACAGCTAGTATAAAAAATAAATAAAACAGATAAAAATTAAGAATGTTTCTGGTGCCTTCATTAAAGATGAAGCCACTTATTTTCATTACGCAGTGAAAAGAAATTGTGTCTTATTTTAAGCTCTTTTTCTGCTAATTATTAATCTTAGATTAAAGATACAAATTCTTAAATTCAGCTCAATAAAGTGAGTGAGTTTTCACGGCTTCTTAAGAATATCTGGCTTGTTTCTAAAAGGGCTGTTTTTGCAGTAAAGTCTCCACAATGATGGAAAAGCAGGAAAATACACGAGGAAAGTTTCCAAACTTCAGTAAGTGTATTTACGTTACTGCTAACCTTCATTCCTGTAATCCCACTCTGCTCTCTGGGCTAGTTTCTGTTTCTGAGCAGCACTCAGAGTCACCGATAAGATGAACAGAACTCCAGCTGCCTTCATCCTTAAACCTGCATCTGGAAACACACACACACACACGCACGCACGCACACACGCGCCACACACACACACACACACACACACACACACACACACACACACAAAGTATCTTCTACTGTGAGCCACAAAGAGTGAAAGCTTCATCTGCAGGAATTAAAATGTAGAGACGTACCTGCAGTGACGGTCCAAAGGCAAATGAAGCTTTTTCTTTTGAACAGTGTATTATGTGTGTGCAGGGGGGGGGGGGGGCTCCACCCTCACAAGCCTGAGCGTCATATATCATGCCTTCACTTCAAAGTCGAGCACCGACCTGCAGAGACTTTTCTGTTTTCTATCAAACAGTCCATTCTTAACTAGTGAGAGCACACAGCACTAGAGTTACAGTAATAACTCCTGTCAACACTCAGGATGAAAGTTTCCGACATTCTCGTATTTAATGATCCAGAACAGGAGAGGAGGAAACAAAATGAAAATGTATATGAAGTGTAGACACTGCAATGTGATCTCAGTCCTCTGGGACTTTCTGCAGAGGTGTTTGATGTTTTACGTCCAACTTACACATTCCTGCTCTTCATCTGTCGTCCATCTGCAGCCCAGAGCAGCCGGGCCAGGGTCTCACTCACACCGGACTCTACCTGCTCCGGGACCATGTCTTTACACTGAGCTGAATTTAAAACAATGAATGAATCAGGATGTGATTTAGTAGAATTAAAGAGAAAATGAGCGAATATGGAGAGTTTAGACTGAATAACACTGCAGCAGTCTGATCCTCCACATTATTGGAAAGTAATTAATCCCATGTTTTTAAATATTGTTTCACAATGTGAGGAAGATGAGGGGTTGCTGGGCCTCATGGCAGATTTCTTGCTCAAGGACACTTCAACTTGCAGTGGGCGGGGATCGAACCACCAACCTTCTGATTAGTGCTCTACCTCCTGAGTCACAGCCGGTTGCTTATGGTCCTGGCTTTGTGGAAGAGAGCTTCGTCATTAGATCCTGACCAATATATCAGAGAATATCAGGTTATTGCAGATACATCTTCATCAGTGTGTCTGCCGATAATGAGGAACTTTAAAATGTCACCATCCTTCATCCCTCAGAGACTTACAGTGGTGTGAATCCTGGGACCAGCTCTTAAACAAAACCTACTCCAGGGAAGAGAAGGTTGTTTGTGTTAAATATATAACGCTCACAAATATTGAAATCAGTTTCAGCCTCAAAACCTCGATATCAGTCGGGCAATAACGGTTGTTGACAGTGTGCTGATATCACTGTATGAAGCAGAATTAAAGGTTTTATATTGTAGAAAGTTAGGTTTCTTTTTGATTATAAAACAGATATTTATATAGATAAATAAATATAAATACTGTGTGTAAAGTTTAAAAACGCTCAATCCACACGCTGTAAAGGTTGAGGCAACTGTCTGGACTATTTTTCACTTTCAAGTTTTTAAATTTGCCGACCTGTAATCTGTTGTTGATATGATTTACTTTCTAACTTCATTATTTGCACAGCAAAAGAAATCGGTTGAGAAAACTCAATTTTGAAAGCAACTGTTCATTAAATTTTCTAGCTTTATGCAGATTGTTGTTTCTAAAAATCTAAATTTTTCTGAACAAGAAAACAACAAACTCAACAACAAATTATAGTATATTATAATAGTGAAGACAGTTTCCTTTAATACGTGTGTTGTTCTGTAATAAGTGTTTTTTTCATTACATGGCAGAGAATTGCGCCTTTAAACAAGCCTTCAGGACTTCTGTGCAGTCAGCCAATCAGGAGAGACTCTGGTTAATATTAATGACATAAAACACAACAATAAACAAGCTGTTCTTGCTAGAGCTCCAGAGAGAGGAGATGTAAAACTATTGATTTTCATTGTACTTAAAAGCACAAATATACTTTTTTATGGTTTTTAAAGTGTAAAATATGTGACCGTTAAGATTTCCCTTCATTGGTAATAAGAGGTTTCTTTTAAAAATAACCCTAAAACAACCGTGATGGGGTGTCCGAACTCAAAATAATCTGAAAACTCTTCATTTAGACTCTGAACCACTCTGCTCTGATTTAATCTCACCAGACAACCAACAACAAATCAAAGACATCATTGTGTGCAAAAGGAATTCTTTGTTGTTTTTTGTGTTTTTTTATTATTTTGTTTCAAATCCAGGTCAACAGCAAACAACTTTGGGGGTCCTCAGTTAGCTCAGTGGAAAGTGAGGACTGGCTGTAACTCCAAGAGCATGCTTGCTCAGCAAACGGCCCCCGGATCAATACAAAAGGAAAAGGTCACTGCCGTCGGTCAGCATGACATCAGATCAATCGCTCTTGAGAATTCACACAAGGTGGGGCGGGGGGCAAACAGAAAAAAGTTACTTTTTTTGTTTTACAAGCATTTTCAAATTCATCTACAACTAAAAATATATTCTCACTTCATCCATGGAATTAACGTCAAGCTCTTACGAAGAAGCACACGTCTCATAAACAGCAAATCTGCAGCCCGCGACTCTGAGGAGGCCCCGTTTCCCCTGACGACAACCCCAACGAAACCCGACAGGATTCAGCGATTCGCTCGAGTTTTCCGTTGAGCAAAAAAATTAAATCAAAATGTTTTCATGTTGTAGTGGACAAAAGGTGTGAGGGGGGAAAAAACTAAACACGAGTTGTGGTGATAAAAAGTTTGAGATTGTTGTCAGTCAGCGGCCGACGTACGGAGGGTTCAAAGAGATTCTGTTCATTGATCAGGATTGTTATAGAAATTAGGATTATTCAGAAGCTGTCAATACGTGAAATGTGTTGTTTGTTACCTTTCATAGCCTCAGATTTCTAATTAAATCTCCAATTTTTAAAAAATTGCAAATGTACGGAAGAGGATTAGGGCCAAATGTGAACGTTTTCTTTGAGTTTAAAGTCAGAATTCTTTTTTTTTTTTTTTTTTTACTTTAAACTCCAAACTCAGAACAAAATGTTTACATTTGGCCCTAATCCTCTTCCGTACAAATGCAATGAAGTCATGTGAGATCATTTTTGTCACACACACGTAGCTTTTCATATTTGAGACGCTGTCAGGCTTTTCTATGTGGACACATTTCCATCTGGACGACAGGCGACGGCACCGAACGCAATGTGCTTTGTTTTGGTCCCAATATCAGAACCAGTTCTAACCAGCTCTCCCAATATGCCCGCTACTGACTGCAATGTGTTAAAGGGTTAATTCACAAATATTCAGAATTCACTTACCACTAGCTGCATCTATATATGGAGAGTGTTTAGTGTTTGTATGTGTCCAGGTTTGACAGTTGAATCTCTAAATGTCACATGTTCAGTCTGCTAGCACCGAATAAATTCCTCAGAGACGCATTCACTTCTGGTAAAGCTAAATACAACTAGAGGTAAGTGAGAAAAAGTTCGCCTTTTTAGTGCTATGGAGGAGGAGATAAGTGCTTTTTCACGTTGCTTTCAGGCTCGGTCGCGTCCACGCCGCCGCCAACCGGAGCTCTGCAACGGAGCGAGCATCAATCTGAACGCCGTTCGGGGGCTTCTGCTTGAAAAATACAGGGAATATTTCACGTGCAAAAACCCAAACACAGACGAGGGGAAGTTTTCTTCCACTCTGATCAACGTCCAGCGAATCATCTTTTTTATTCTCTCCCCCGTGCTGACCTGCGACCCCCATCCCTCCAACCCTTTCGCATTCTGAGCAGCAAAGTCTTTTGAAGGCTGAGTGATGGGAAGACCCGGAGAGGCCCCCCCCCCATCAGCGGAGGAACATCGGTTATGGTCTGACTCGAACAGGAGAACCACAGACGGGGGGAGTGACGGAGAGGAGAGTGGCGAGCACCAGTTGTTTCTAGAAGCACCTCACGGCTAATACAGTGCGAGTCAGTGACGAGGAGGAGGACGGTGGATGGCGTTTTTATCAGAAACAGAACACACAGCTGATAAAATAAGCTACATATTAAGCCTGCTCGAGTTCAATCCACCAAAACCGAAAGCTACAGTTCCAACAAAGCAGTGAATAAATCTTTAGGAGCCATTTTAAGTTGTTGGGACATCAGTCCCGGAGTTAGTAATCACCAACAGCACGTTACCACAGTCAGTGGAGAATGAGTTGAAGAGCTGTTTGAGTATGCCTTTTCATATCCGGGACTTATTTTTAAAGTAATTTAATACTGAAAATATAAACTCTACTTAAGTGGAATTACTCTGGAGCTCTAAAGAGTTTTCAGGTCTGAGCTTTGACCAATGATTGTACTTTAAGGGGCTTGTCGAAGAGACCAAGACCTATAAACACCTGACTGAGTAGAATCCACGCTGAAGATTCAAAACCTTGAAGTATCGCTACAATCAGATAAAAAAAAAAAGAAAAGAAGAAGCTTAATTAAATAACAGTATCATTCCTCAAATGTATTTATACACAGCAAGATTTTCCAGAAGACGTTGTGAGAGTGAGAGGGGCACTGATGTGAGAGAACATCCAAACACTCGAGTCTTTGCTGTTGTCCTGAGTCACAGCAGGATTTATTTGAGAGGAGGGAGGGGGGGCATTATTCGAGGGAAAGGGGCCTCAGCCAAAAGTGCTTTACCTTAAACGAACCCCCGCCACTCACGAGAGCCGCTGTGAGGAGGGATACAGAAAGAAAACACAGTCTGGTTTTATCCTACTCATTGAATTCGATGTAAACGAGTGAATCCCTTTCGCACGTCACAGCAGCCCGCGAGGCGGGGGGGGGGGCGAAAGAAAACGAAAAAGGGCATCCAAAGTCTCGCAGCTGGTCCTGGTGCAGTGATGTCATTGGCGAGTTAAGAGGAGGGCTGGGCGGGATGAGATCAGGGCAGGGCAGGGCATGGAGGCAGGGCGGGTGGGGGGCTTTTAACTGCGGGGCAGGCTGCACATTTCACAGTGCTCTGTGCCAGGCTGGTTCATGAAGGTGCAGTGGAGGCAGGACCACATGGCTGAGGAGGAGGCGGGGACTGATGGGCCGCCCATGGCCCCGTAACCCAGAGAGCTGGAGGGCTGCCCGCCAACCGTACCTGGAAGGACAGGAGAGGGATTACAGGGGGTTAAAGGGAAGTCTCATGATCTCGTCTCTATTTATCAGGTTTATACCCAAAGCCTACATCCAGTGAATGTTTGACCTGAACAATTGATAACTTATCAAACTAGTTTTCTGTTTATTATTATTATTTCAACCGTAGTGCACGAGCTAAACTGAGACCCGGCAGGTAAAACCGAGTGAGAGTCTGTGACTGTGACTTACTGCACAGCTGCTCGATGGTGGCCCACTGCTCCGACTTCTTCCAGGTCTGTGCCAGGTCCTCATTAGAAGTCCTCACTGCATCCAGTAGCAACCCGATGCTGTCCTGCAGGAACAAACACAAACTCTGATCTATCCACTACAAAAAAAACAGCAACAGGTCAACAGATCGTTGCTTTGAAAGTCTGGATTTTATAAAAGAAATCTGATCACGGGGTTCATTATTATCACAGAAAAACATTGTCACAAGGGGCCTGGGGCTGGTTTTGAAATCTATCAGCATGAATAGTGGGACCTGAGTGAAAACATCCTCACTGCAGTAAGCACTTCCAGATTGGAGAAGAATGTGTCCATATTCTGACCCATTTACTGCAACACCAATGCCTAACTAGAAAAAATAAGAGGCTTTGAAGTGTTCCTTACTCTCAGAGGCATGACTTCATTGGTGACGAGGAAGAGGAGCAGATGAAAGTCCGACACGATGTCCAGGAACGCTGTGGAGGTGCACTGGGACAGGTATGTTGCTAAACTGTGGAAATTCTGCAGACACACGAATGACAAAAAAACCAAAAAAAAACCAGTTATAACCTCTGTGACCTCTGGAGGTTAGGGAATCCAAAGGTCGACCTCATTTCCTCAGGCGCTAGGCTGTAGAAGGTCATGTCAAGTTGAAATACAGGCAGACTCAAGAAACAAAGAAAAACAGCTTCTAAAATGGGTTAAGTGTGGCTGGAAGTTACAACAGTCAAAGTTTCTGCAGGATTTAACACATTTTTAAATCCAAATCAAACCAAAATTACTTAATTTATCCATTAAGAACTTCCTTTGTGTAAAGGCATCAGTGCATTAATGAGTCTAATGGAGGCACAAAGCTTAGTCCTGAATGGGAGTGACCTGTATCTGCTGCCTGATATTCTCATATTCTTATACTGAACAAGAAATTGTTCATTTGATTCATTTTGCCACTTCAGGTTCAGATAAACAGAATTTCATCCAGCAAGGACTTACTTGTATCTCTCCCAGAATATCCCGGTTCTCAATGGGGAAGCGTTGTGTGGAGCAGAAGGTGTACTGGGGGTCCTTTGGAAAAGTGGTAGTTATCTAAAGAAGAAAAAACAGGAACATTATGTACAAAGACAAGTGGCAGTACAAAGCATCTGTTCTTATTAATGCAGAGTAAAAAAAAACACCTGCTGCCCATTGACAAAGAGACACATTACTCACATCTATGATGAGGTACTCCACAGGGAGAGGCCGGGCTAGAAACGTCACATCATTTCCAAATTTGTCTTTGTCCTTTTGGATGGAAACAAAACCTTTAACATCTGGACTCATTGTACCTGGCCCCAATAGCAACCCAAGTATCTGGATGTCGTTATTCTGATCGGATTTATTTAATGTTCATTCACTTTGTGTTCTCAAAAACCATAAACGATTATATATTATGGATGATCACACCTCGTGTACGCAGTCTTACCTTGTAGAAGACGTCTGGTACGTACTGCTCAGGGCTGGACTCTTTAGCGAAGCCCAGCTCAGGAGCGTCTTTGCAGGGCAGTAGGCACTCGTCTCTCACCAAAGCCATGCACTGATTGGACACCTGATATCCTTCAAAGTGCACCTGGTTATCTGGACCACCTGCACACAGAGAGAACAGAGAGACACACGTATTAATGTCTAAAATCATGATTTGAGAGCAGCAAGAACTCATTTGAGAAGCTACAACTAGAAAATGTTTGTTGCCTGTGCTTGATAAACGCCTTCAGTGATTAATTAATTATCAAAAAGATCATTAATTTCAACAAAAGCCTGACTGAAATGAACACAAACAAAGATGTTGTGCACGCTGCTTTAACATTATCTCATCTTATTAAACTATCATTATGTCAGTGTGTTGTGTCCATCTTAAGGCTCTTCAGCTTTACACATGCAACTCATTTGCAAACAGACGTCGTTTTTTTGCACACGGGAATAAAACAAATGGACTTTGCCCCGGCTGGCATTTGATGTGTAGCCATGATGTCAGCTTTGGCAGCCGGTGCCTCATTAATGCAGATGACAGGGATGAAGGCGCTGCTACGTCTTGTGCTTTTCTGGAACCAATCTATGAGGAGGTCTTACGAGGTTGTAACGGAGGGAAGTGTAAACACTTGGCCTCGATCCCACAGATCATAAAGAGAGTCTCAGAGAGCGCCTGGCTTGTATTACGCTGCTCCACTGGCCTCAGAATGACTACGTACTGCATGTAGATACTTGAGAGGAACAAAAATGGTACCACTATCATAGTTTAGAAGAATTAGACTATCACTATGAATAGTTGTAGAGATTATTTTCAGTCCTTCCCTTCAGCCTCAGAGTGAACAAGAGCGTACCTGTCGCCACCACGGTCACAAATTTTGAGCCAAAATGGCCGTCTCGAGAGAGTCTGCAAGGGTTTGAATGGTGATTCTGGAAGTATCCCGCTGTGATGCACTCCTCCGCGCTCAGGTAGTACGAGTCCTAACAGAAGGAAGGACAATAGTGAAACACGTAGGAAAGCAGCGCGTTAGTCTGATGAAACAGGTCGTCTGTGAGCGGGCGGCGTCCTCACCTTGTTTCTCGAGTAGCGGACGGTGCCTATCCTCGTATCCTCGGAGAGCAGGTCGGTGAAGATCCAGCCCACCTGAGGAAGGAAAACAGAAAAAATAAACAGAGAGGAAACAGTTTGTTGACTAATCAGGTTTTCTTAATTGTACATGATAGTAAACTTTGTTTGTGTTTGGAATTGTTTTAGACTCTGGGAAATTTTTATGGACATAAATCACTATTCTGATATTTTATAGAGCAAATCATATAATAAAATAATCATTGGTGAGGCCCTAAAACATTTTAAAAATCATCTTAATTCAAAAATGACAAAGGAGAAAACATCCAAAAAACAGAACCAACATTAGACGTTAAGCTGTTCACACACACACACAGAGACACACACACACACACACACACACACACACAGCTCCAGGCTGCTTCCATATTTTTTTCCAGGAGTTTTCCTTGATATTTCAGGACACCACTTGCTGAAAAGATTGCTGCACGTCAGTCCCACTCCACGCCTGGTGTGAACAGCTAGACTCACTGACATGGCCGAAATAAAAAGGGAGCACTTAAAACGTTTTTCCGATCTGCTTCATGTCTGTCATACGGCGCAGCTACCAAGTGTTAGGTTTCAAACTAAATATGCACCCAGGTTTATGTTGGCGTTCTGAGTGAGGAGATCAAATACAATAAAGATTTTTCAAGACAACACAGATTATTTCCTGGATATTTGGCCATTTTTATCAATTTCATGACTGGAAAACTAAACTTTAAATTTCCAGTTTTCCAGGATGCATGCGAACCCTGAGTGATCACCAGCCAGGCACATGATACTGGAAGTGGTGGACTGTATACTGGTAGAACCAAGTTTAGATGTGTCCGTCCCATCAAGGTAAACCTCACAGACATACGTGCAGCTTTTCTAAAAACACACTCAGGCTGAACTGGTTAAATTCTTTGATGAAATATAAATCAATTCCTGTGCCAAAGGCTTCAGTGGTGAGACGGCTGGAACCTTGAAGGAGAAGAATAAATCTGCCTGCAACACTGAATTCAAATATCAAAGCTTAGACACACTGCTCGGGTGCAAACTGTGAGTATTCAGTGTGAAAGCCACTTTGTCTAAAAGGTAACAGTGTCAACAGAGAGAGCAAGAAGGGAAGGCCAACCTTGCAGAGGCCCAGTTTGGCAGCGATTTCGTCCACAGCTGCAGCTTTAGGATCGTCCACCAGTTCCAGGCTGTTCTGAGTAGCATTCTGAAACAAAAACAAATGTTACGATTAAATAATACGAAATAATTACTACAATCTCGATAAGGAGCTTAACTGACGATGGGAGGATAAATGACAGTATACTAACCATACTGTACCAAGGAACTGAACAAAGACATGAGGATTTGAGGCGTACAGTGATACATTTAGCGGGAACCCCTCACCTGCGGTGGCTCGTAGATGGCAGCCACCTCAGCTCTGATGCCCAGCGGGATGTCTTTATGCTCGGTGAACTTTCCATACAAGTATCCCATCCTCTGACTGCCCGTCTTCCTCCAGAAGTCCAGGAAGCGGTCGGCAATGGTGTGGTTCTCAAACATGATGTTGTCCACGTGTCTGTATTTCTGGGAGAAGAACAGAGGAAGCTAAATTCAGTATGTGTGCCTTCAATGGTCCCGTGGTTTGTTTCTTTAATCCTGGGGCTCAGGGTCGGCGGTTCGATCCCCAGCTACTCCTGTCGGCATCTCAAATGTCCTTGACAAGAAACTGAACCGCAAACTGCTCCACGATGATCAGGCCAGCACCTGGCAAGGTTACCCATGCCATCTGTGTGTGCGTGTGTGTGAGAGGCAAATTATAAAGCACTTTGGATAAAAGCACTCTATAAATAGAGCCATCTACAATTTCAATCATTTGGGAGGGAGAGAAATTACTTCTGCATGGTTGATCATTTGTACAACACACATTCACACCAGTACTGTTCCCTTCTATATCACATCCATTGTTAAAGGATGTTTGTACCTTCCCCAGTGACTGAAGAAAAGGATTTAAGCCAAGTATGAAAATCTTTGGTTTTTTAAAGCATATTTTGATGAAAATTTGATTTTTATCATTCGTGAAAAAAGATGCAGATTTAAATCAGTTTCCCAAACATCACTAGCACAGAAATAATTGTTTTCTACTCATTCCAATAACAGACATAATAATATCTGAGGGTATCAAAGATAGCATAAACTAAATGTAACGTTGCAGTTACAGGTGAATAGTTACAGGATCATTATAAAGAATAAATATTAGAACAGTATCACGGCACACTAAGCCTGCCTCTGAACCCTCTTTGCTGTTGATTGATTGTATGTTTGGTGATCAACTGTGCTGCTGAACTTGCTGAAGGCTGTCACAGATATACAGGTCACACACACACACACACACCTGTCTGTTTAATGTGATGGCGCTGGGCTGGCACTTGGTGCAGATCCCCTCCGGCCAGGGAGGGTGGCCCTCGCAGCCCGACTTGATCTTACAGCTGATGTTCTCCAAAGCTGCAAACTTTCCTCTGCGGGAGATCAAACAGAGTCAGAATCTGGCTAGAATTTGTACATTTCCACTGAAGAAATTTAAAAACAACTTCTCACTTATCAGCTCCACCGGTCAGTTTGCGAATGTATGCGTGGAATGACATGTGCTTCACTGGTGGGTCGAGGTGATTCAGGTAGTCTTCGTCAAAAGGCTGAAAAACAAGAGAAGAAGCAGCAGACATGTTTTCAGTGAGTAAAACCTGAATAAACCTGTCGTACAGTTGTGGTGTCAAGAGTTACAGCCTGCCCAGTTTAAGAAAGAAAAAACAAGAATGAATTGTCTCACCTCTAACGGTACACAGTGCACACATTTTCCAAGGGCACCATGGCGACATCTGCAAGAAAAGAATCGTCAGGTATCCGTTTGTATTTGTATTTAATCTGAATGTCTGCACTCGGCCCGTCTCTTACAGCTGGGGATCTTTGTTCCTGTAGATCTTGCCGTCTTGTTTGGCCAGATACTGATCGATCTCATCCTCCTGGACCTGGGGTGCCGAGAAGGACCGGGGGATCATGGAGGACGAAGAAGAGGATGAGGAGGTTGAGATGGATGGTAGCGATGAAGATGAGTGCGGGGTGGCCGTGTCCATCACCTCCCCAGAGGAGGAAGGAGCTCCCGACGGGAACAGATACAGCATGTCGCCATGCCTACGAAGGAGAGGAGACAAGAGAGACAACACATTTAAAGCCTCAGAAAACTTTTACTTGAATAAAATCACATTTTCTTTTGAAAAGGAGATGCTGCATCTCTGCTATCCTTTCAATAAATTCAAATTTAAATTCAAATTCAATTTGACTGAGAGCCTGGAAATGACTGATGCTTAACGCTGTCTGCTTTTACTTCCTCGGGGCTGGAAGTTCTAGCATCTACAACCAGCCACAGTTTGAGATATAGAACAAAGCAGATGTGAGACTGTTTCACTCAGACACTTAAACGAGGAGACACATAGAAAAAAGTGGTTTTATATCGCCCTATCATCGCTCTGTGAGCCGCTCCAGCAGCCCATTACATTTGCTTCAGCACACTCCCTCCTCCTCCTCCTCCTCTTCCTCCTCCAGTTCCACTGCTAGTCGAGGTTTGGCAGATAGAGCCGTAAGACAGCAGACAATCGGAATAAGAAGAACGAGACTCGAGTTTGGCTAACGCGCTATTTAGCTATATTGGGAGCTTTGTTGAAACACGTTCAACTTTTCATGAAGTCAGTGCGCTCGTCAATGTCACTTTGTGTGAACCGACCAATCACAGGACATCAGAACAAGGATACAGGAAACTTTAGAAAGTGTTATGAGTATATTGATATTGAGTATATTAGTAACTAGCATTACTAGAGACTAACAACCACTACAGAACATTTTTCTTGCTCAAGGATTTAATGAAAAAACAAATGATAAATGTTGGTTGTGTATGTCCAACACAAATTAATATTATATTAGTGGTATATGAATATAAATACACTAGTATTAAATAATGAATATATTACTATACTAACATTATACTATATAAAATATGCTGATTTCAGGTTGTGGGTAGTATATCTGCAGCCAGAGCCAGGATGTCAGAGTCATTGTGCCACTATGTTCTCAATGCAGCCAGCCTGCTCCGGGAGCTTCCCGTTGTTCTGTTTTCCATCTATTTTATTAAAGTTAGTTAGTGTTGGAAATATCGTTCAGTAATCTTGCTGACAAAGTGTGGCGGCATAAAGTCTGAGTCAAAATGTCTAGATGACCTATTTCCTGAATATTATAGGTCTTGTTTTCTTCCCCACATGCAGTTACAGACTGCTGATTAAAACAAGAGAGTGGCTGGTTGATTTCAGCCACAGGTGGACAAAAAGGTTAATTTCCGACACTGTACTTACTTGATCTTAAGCAGGCTCAGAGTTTTGTTCTGGGAGAGGATCTCTCCGGTCTTGTTGCGGTTCAGGTAAACAGAAAACCCATTGGAATTGAACCCAAACTCTTTGGCTACCTGAGAGAGAAAGGATGCAGTGCGCTGATTAGAAAGGATGACAACCCTCATGTCATGTGAACTAAAATTAAAACACAGCTATCTTTCAACACCATGAAATGCTTCTGAAGTTGAGAGGACCAAAATACACAATGTCTTCAATCAGTCTGAGCTATCATTAGTCACTTCCTTGAATCCACTCCAGGAAACAATTCAGATCATGTGCCCATGAAAAAGGTGTGTGTGTGTGTGTGTGTGTGTGTATAAAGGGTGTACACTCTTCAAATGACGCCAAATCGTCCTATCAAAGCAGATTAGCATAGAGCCTCTTGGCACGAGAGAAAGAGCCTGTTGGAAGACCTGTTAAGGTCATCACAGAGCGAGCTGAACTAAGCTATTACAGGCACTGAGCTGGGGGACCAGCACCTTCATCATCATCATCATCATCACTTGAGGTGTACTTAATTCAACAACCATTAGTGACCTTTTAACATAACAACAGAATGGTTATCTTGGAATAACAGACAGCTTCATTGCTCCCCATATAAAGCACCAGAGCAGTTAGCACTGTGTGAACAGTCGGACGCATTCTTTGAGCGTGGAAATATATTTTTCTAAAGTGACACAAAGGAACATTGTGTATGATTACTGTATGCTGGATGAAACTACGCTGTCAGACTGAGACAGAACATCGCTTTGAGCTCCTTTTATTCTGTCTCAGCTGCAGAAATACAACCTGCAGGGCTCCCACTGCCTCTCCCCCGTCTGCCTCACACCCTTGGTCTGTCTATTTCTCGCTGGCTCGGAAACGGCAAGGAATGAAAACTACTCCAATTGATCTGCAGGCTACACCATCCTGCCTTAACATACATTTTTAATGAGGTGCTGCTGCACTGCAATGCTCCACTGTGACCAGTGTGCTGGAATATGGTCCTATTTCAGGGTTTTCAAATGCATCTGTAATTATATGTGTATGAGTAGAGGTCAGACGGGCCGACACTAAGATAGGATTGTTCTTATAAAACATATCCAACATACTAACCGAGTGTTTGTTTATTTCTTTTATGTGTTTATTATCTCCGTCAGTATTCTGGGGGGTAAAAACACAACCTGGTAAGCAGCGGTGAGCAGAGCGATGCGTTCAGGGCACTCTGGATAAGCGACGTGTCCACAGTGCAGGGCTGACTTTCTCTGGTACTTTCTGCTCAGCCTCATCCATAAATGAACAACGAGCAGGCACAGGTAGCTTCTGACAACCCTGCACACTACGGCACTCTCACATTACACTGACCTACGGTGGAGAAAGCAAAGAGACGTGTGACCTGTGATGTAAATACTGTACCTTCTTTAAAAAAGCAGCAGCTGTCTCCCTCTTGGTTGAAGGGATTTTCTTCATCCCATCTGGGGATTGTACCCTGATGATCTAATGAACGACAACAAAAAAAACAGACATTTTCATCATCGGTGGTCTGCGTGTGTTATTTATCCCGACAGTAGAACGTGAGACGGATCTGGTTCCTCTGGTTGGTTCTGGTGGGATTCACAAGAACAACCAATCGGAGCCGGTAACGATGAGGTTGGTGGCTCCGGGACAATCGATCGATGAGGCTGGCGTCTGACACCGGGAGGAGCCGGAGGAAGATGACTTGTTCACACATTATCTGTCTCGTGTTGCACTGTCAGGGTTTAACTCAAGTTTCAGAAAATATGACCCCAAAAAAACAAAACAACCTGTTTTTTAATAAAAGTTAATTTACTGCAGCTTTAAAACAATTTTAACAACAATTGTTACAGAAAGTTTCAGTGTTCACTGCTCGCAACTAAATAATGATCCAAACACCTGTCAGTGGTAACAAGGGCGCTACTCCCCCCTCTCCCCCTCTCTCCCTCCCCCCCTCTCTCCCCCTCTCCCCCTCTCCCCCCTCTCTCCCTCTCTCCCCCCTCTCCCTCCCCCCTCTCTCCCCCCCTCCCCCTCTTCCCCTCTCTCCCCCCCCCTCCCCCCTCTCCCCCCCCGTACAGCGGTGTCACTAACGATGACAGTGCAGTAGCACGGTGCTGGTGCAGTTAGCTCATGAGCCTGTGGTTGTTGAATAAAGCACTGTGACATCCGGACTATGAACCGGAGCTGATAAGATCAATAACATCGATCAGATCGATCAGATAAATACTTTGAGTGAATCAATAACACCTCTGCTTCCATCCCCTCCCCGGAGCTCAGCCTGTCTCTGAGTCGGTGATGTTCCGACTCTTTAAATTAAAACAGCGTCTGTTAGCTAAACAGGCCGCAGTGCTAATGATAGCGAGCGTTAGCTTCAGAGCTAATTCTGCTGCCTCATCACTCCGGACCTGAGCTAACGAGCTAACGGCTAACGAGCTAACGGCTAACGAGCTAACGGCTAACGAGCTAACGAGCTAACTGCTAACGGCTAGCTTGCTAGCTGCCGTTAGCCGTTAATACTTACGATGTTGTCCGCCATGTTGCTCCCGGTAAAGCTCCGGTAGGAGACAAACACACTGAATACAAACACACAGCGGCTCTCTCTGTCTGTCTGTCTGTCTGTCTGTCTCTCTGCCTGTCTGTCTCTCTGCCTGTCTGTCAGCGAAACTCCATCACACAACTCAAACACCGGGTGTTACACACACTAGTGACCGGCCGTTTCCCACCGGTCCCACACTGAACCGACCTCGGCCCCAAACAAAACTAAAAACGTAGGTTCCTCTTTTTTTTTTTTTTTTCTATCGGTATTTCAATTCAATTTAATTTTATTTGTATAGCGCCAATTCATAACAGAAGTTATCTCAGGACACTTTTCAAATAGAGCAGGTCTAGACCGAACTCTTTATAACATTAATTACAGAGACCCAACAGTACCACCATGAGCAAGACCTTGGAGACAAGGGCAAGGAAACACTGCCTGTTAAAAGGCAGAAACCTAGGACAGATCCTCCGGCTCTAGGTGGGTGGTCGTCTGTCTCGACCAGTGAGAGAGAGACAGACAGACAGACAGACAGACAGGTGCACAGCAACAACAGTAGCAACAACTACACTAATAGTAGTGACTGATGATGGAAACATGACAACAACAGTGTTTGTGTCAGGGTTGGGAGGGTTACTTTAAAAATGTAATCCGATACAGTTACTAATTACCTGTAAGAAATGTAGTCAGCAACCGAATGCAAATATCACAGCATTAAAAATAACGTAAGTTGTTTCCTTTCTGTTACTTTTGGATTACCACAACACTGAATACAGGATGCAAATAAATACAAAAATAAATAAATATCAATAAGAAGTATTGATGCAAGACAACAGAACAGTGTAACCTTAGAGAAGGAAATGAAAATGAAAGTATAATGGAAATATTTTGGCATCGACAAGTTTTTTTTTAAAGAAAAACTGACACTAAAATTTAAATTGTATTTAATTAAAATTGTAATCATGCAAAATAATCCTAATTTTTTATTAAATGTCAGTGTAATCTGATTACACCTACTTTTTTTTTGTATCCTTAGTAACATGTAATCTGTTACTCCCCAAGCCTGCATATTAGACTGTACCACAACTACAATGCAGAACACACTGCACAGCAATCACTAACTGATGTTGTAATAATATTCTATATGCAGAGCAGGGCCGAGGCAAACTGGACAACCCTAGACCCCCAGGGGCCCTAAAAGCTCACTGCATACCAATTAGCTGCACATGGTTTGGTTAATTGCACATTTGTAGACGGATCCTGTTTCAAAATCTCAACCTGAATGATTGTAGCTCATATTTGTGTGACGCACAGAAAACCTGGTGCAGGTAGTCCTCCATCACAGTACTGCTCGGTTTCTGAGTGCATAATGAAGCTTCCATATAGTCTGCTGTTTGCACTGTATTTAATAGAACCAAGTGTCATCTATTTTATCAGTTTCTACTCTATTCTATTCTATATTATATTGTATTTTATTATTTTGGCAGTGTGCGTTACATTTATTTACTTTTTTGGATGGACTGTAATGTAATGAACTATAAATATCTAAATATCTGTTCATCACAAATCATGTTGTTCTTGTTAGAGATCACCCAACCCTATTTTGGATTAAATACTGTATGAAAGCACCAGTTATCAAACCCAATATATGTATATGTATGAATCTGTGTATGCACGTATGTGGGTAAATGTAATGTAATGGAACTGATCAATATCCAACTACAATCTCATACCCCAAGAAACGGTGGTTTTGATGAGAATAAAGACATCTCCATTTGTATTTTCCTCTTTTTATGTTTTATTTTTTTCCCTCATCCTGCAGAGAGGTCCATTACACATCTCTTCAGACCTGGGCGTGTACTGAAACATCCATCCCACTCATCCCTCTGCCACCCCTCACCACTACAGGGCAATCACTGTAAACATCATTTGAAGAAAAATCAACTCTTCCATCACCAGCTTTATCATCAGGGAATAATTGTCAGCTTGTTTGTTATCACCTTGCTGATTAGAACAATGTTTTCAAAGTCAGGAGTACATCAAATACAGTACAGGCTAGATGCAACTAGAAGTGTGCATGCATTGATATCTCATGTGTGAAACAGACTGGTGGAAGTTGCGGAGGGCATTACTTCAATGTCTAAACATGAACAAACTGACGATGAAGATGAGATGATGGTCCAGAATGTCCTAATCTACAAGATAACAACAAAAAAAGAGCTGAAATATTGAGCTTAAAAACACAAATATAAACCCACAGGTTGTGTGAAAGTATGAGAAATAAACCTGCAAACATAAAATACATATTTCCATATACATTAATATTATACAAGGGAGATATACAAACAAGAGGAGTTAACAGAGATGCTGTGCCTCTTCAGCTAAGATGAGTTGTCACTGTGGGCAAATGATGAACTAAACACACTACTGCCCGCCAAATCACACACTGGTATGCTGCAAGGAAGGAATTCTGCTTCCCTGGACATTTATTCTCTGCTGCGTTGGTTTTAAACGATTTATTTCCTGACAACACCTCCCCACATGCATCAGACTTCAACATATTGTGATGAAAATAGTAGAAAATATTATTAAAGGTCGGTCGAAACAGGGAAAAGAGGGCTATCTGATGATTAACGTTATCCCACTGAAAGGTTACGCTCAGCAATGGCAAGCTGGTGTCCAGTCTACAGAATTCAGGTTTTGTATTTGGTATTTTCGGCGTTGATGGACAAGCCTCTGAGGTGGGAAAAGAGGCGCCGAAGCGCATGAAGCGGGAACCCACCCGCTTCATGGGTTTGACACTTAGAACTCAATTTGAGGCTTCCTTGCTTGCGTAAGTTTCATGTTTTGTCCGTGAGAAGAACAGAAAAAGAAAAGGAGAGGAGAGAAGAGAGTAGGGACAGCAAGAGAGGAGAAACAGTGCAGGTCTAGTGAGACTCAAACCAAAAGAGCCTAAACATGAGCAGATGTGTGTGAACTGCAGAATCAGAAGAAGAATCCGGAGAAAGAGGACAGAAAAGTGATTTTTTTTTGTAGATTGTTTTTCTCTTTTTCCATTTTTTGTGTTTGTTACAGGTCATTATGGTAGTTTGTTTGGAATAGTTCCATTTAAAGCTAGGAGATGGAGCCTGAGGCAGATGGTTTGAAGTGCATGGATGTTGCCTGTAATCCTCGGAGGATTGCAGGGAGATGCAGGAAGGCTCAGATGATGCCGTATTGGGCCAGCTCGTGCAGCTCCAGGTGATTGAAGGCCTCCCATGGGCAAATGACGGTGATGTCTGCAACAAAAAAACCGACAGAGATATGAGGTTGTTCAGGGTGCGGATCACAGAAACTGATGTGAAGCACATTTTAAAACCTACAGTGAGCTCACCTGTGCCTAAGCCCTCCATTCCAGGGATGTCATCACCAAAGCTGCAAAGAAAAAGAAATTACAAACCAAATCTTTCCACTATTTTTAAACCTCTAAAGGAAAACGTGCATCATTCAAGGCATACCCCTGGATTCCCTTCTTCGGAGGCTTGCTCTTGAACTGACGAGTCTGCCTCTGCTTGAACTTGGGTGGTCCCTTGCGAGGGGTGGCGGGGCCGCCGCTGACGCGGGTGGCCGATTTGATCTCAGCTTTCGGAGCATCAAGATTCATTTTGAACAGTTATGGTACCTGTGTTCAGGATGCTGGCTTAAGAGACACCTCTCTGATGTGTTGCCGTCGTGATGATATCTTTTTAGAAAGGAGAAAGAAAAAGTCAGAAAACTCATCGAAAACAAGGGAATGAGCCACTTTCACAAGTTTGGTCCTTTTGTTTGCAGAAGAATACAACCTAAGACGCTTTATTTTGCCTCTGTCACCTCTATCTGACATTACAGGCTTTAATCCTCTTATTGATCTGACAACACCAGGCGGGATTTACACTCGTATATATTTCCCAGCGATTGAATGTCTGAGATGGACTACCTCGCAGCATGTTCTGTGAGGATGACCCAATTTTCCCATAATCCCTAGCTCAAGTTAATAAGTACTCCCCCTCCACTCTCTGTTTCAAGCCGGCCGTCCACATGTAATCTCGTTAGAGCAAGGACAACGCGGCAGATATGCTGAGCGTGCACTGTGGGTCTAAATGATCAATCCGCTCACCGCGTCCCGATGACAATGACAGTCCTGAACAAGTCTAAACCGTTAATGTGGTCATAGGACTGCAGGGTAAACTTTGTTTATGTAAAAGATACTGTGTAGTTTTATTTCAAAATAGAACCATAAAAGTGTTGACATGAGGAGTGTAAATGTATTTTAAAGGGTTGGTTTATCCAGAAATCCAACAACTATGTTATCTGTTTGAAGATGGTGCTACTTCAATAACTTATTAACTCTTAAAATATCTTTAAAGTTTAACAATAAAGAGTCTGCATATCAAAAACAACTTACAGCATTAGCGATTACTTTATAGCACTATAGGTATTACCAATGGAAAATAAAATCAGTTCCCAAAATCTTACAATATGTACACTGTAAAACCAGATAGGTTCATATAACTCTAAGCATACACAAAAAACATACACACACAACTAAATGTTTTTAGTAAATAAAATATTCTTGATCAAGTAGCTTTAGTCATTTTAAGTGAGAATAATTTTAATTTTGTAATTTTTGTTTGTACCTAATAAAATGTTATAAATCAGGAACTTCATGATTCTATACTAAGTAACAAGTCCACCTAAGTACATCTAAAGTAAATGATCAAGTACTCTGTACGTTTCTTTTTACTTTACTTAACATTACTTAAACTCAAGTGTACTACACTACATTAGCCTTTGTTAGCCCAACATACAATACCTATTCAACTTTAGTCAGGCAATTGGTTTTCATGCTTTTTTAAAACTAATTAGAATTTAACATTTCAAACAATACCCAGCTCTGATCATTCAGTAAGCTGGACACTTTCTTTTTTACCAAACAGAAAATCTACAGTACAGCTGATCCATCAATCAAAGGACAACAAAAACGCCTCATAAACAACAACAACACGAACCTCTAAATACAATTAATTCAGTTTATGAGAGTTTTGAAACCTTCATATATTGTTAAAAAAGTTCAACACCAGCAAAGAATATGTGCACAGCAGTCTGAGCTAGAGCCAAACAGTTGTAGGTCTACTTTTGTTTAAAAACTGATTCCTTATTTCCTTCAAGTGTTGCTTTGTATCTTTATTAACTGCAACACAAGACATCAACTTATTTCCATGGATTCAGTCACATTATGATCAACTAAAATTAAACAAAGAACCTGTAAAACAAATTGTTTGACCCGATGTCCTCCTGAGACCTAAATCTCTTTTTCGAGAGAGCTTAAAACAGAAGCACCATCTATTGTTGTCTCAATTTAAAAAGTTTCCACCTTTTCGGTTCAGGTCAGATCACTTCAGCTCAAATAAATGACATCTACATTGTTTACCACCACTATGTTAAATCCCACATATCTCAGTAATGTCTGCGGTGGTGGTGATGTAGCGGTGCTTCTACTCACCGGCTGCTTGGGTGAAGGACAGCCAGACGAGTGGGTGTGAGCGCAGCACGGGTCTGTCTAGCAGATGAGTGCAGTTCTATGCTAGGCTTGCTGTGAGGGCCAGTCGGGGCTTAGGGCCCCTCTTATATGCTGAGCCCCTGCAGAAGATTACCAACGCGCCACCTCCCTGTTTTAATGTCAACAGTTCATATGCATCACGTACACATGTACATGTCCAAACTCCATTTTAGTAATGTCACAGTGATGTGAGAGGGGCGTAATGTGGTTCAGATTAATGTCAGTTTTTAAACATTTGTGCAGATTCTGGATGAAAATTTGTGATTTCAAACTAATTCTTTTATATACTTTCTGCATTTGTGATGAAACTAAGGCACATTTCATACACAGAGGCAATTCAAAGAGCTTCAGACAATGCAAGAAAAGAAAGAAAAACAAGATGCAAACTTTGGATGTTCTATTCTATTTTGGATCTTATTTGTTTATTCTTATTGTTTTTGATTTAATTTGATTTGATTCTCATTGTTTAAGATATCTAAAACAGGAAAATGTCAGACTTTAACGTTTGTCTCCAGAAAATTCAAGAAAGCACTGAGCAAACTTATCAAACTGCTGATTTGAGACAATAGGATGTGCAATCCTGGAATATGATGATGCAGATTATGGATGCAGCAGGAAGCTTCCTGAAAGTCCTGGCAGCCCACTCGTTCTTTGTTATGCAATCGTCTCACCATCTGCTGCAGGCAAAACCCTCCAATCCTCCATCCTGCAGAAGTCTCTTAGATCATCTTAATGAACGTTTCAGGGTAATTCCCTGCAGTGAGAGTGGCCTCCATCTAGAGCAATAATCCAACACCCACATGAAATCAATCACCACACTGCTAATCAGGACTTCTTCTTGGTTAATTCAGGTGGATGTACCCACAGCGTCCTTTTGCCTTAAAGAGACACTTGAATGGTTTACTTCCATAAAGCTGGGATAGTTACAAGAGACAGCTTTAAAAAACACACACTTAAAACAACTTAAGCAAAGACTGAGATATTCTGACTTTGAATGAGTCAAACCTCTTCAAAAACAAAAAACTCAATTCCCATAATGCAACTTGAAAGTTTCTCTCATTAGTCCCTCAGCTTTCAAACTCCACACCTCCAGTCTGTGAGGCAGGATTTGCACAAAAAAGGTGTGTTTTACAAGACCTAGAAGACATGTTTTTACAGTCTAATAGTGCTCCCTGTGACCAGCAGTGTGTGGAATCGCTAATTCACCTAAAACAGAAAGTCTTCCCTAAATCAGATCCTCAACAGTTGAACTGATCGTTTCATCATGCGACACAAACTGAGATGATGAAACAATCTCACCACAAGGTCCGTTTCTTTTCTTTGTGCTTTCGATCATCGGTTCACTTCAAGGACTCCTCGTCTCTGTTGACTTAAAAGTTGAGCCTTACAATCTCCTTCCTCTCAAAAATGTGTTTTATTTATTGTTGTCAGTCCGTTCTGTGCATAGTTCGTTCTTCTGTTTAGTTTTTGTGTATCATGTTGTTGCTGCTACCTCGGCCAGCTCTCTCTGCACTGATGCTCTGACATTTAAGTGCATCTCACTGTGAATAACTCAATATAACGGCTAGTTACCAGATAAATAAAATAAAATGGATTTGTCCCAGTCTTGTCTGTTGTTTAGGACATGTGCAGTGGGAGGCGCTCATTGTTTGTCATCACTGGCTTGAAGGCGTGTCCGTCCAGACGCTCCTGATAACCCCTAAGCTCTCAGCAGGAGGGTGCACGTGCCCCGCTCTCTGCACACTATTAATGAGTGATCACTCTCATATGATAGGCAAAGGTTTCAAATCTGATCTATATTTGTAATATAACTGTAAATTCATACAGGAATTAAGTGAAATCAACTAATCTTTTCTCATTAACTTAACATCAATTTAAAGGTTTTATTTATTTCAAGTTAATTAAACTTAAAATTTCTATTTTTATTTTGAGACCACTTCAAAACTTATAAACATGAGTTCTTCTAACTTGAAGTAAACTGTACAGAGTTCAATCAACTCATTACATTAAGTTTCTAAACACATGATCATGTCTTTATTAGCAGATAGCTTAGCATTGGTCGAGAGTTAAAACTCCATTGAGACTGTTAACATATGGAAAACATAAGGAGCTGTGTGTCTCTCATACACTTTAAGATTTAAGTTGTGGTTGTTTCACAATAATGAAAACACTGTGAACCGTGATGAATGTTAGCATTTAATTCAGTCTCTATACCTGCTTATACTTGCAGTTACAGTCACATATTGTCTGTGCTCCAGTGCTGGAACAAAGTCTGCAGCAGCATTATTAATGTGTGAAATGAAGAAGTGAATAATATTTGTTTGCAATGTTTGTCTGTATGACTGAACATTTGTTGGCTCAAATTAATATCTTATTAAACACAAGTTCAGTTAACTCAACTCAATTGGTTTTACAACAAACATAAAAAAAAACAGAATTTTCAACCTAAGTTAACTCACCTGCCTGAATTGGACTAAAAAAGGTGACAGTGACCTGATTGAGAACAACCCAAACCACTAACTTTTGTAGTTTTTGGCATTTCTCAGCATTTAGCTAGCTAAGTATTTACACAGTTACACAAGCATTACTTTTTTGCCACCCGACTCAACTCCATCACACTCCTCATACTGCAACAAAGGTAACAAAAACTGGCCAATCAGAGGCAGAATACGGCGGCAGGATCGAGCTTTACGTGGGTGTTTAGGGCTGCGTACCTGGACTCACCAGGAGTTACGCAATAAGAAGTAAGGGTACTCATGTGGACAAAAACCAGATGAGCTGGAACTCAGTACCTGTGAGTACTGGCCCATTTGTAATGCAGCAAATGAACTTGCTGATCATTGGGTAGGCTGCTGAAGAGAACATCAATCCACATCACTGAAACTAATTACATCGTCTCTAATTAAATAAATGAATTAACTGACACAGCGTAATAACAACTATAGACATGTCCTGTATATAAGTAATATTTCAAAACTTAAATCACCTCAGTAACCTGTTGAACTGAGTTGACTGCGTGTTTGACCCGTGATCAGATGCATGTTGGGAGAATATTTAATACTGGCATGACGCAGTGTGACACATTGCAGCGGTGGCATCGGCGCTAATCTGTCTCCAGTTTTTTCCATGGCGTCACTCACTGGGTGCAGCGTTCTGTATATGATCGGTTCGTAATCCTCTGCATAACCCAGATCAAAGAATAACTGCAGGCAGGAGCGGCGCAACTGGCACCGCTGTAATCAGGACTTAAAGTGCATCACCATTACAAGACTAGTGCTGACTCAGTCAGGGAGATCAGGGTCACCTCAGAAAGTGGCCCTGTGAGATGTACAGACACCAGGCTGGATTCCCCTCGGCTGACTGAAAGACATCATTCTAACAACTGAACCCGTTCTGCTCCTTTTCTGACAGGATCCATCAGGTCATTACGTCTGTCTGCCAGGAGCCTCCTGCAGTCCTTACAAACCTCACTTAGATTAACTGAACATCAGATACATTTAAAATTACACTATTTACATTTATTTACAGTCAATAGTGAACATGTTTGTATATATTACTTATGTAAGTACAATTATTAGGTTCAAATCTTGCTCTCTTAAATGAGAATATACTCAAAGATTGTTTTCATTCAAGTGTTCTGTGTGAAACCACTCCTGTGTTATTTCTATAGTAAATACAGTCTGACAGCACTGAAACTCAGCAAGATGAGTATGTTGGATAAACCCCCTGCGATGATCGAATGAACAAGTTAAGAGGATCAACCAAAATATTTTATCCTCATGAGGGCAGACACACCGTTTTGTGTCTATCTGGCACTCCCTGGTGGCTTCTCCTTGTACTGAAATGATGCAGGGTAAAACAGTTTGTTCATGTCGTTGAAGAACATTTATTTAAATACAAATACATTATTTAAATATAAAGAAGCAAATGATCAGTGAACACATAAAAATATACTTTTAACACTTCAGTTCCAACTTCAAACAAACAAATGTGCAAATGAGTTTCATGACCAAAACATGACAAAGAATCAGAGAGTAAAGATTTTCTGCTGTGGCCCAAAGTTTTTTTTCCTCATGCAATCACACACACTTTCACAAACCCACCACTTCAAGCCCCTTACACACTACCAATCGGCTTTCCTGGAGTGGAACAGGTTGTTGGTAATGTTTCAAGTTACTGAAAGAACAATTACAGTTTCAAACAGGGCTGCACAGTTTATCACAATATTACTGAAAGTGCAATATCCAGATCACAGAAGCTGCGATCTTTAGATGAAGTTGTGTGATAAACAGCATTATAATGAAGTACTGTTGATGTAAACACTTTCGAATGTCACATCAGGATGTTAAAAGGTTTTTCAGTCAAAAAGAAACTGTGATGCAAAAGTGATCAATCCCACTAATCATGAATCATCTCACAACAATAAAATCTATCAAAGTAATCACAATCTATTTTTTTGTTTTACTGTATCATGCAGCCTTCGTTTGAAATGACCTAGATCTGATTTCTGTAATGTTTGGGATCATTCCCGTCAATGTACATTGTGACTTTGTTTATTGTGCGTATCAGACATCACAACACAGAAATCTAACAGGTAAAGACAAAACAGTTTCCAGTGCAAACAGGGACTATTACCAACATTTCAGGTTTTACCTCCAAATAAAGTCTCAGAAATGACTTTGGTGACTACAATGTCAGCATAAGTGATAGAAATGATGGACAAAGCTATCAAATTATACAAAATGCTATAAACTGGAATTAAACTGCTTTATCATCAGCTACAGCAACATTTTCTGTCTCTCAGGCAGGACGGGGGACCTTTCTCTTAGGCGTGGGTAAAAATATCGACTCATCAATGCATTGCAATATAGTTTTTACCAATTCAATATCGATTCATTAAATCCTCTGAATCGATTCAAGCCCCTGGCCAGTGGGGGCGCGGTGAGCAACACCAGCGTGTGATTTGCGTTGTACATGGCAACCGAAGCAGGTAGCAGCAGTGTTAAAGCAGCGCCTTCAACTTTAAAAGCAGACGTTTGGAGTCATTTTATATTCCAGTGTAAACTCGGAACACAGCAGACAGACAAAAGTAAGGGAGTGTGTAAGCTGTGCCAGGCACTACTAAAATGTTTCAATTAAGCCGACACCATGCAGAAGCTCTGCAGCAACCCGCGGATACACCTGTGGATTCAAAAGCTGTACACAGAGGTTTATTAATTATTTTAAAATTATCAACAGGTACTCTAATGAATTATTTGTGTAATTCTACTTATTACTGAATCGATATCGAAGCATTTAAATCAATATCAAATCAAATCGATATCGAATCGAATCGAATCGAATCGTGAGGTTCTTAATAAAACACAGCCCTACTTTTTCTGGACGTTGCCCGGAGGAACTGTACGAGTCAGTCGGAACATTAACGGACCTTGCCGTGCCAGCTCCCTCGTGCAAAGTCCGTGAAATGTCCGATTGAACCCATGTGTGAATAACGAAGGGCACGTTGACGACGATTCTCTCACAAACAGGCGAGAACCTGAAGGAATACAAAGGGTGACGAAGAAGAAGACACAGTCTGCTAACTGGAGAGTCGATGAGATTCAGGAAACTTGCAGCCTCTGAAACTGTTAGACAAATTCTAGAGACTCGGTTGTTTCTGACCCAATATAAAATCTGCTACGTGACCGCGGTGTCTTCCACAGAAAGGTGAACAACGAACTAAAAGCCCTGAAGGAGTCCTAAAGGCATCAGCTACCTTTTCACCTGCTGAGCTGGTAGTTTGTCTGTTCTGTGAACTGTGCGTCCGTCAGGAGGAGGACGGGGAAACGTGGAGGTAAAACCAGAGTCAGAAAGTGCTAACACTCAGTCAGTCCATCAGTCACGTCTTTTTCAGGAGCCTGATCTCCATCTTTAGGTAGGTTTTAAGGTTCTCGTCGAGGACGTTCTCCTCAATAGCGGCGAGCGCCCGGTCGCCTCCGTCGTGGTAGTACGCCAGCAGCTGCTCCGCGTGTTCGATCCACACACAGTTATGACAGCCGCTCATGCAGCAGTGGGTGGGAGCGGGCGGGGGACCCTGGTCTGGAGACCAGGAAGGGGTACTGTGGTTGGGTTCTGGTTCAGTGCACTCAGAGGAGTCAGTTAGAGGAGGAGGAGCAGGACAATCTGGTTCAGTAGAGAGGCAGCGAACGGTGCCGCTGTGTGGAGCGCCCCTCAGTGACCCCGGGGGGCGATGATGGATCGGAGGTCTCAGGTTGAGCAGGGAGAGGATGCACAGCTGGAAAACAGTAAACATCAGCTGTTATATGAATAATCAGAATTCAACTGCTGCTGTATTCTTCTGTTAAATCCTGTAAGTATTTCATTTTATTGGTGGGTGTCAGTGCAGCTTGTTTCCTGTGCACATTTCGATAAAGCTTGAATCTTTCATTTAAAGTGAACATATAAAAGGTTCATTCAACCTTTAAAGTCAAATTCAAGAACTTTTTAAGCACTTTCAAAGTACCGAAACCAAACTTTTCCTAAATGACTATTATACAAATGCAAGAGTGAAAAATAAAGTTTACTAAATGTACACTGTGACTTTATTTTACTAATGTGAAACAATGTGTAAAGAGTGAGACAGATGTGATAAAGAGACAGGTCTGCTCATCGAGCTGTGATTTATAATGTTTAAGGTTAAAGACTTTAAAGTAATGTGATTACTTTTCACAGCAGCTAGAAACACAACTGAGGCCAAACTTTACTAATCTCTGAACATAATGGATACTTCCCGCTGTTAGAATAGTAGAAACAACACTTTACAAACTGCTGTGAACAAAGTTAAAGGTCAAAATCTCCTAAAAGCTATCTGCTTCTCTGCCCTTAGCTCTACAGTACCGTTAGCTTAGCCACCAACCTTCCGTAAAGACAGCGACGACTTTACCACATTTACACCCAGACTCAGCATCCTCGGACCGAATACGGAGCTCCGTTATGTCGCCGTACATTTCATCTTGTTTAAAGTGTATGTTTCTTTAGGTTTCTCCCTCCAAACCTGTCTTACCAGCTCGTTGCGTCACTTCACATCACCCTCAACTATGACCTCTGCGTGAGGTTGTAAACAAAACCGCTGATTGGCCGACAGAAAATAATTTGACCAATCAAATTGCGCTTCTCTTAAAGTTAAACCAATGGGAAGCGTGGAATGTTTTATGGGCGGATCCCAAAAGGAGAGACTGCATTTCCAGTCTGTGTCCAGCAGGTGTCGGTATTTCATCTTTATGACCATGTAAAGACGCAATTGTTTCAATAAAGCTCATACAAATGAAAGGATGTGATAACAGATTATGATTGTATATAATTTTAATAAAGAATATATTATTTGACTGTGTTTCTGTTAGGAGTCAGAAGAAGTCACCGTAACTCAGACTCATGTTTATATTGTACTGTTGTCATGCACCACTCAACCGCTCAGCTAATTGCACTGAAGTAGATTGTTTGCAGCTGAGAGACTGCATGTGCCTCCTCAGGGCCGTGTCATCAGTTTCTGAGGCCGAGCAACATCAGCTGCACAGATCAATGAGGGCCTATTTATTGCATGTTTACAGTTTCCTAGTTATCCTTCCTATGTTACATATTATTATCCTCACCAATATCAATTATTGTATTTCTTCCTCTGAATTACAGTTAGTTCCATTAGCAGCAGTAAAGAGAATATTCTCCATTTAATGTCACTAGTAAGTGGAGTTAAGATCAGAAGAAGAGTCATGTGACTTGGACTTGAATCAGACTCAAGTCAAGAATCTGAGGACTTAACAAAATCAAGATTTCCAACATTGCTTTGACTCAATAACTTTAGCCGTATCAATTAATGACTTCATGTCCTATCCAATCCAACTTATTTGTTAAGCCCTGCAAGGCCGACTCACAAAATCACACAATCACACCAGAATCCATCTTTCCAGGCTTCAAGCTATTGTGTCCAAACTATAGTAGTTCTGACCAATCAGTGTCTTCTGAGGAACTCCTGGCGGCTACAGCGTGAGCTATGGGTGTGATGACAGCGTGTCTGAGAAGTGACGACAGTGGTAGCTGCTAAAGAGGCTAGCATCAGTTACATCAGAACTGGAGAGTATTTCAGACAGACTTTGGAGTTTTACTCCGTTATGTGGTTTGTTGATCTGACCGGTTGAAGTTCGCCACTGATAGACGGCGATAGAATCACCTGCCAGGTATTTTTTTAAAGAACCTGCCCTTTTCCAAACAGATTCCAACGACGACTTCTCAGAAACAAAAATATGATATTAAAAAAAAGGTTCACTGTTTATTGTCCTGTAGCAGCCAATCACGATGCACAAGCAAGAGGTAAAGGTGCGTTTGGCCGAGCAGCAGAAACACAGGCTCAGATGATGCCTCGGATTATCACATTTAAATCATTACGCCTCATTCATTCACAATTCTCACTCTCCTTTCTGATCAGCAATGGGCGTTTACTTCTTCAGTTAATCCAATCGGATTGAGCCACAATCTCCTCCAGCCAATCACGTTGCTGCTGTCAAACTTTAAATCTGTTCTCCTCTCTGCTGCTTTCAGCTCCTCCACCCCCATTCACCTCCAGTTCATCATATCCAGTGTCCGGGTTGAGCTCATCAGAAGTCCACTCCTCATCACATCCGGAGCTTTATTCTCTTCATCACCACCACCATTGTCTGGACTCCATCATCATATTTCCTATACTAATCACAGCACGTATCAGTTACATGTAGTTGGTCATTCACAAACAAAAAGCAGTGGGAACATGAAAAACATCCAGCTTGACAAATGAAATGACAAATGACTGTACGGTAGTTGTATCTCAGGAATAACACACAAAGAAACGCCATTATTTGACTGCAGAATGTACATTGTTTAAATTCGTTCATTATTTATGTACATTTCTGACCCTCGCTGTTACTCTGAAGTAAAGAGTACATAATGAGTTGTTTAAGGCTTAAAGCACAAAGCTTAGGACTTGGACCTGACTAGCAAAGACTTGTGACCTCGAGCCACCTCTGGCAGAGGAATCGGATATGTTACCTATACACCGGTATTGAAGCTGGAGTCATATTTACAATGGCTTACATAATGTAAGAAGAAACTATTATTAAAGGCTTAAAATTTAGGTCAGTGAAAGTACCTCGCAGGGAATATTTCTTTGAGATTCCCTGCACTGAAAGAGCATTAAAGCCGTAGTAAAGCAGATTTGGTGGATGAAACAGCTCCTTTATGCTCATGAGTGAAAGTAAACCCTCTTTTGATGTAGTTTTTCTTTGTGTGACTGTGGTTCACTGATTTTGTACCGTACCCTGCCAATTTCTTAACTATTTGACCCACTCACCGATGCGTGAGGAGTGTGTGCGTGCGTGTGTGTGTGTGTGTGTTTAGTATATGGAAGAGAAGTCTGAGGTCCCCACAGACCTCAGTGTTTGCAAGCGACATCCATGGTAACGTGGCGTGGAAACACAGCAGCTGCTGGGCCTGGCAGGAGATACCAGGTGTGTGGTGGGGCATGTTATCTCACCAGAGGCCCCGGATCACAATGTGACTCTATTCCAAGGAGAGGTTCTGCCTCAGTCGCAGTCACGCTTCATAGAAACACAGACCTTTATTCAAACACATAAAGCCAACTACACTTAAAAGGCTGCTGGATCACAAATAATAACTGAAGAGCAATAAGCAGACAACAGAAGGTAGCTGTGTACACAGACGGTCCGAACACAAACATGAGATTTATTTATAGCCTCAATGATTCAGTCTTATGATAATGGTTTTATCATAATAGTTTCCATTACACAGAGATTTTGTTATCGTGAGGCGTGCCCAATAATTCATATTTCACACAAAATGCAGGAAGGACAGAACAGGTTTTATTCTGTTCATGTGCCACCATAATGTGGATATAATAAAGCTATGAGTGGATCAGTGCTGTCTGATTCTGTAACAGTGTTAACGCTGGCACAGTCATATCATCTCAGTTTGTGTAAAACCAAAACAATGAGCTAAAAGATGCCAAAACGCACTGAGGAGCTCAGACTGCAGAATGAGGTCATATTTCTTTGTAGGTTTGTCACTACAAGTACTCCTTTCACATTATATGTAGTAATTTGATCCAATTTTAATATAGAAATATGTATTGGTGCAGCTTATAAGTACATTTGTATTTAAACCTGAATTAATTTACTTTTTTTTTTGGCCACTTGGAACAAGCTGTAAGCACATTGACGCCTTATAAAGTTGAACATGTTAGCATTCAGTTGGCTTTTTACACATCCAGCAGACACAGAGGAACTTTAGCATTCATTCGTGTCCATGTGATGAACATAAGTCCAACATTCACTCTTATTTTAACTCTGTCACCAACTCCTGAGAAAAATATCAAATTCTTTAGCTGCTAGATGCTAACTTTGTCATGTCAACAGGCCTTTGTCTGCAGTTTGGTGCTGGAAAAGTTTACAGTGAATTTATCGGAGCTTTTGCCCTAAAAACAGCAGCAGGCAGCAATTAGGTCGATAAGAGGCGAGACCGAACCGAAGCAGTAAAGCAGCCGGCAATGAAACCGAAACAATGTGCTTAAAGACGCCTAACTGCTCCATACAGCTGAGGGGAACTGCAGGAGAGTCAGGGGATAATTCTCTGTGGGTTTGTGACGACTGACACACCTTTAACATACAGTCCTACAGGGATTAACACATTCAGAGGCAACAATACGACATATATTTCATTTACAGAGTGATTGAATTTAGGTCATGGTTAGATGATCTAGCAGCTTTTGGTATCGGCTTGTGTAGGTCAGCTCAAAGAATCTCTTAAGTATGTCAGGTATGTGAGCACTGAGGAGGCTGAGGGGTCCGTTTTCTCCAAGGCTGGCACTCGACTTTCCTCACAAACAGTCACAGCCCCGCTGCTGGATTAGGTTTCTCTCAACACCTTTCCCCTTGGAAATCCTGGAGCCCTGCTTTACCTCCAGCAGGCATTTCCTGAGGGGCCCTTTTTGCAGACTAAGATAGACTAAATCAGGCACAAATACTTAAAGAAAAACAGCTTGAGGGAGGGAAGGCTATTTCTGACGGAGTTTGATACTTTTGAAACATTTCACATGACCCAGTGGTTCCCAAAGTACAGCCTGAGGACTCCCACGGGTTCTAGGGGAATTCTTGGACGGGTCGAAAAGATGAGTTCACCATATCAACATTATTGTTAAGTTTGTATGTATAAATATACCTTTATAGTATACTGTGTGTATAGTTACGTAGCATTGTGTCATAAATAAAGGTACATTCCCTAATTTTACTGCTCCAAGGGTCATTTTTTGCCACGCTAAGTGTCTGAAATATCTCAACAACTAACAGATGGATTGCCATAAAATTCGGTACAGATATTTATGATACCTAGACGATGAAACCTACAGGCTTTGGTGATCCCCTGACTTTTCATCCAGCTGCACCATGAGGTAGACCAATATGGTTTTGAGTGAAATGCCTCAACCACTATTGGATTTTTTGCCAAGTAATTTGGTATGCAGGAATCTTGATATTAAAGGTCCAGTGTGTAACATTTAGGAGGATCTACTGGCAGAAATGGAATATTATAATATAAATAGTATAGTCCCCCGTCTTTGTACAGTATCCCAGAACAGACAAACCAATTACTGGCTCTGGATTTCCTACACTCTTGGTTGAGTCAAGGAGTTTAAGTTGGTTGCAATCTCACAATAAGTAAACTAAATGCCACTAAATCCTACACACTGGTCCTTTAAATTGACAGTAAAATATCAACACATAAAGCAGGAGAGATATTCTGCACTAACAATACATCATCGGAGGACCAGCGTAGTTTCTCCCACATGCTTGGAAGTTAAGCAATATTCAGTTGGTTGCAATCTGCAACTTCACACTGGTCCTTTAAAAAAAGCTCCCCCTGAAATAAACAACACACAGCTTCGCTCTGGCTGCAGGCATCCTGCATGAGAGGGATTAGCTTCATCACTGTTAATCCCAGTGAAACCCTGCGTGCACAAAAGGCCTGGCAGTGTTTCTAACAACTTGTTGCACATTCAACGCTGTCCCACGATATAAGGGAAAGATTTTCCAAGAATGCAACCAAACCAAAAAAAAGGTATTTTAGAAATGCATCAATGTCAAACAACAGTGGTATGTGCTAACAGTGATTTCCAATCAGAGGCAAAAGGTACGATTGGTCGTGCAGCGCTTTTTGTTTTCATGTAATGTACCTCGGATACAGTAGTGGTCCCCATTTCTAGCTGCAGCTGTGTCAACAGTCAAACAGCTTCACCCAAGTCCTTCATAACAGAGAAAAGTGGCCATGAGGTTTTTCTGTCTGACCACCCGCTCTGTGTGCTGAAATGCCCCAACAATGGCATCTCTGATAACTGAGTATCTTTTCTATTTGTGGATCTGCAGGGATGAGCTCAAACTCCGATGGCCTGTGTTAAAAAGCTAGCGGGGAGGTGTTTTGGTGCTCAGGTGTCCTTCCTCAAGGTCCTCCCGGCTGACTCACAGGACCAGCTTTGTCCTGAGCGCACAAAGACCACACTGTTCATTTACCCCGAGCGGACGGCAGCCGTGCCACCTCCCCAAAAATTGACAAGTCAATGACACACCACAAATGGTAACTCGTCAGAATTGGCAGAAACGTGTTTGTGTATGTGTGAGGAGGCTGAAACAGGAGACCTGATGGTGTTTACTTAGAAAACAAAGAAAAAGTTGAACCAAACAGGAAAAATGATATTCCCTGTATATTATTGCAGCGATAGGCCTTTTGACATGTCGCAGTAGAAAAAACCCACATGTAGAAGATAAAATGAATGATTAACTCCATTTATCTCTTCTGTTTCAGGGTTGAGTTATTGTGCATAATGTCACATTGTTGTCACAGAGCCACCATTTACATCATTACTTGTGTCTTTTTCACAGCAGCCATATGAAATAGTAGGGTTAACACAGGTGTTACTAATGACACTAATTAAGGTTCTGTTCCATTCAGGTCAAACAAAGTCAGGGTGCTGCTACTGCACTAAATGGAACTGAACCTTAATTAGTGTCATTGGTAACACCTGTGTTTACCCAACTATTTCATGTCTAAATAGCCGCTGTGAAAACGGTCTATTGAAGGATCAGTGTGTAGGATTTAGTGGTATTTAGTAGTATTTGTTTAATGTGAATAAACTGTGAATTATTGCTTTTTACATCGCACAGTGAAGTTATATTCACACAGTCTTATAATGACCTTCATAACACCACAATGGCTTTTCCCTCAGAGGACGGTCCAGTAACGAGACAAACAAGGGAGTCATCAGAGGAAGAGTCTAATTAAGCACAAGCAAACAGGGAACCGTTCCAGGTAAAACTACAACAGATAGTGAGAAACACGTCTAGAGCTGTGTTCTCCCATCTGTTCACTGAGGGGTTTACGAACAGTCACAAGTCTCTGGTCTCATTTATTTGCATGTGATCTGATTCATATTACGGGAAGTTTGGTGACGCAGTGGCAATTCAGTTTCAATTACAGCATGTTCACACAGTTAAATATATAATCTGTAATATTTCTGCCTATAAACACGAGGCAAGTACCAAGTACCCCTGGATGGGAATCATGGGCCTGTGGCGTTGCTATAGCATATACATCCATCTTTTGTTCTGCTGTAACGCCTCAATGCATCACTATAAAGCTGTCCTTGATGTTGCGTTATTTTGCAGGTAAACGTAACTGAACATTAATGCCTAATTTAGCTTGGCTATGAGAATTGAGGCTCTAATCTTCCAACCAAACCGTTCAGTGAATCCGCTCTGTGTTTGCTCTGTGTACAGTTCAGGTCAAGCTGCTGGTAAATCATTCTTTAGCTAGCGAGGTCACCTGAGGGTCCGCGATGGTTGAGTAACCCGGGGGCTTGAATGCATAGCATGAAAAGCATTTAAGTACACTGACCAATCAGTGGCCCCGGATATTAACACCTCAGTCACTAAACACCCTCGCTGCTCTGTAGCTCTGTAGTAGCAGGATGGAAAGCTGTTAATGAACAACAGATGCAGTTTACTTTCTGGAATCATAAAATAGTTTTTAACATAACGTGCACCGTAGGACGGGCACAGAGAGGCAGAGAAGTGGCGGGCTGTAAATGTGTTCCTTGGCTCCTGATCTGAACTCATCGATGGCTGCAGTTTGTTGAGGCGTGGGAGCGAGGCATGCAGGGTTTGGGTTGGGAGGGGGGGTGGGTGTTATTTGGGAGAGACAGAGGTGCTTTGACTCAGGCTGTTAAGTGCCAGAGCTCTGGGTTCAGGTTTGGCAGCCAACTGTGCTGGACTGAGTTTATCAGTCAGTGCCTTACTGGGATAAACAACAGGCAAAGCAAAATGAAGTCATGGAAAATAACAGGGTACATTTACTCAAGTGATTCTCAGTACAGGGTTTGAGGAAGCTGCACTTTATCTGAGTATTTCCATTTTAAAGCTGCACTAATAAATAGGTTTATATTAACAATGGATCAAATGATCACATGTGATGTGACTCAGAACGTCAGCCCAACTCTCCAGAGCGTTTTAAAGCAAGGGTGTGTGACGCTGGAGAAACTAACAAGGGATGGTTAGATCTTTAAAAACCATACACAACGGTGTGTTTCTCCACTTCAGATCTGACTGAATGACTTCTGGCCTGGTGCCACAATGTTGATCTAGCGTGAAATTTGACCTGGAGTCTGCTCACGGTATTTTATTTTGACAAATTGACCACATTCTCTATGCCGTTTCTTTGTTTGACTTCCTGTCTGTATGATCTGCAATGATTGGCTGGGCTTATTACAGGCCTGTGACTGCTACAGATTCATTATTTCATTTATTCATTTCTGTCGGGATGCAAATACAACAACAAATCCTCCTGAAATACATTACGTACCCTAGCATAATGTCTTTGACCTCATTGCTTTTACGCCCCACAACTTTATTGTTTTGGGTCAGTCTCACTTCTCTCATAAACCTCTTTTCCAGCAACAGCAGGCAGTTGTTTGTAGAGAAAAAGCTTAGAGAAATACCCTGCACACACACACACACACACACACACACACACACACACACACACACACACACTACCTGCTCAGCTCCAAACAGCAAACAGACAAAGTTAGCGACTAGATGGTGAACATAGCAGAGAGACAGATATTTCCCTCAGGAGACCAAAACAGAACTAAAAGAAGGGAATATTCAACAAATGCTAATGACGTTATACAGATCAAGATTAAGAGGACATACACATGATGCATTGTTATACATTAAATCAGTGGTTCTGAAGCTTTTTGGCTTGTGACCCCTTAAAATGATGTTAACTTGCAGTCCTTCATCAGGTTGTAAATGTCTTCAAGTTGTGTCCAGTTCATCCACCACAAGATTATTAGTTTTAGAGGGATGAAGACAGAAAAGCATCAAGTAATTTACTTTAAATCACAGTTTATTTTAGGCTCGTACCACCGTAGTAAGCCAGATTCACATTACTCACTTTAGTATTCGCTTTGGGTTTGGTGGGAACACATAAAGCATGTATATTCTGCATCATGAGCAGCTTTATTTCTTATACGTTGTCACATTTTACTGATGATACTAAATTTTGATTTTGAATGCAGCACCAGTAATGGGATATTTTTACTGTGTGTGCTGCAGTATATACTGTACATGAGCAAGACGTGAGTACTTCCACCACTGGAAGACTGCACGTGCGTTGAAACAAACACTGGGGAGGATATTTGAATTAGTTATCTGCCTTTTTATTGCACACAGTGGACAGTGTGGTTGGTCTCGCCATCTGACACCGGGCTCACTGTGTAAACAACCTCTCTTACTGTCAGTTAAGGATATCAAAGACTCTATTACAGCTTCTTCTCTTGTCATTTTGTTCAGGTACTTCACTGCAGTTTATTTCCATGCTCGATCGCTCACTGTTTATGTGTTTGTGTTACTGCCTAATTGGACACTACCGCCCGGCGTCTCAGATACCGCCCCTATCAGCAGGATGCAGGCGCTGGCTTCTAGCACCAATTAGCTCCCAGCGAGACGCCTCTCGCACTCCTGACACTGCTGTTCCAGGAAGCTGCGATACCGTCCATATTCCCCTGGACACTCATCCTCCTACAAACATATCAAACAGCAAGCTGAGGCTTATCCAGGCATAAAGATGTCACAGGTTTCAGACTTTGTTGCACGCCATCACATATTTTAATCCTGAATCCACAAAAGGAAATATTATGTTATGATATCAGATGCTTGGTGCACAGTCTCTACAGCCCTCTGCTCCAGTAAACTGACTTTTTACCAGTCTCACTCAATCTTCACAGATGTGTTCTGTTTCTTAGGTGAAAGAGGGTTTGTGTTTGTGTGCGAGCACATAGAGAGCGATCCAATATGGCTGCAGGGTGATGGAGGACAACCAGCACTGCTCCTGTAAGTAATCAATCGCATCAATCTCCCTCCATGTGCCTCTCTGTCTACCTTTTTATACTTCAGGAGGCGAATAGCAAACATTATATTATAATTATTATCTTATATTAATATAGAGTCGTAATTTGAGCAAAGGATGGTTGAAGGATAAGTTTATTACAACTTGGGTCTTGTTTTTGTCCGTCGTCATTCAGACATCACACTGAACAAAAGGAGGCAGAATTACAGCTTAAGATTCAAAATGGAAATAATAATTACAGCCAAATGCTTCAAATAGCAATGCACATAAAAATATCACAAGTAAACAAAAATTGCCAGTTTGGCAGTATAGTTTTAGAAATTTTTTAAGTTTTTTTTCTTGGTTAATTGAATAAGTGAAACGAGATCATTTAAACAAAAAAACACACAATCACAGAAATCTTTCTGAGTGGAGAGATTATAGACAAAGAAATCAACAATCTTACCTGAAAAGTTGCCATAGTCCTATATCTCAAGTTGTTATTATTGTCTATATTTTTTAACAATCTGCTCTTGTTATTAATAGATTGTAGCTGATGTGCATCTGTGTGTGTGTCGTGCAATGAGCTAATATAAACTTTTTCATTTGAAGGACCCCCTGTTTGTGAGAATTTCGTCTTAAGGAAGGAAGATTATACTCTTCTGGGGTCACTATAAATTACAATCAGTGAAAATGGCCAACCCTATTTTTCTTCCCTTCCAAAAAAACTTGATAAAAGTTCCTTTTGCTGGGGACAACCTTTAAGGACCGCTGTTGGTCACCGGACCCCAGTTTGAAAACCGCTGCAGTAGAAAACAAGGAGACAGTCATCAAACCATCCACCATGAATCACACAGACTGCAGCGTTATGGCTGAATCAAACAGTAAGGAGCATCACGAGGAGCTAGTTCTAAATCAAAAAGAGCTGTTTTCACCAATCTTAGATAATATATTCGTCCTGTTACTGGAACCCTCTGTAGAATAAATTCAGGTCCTTTGTAACTGGACATTATCACAGATGAAGAGATCCTTTCTACCGGACATAAAAGGTGAGAAAGACAACGTATATATTGTTGCATATTCCGTTAATCTTCTCATTTGTCTTATCTGGCCTGCAGCAGTGTCGTTTTTACAGAATTCTCACCGTTTCGTCCATCACGCTAAAGTGACTGATAAAAACACATGTGATAGTGGGGCCTAAAATAGAGCCGGGATGTGGCCCTGCACCACCTCCTCGGGAGACTTGGAGGTTATCAGGCCACAGCAGTTGGATCCCTTATAAATCACAGTCCAGTCTCTTAACCGCAGCAGCAAGCAGCCGGAGCCAGTTCAATAAAGACACGTGAAATATGAGCATGGGGGAGGTGTGTGTGTGTGTGTGTGTGTGTGTGTGTGTGTGTGTGTATGGTCAGAGGGATCCATGTCAGAAGATTACATAAGACCTTGCAGCAACTAATGATGTTGTAACTGCAGGTAATTGTGATAAAAATGATATATGGTTGAGGTGAGTTTCCCCACACACTCTGAAGCGCTATGAGTGCCCTGTATACATTTAATTAATAATAATATAATAATTATTATTATTATAAAATTGTCCCTTTAAATGACTCTAATAAAATACACAATAGATCGTAAAAATCTCAGTTATTATGCTTTTTTTAGATTGTTAGATTAGAAGATCAAAGTCTGTGTGAGCACAGAGCTTGAGTTGGGGGTGATTAGCCTAGCTTAGCATAAAGACTGGAAACAGGGGGAAACAGCTAGCCTGGCTCTCTCCAATCTCTAAGGTTTCCTAAATATCAAAGTCTAAAAACTAAGATTTGTGCGTTTAGGGCGAGTTGGGTGCTGAAACTATTGTTTGACAAACTGCTGGACACATGGTTGCCTGGCAACTATACTGTGGCAGCAAGAACACAGGAAGTTTATGTCAAGTAATAATTTCAGCACGCAGATTTCCCTACAAGCACAATCTGCCATCAGCATGTTAGCATTGCTACTGTGAGCATGTTAGCATGCAAAGCACAGCTGTTATTTACACTGTAATCAATCTGCTGCTGTCAGTTCTCAGACAGCTCCTGTATGTGCAGTCAGTCAGCGGCTACCTCTGAAAGGCTGTGAGTTACGGGCCTGGACTCGGGGAGCTGACACCTGACATTTTAATAACTGAGATGACACCCAGACGGCGGACTCCACTGAGTAAACAGACACCCTGAGAGGCAGTCTGATGCTGAGAACCTGGATACACTTCATCAAATAGAGATACACACTTGCACTGCATTAATCCCCTTCAGTGCTGAGGATGTCTGACATCTAACCCGCTGTTTCCCTCTCTCACAGAGATGCTGGAGATGATTGGACACTGTGGGGAACAGATACCTGATCAATTATTTCCCTCTCCTCTGATGACCTTGATGAATTCAGTCTGACATCAGTGGGGCTGGATCGATAAATCTGTTAGCACAAGTTGATGAACACGATTGAATTTGTGCGCCTGCTGTTATTCCTCTCACGTAACGCCCAAGCGCGTCCTGCAGGAACTACAGTCGTGTTGTGTGTGGCTGACGCTGATATGCAAACACCGGCTGCTCTTTAGTAAGAGTGAAATTCTAAGGAAGGTGAAGTTCAGACTGCGTATCAACAGACTGCAGACTGGTGCTCTTCTGCAGCCGGACACGTATCATCATCACCATCATATTCAGATATGCAGATCTTTATTAAACTTGTTTGGGGGGTGTGGGTCCTTAGCCCTCCTGTCCTCATCACCACACGTGAACATACAATTTTAATTAGAAAACAACATGACAGGTGAATGTTTATTTGCTTTATATTAAAGACAGATCACACAGTGGCTGGGATCTGGGCAATCAACACACATCAGTACATTAAAATATGGGCTTACTGAAGTAAGTGTTCATTCTTTCTTACTTTTTTGATGCTATAAAAAGGAGGTTTCACATCATGATTGACAGCTGTTGGCCGGGCGTACGGGTGGCACCTGTAGCCCTATTCAGGTTCCTTTCATCCAGCATCCATCTAATTATATTCCGCTGTCTGCACAACACATGATGGTAGTTAGCTCCGACTGAGGGACCACAGATTGTATTTTCTACGATGCATTTTGGGATAGTTACAACTCTGATGGTGCTTCTGTAGCCAAATTTCAGGATTATGTTATTTAAGAAAATTGTCTTTTATCTTTGTTAAAATAACAAGGTCGTATAATGATGAAAGAAACTGATGAAAGAACCCTTCTATGAGAAATTACATTGAGCATTATAAGCTAGTGAAACAAGCTAATTACAGGCAGGATTTCACTTCTGTATTCTACTGATTGTTTGATTGGTAGAAATGAGATAAAATAATTAAATAGCACACAGGAGTGCTATAAATACCATTAAATATACATATTCATACAGTGCTCCCATGCAGTGTAGAACCATTGACACAGTGACAACATATTTACATTCATTCAACACCAGTAGCTCTATATTATGTGAACTTTGTGGTTATTAACAATATTCACAAAACCAGGCACAATAATATTTATTGACCCCTATAATTAAACTGTGCACACCTTCTTCAGCCTTGTTATCCCTGTGTGTCTATTTTCTATCTGTCTTCCTGTAAATTGTATGTTAAATCAGCCAATAAAGCAGATCTGGTTTTAATATAATTGAGTTGCCGTCATGCCAAACTACTACCGCTGCAGTGACCATAATAACATTTGTTTATGGTATGTGTGGAGGGAAGGGGTGCACTTTTACACAAATGTGTGTTTGTGCATGCAAATATTGAGTTCTCTTCAGCCACTTTTTTGCGCGCTCAGCACCGTGTCTCTTCATCTGTGTGATTGGGTCCAGCAGAGAGCTCACAGTTCGCTCACAGTGAATGGCGACCATTGCAAAAAAGTCTTTGTTCTGCAGCAAAGCCGTGGCTTCACCCCCTGGCTTTGACTTCTAAATGAAGCTCTATACTGTCTGATACCTAGTGTGGCACACGGTAAATCAGTCAAAACAAGCTGCTTTTCCATCAGGGGTCATGACCTGGCGTTCACCTCCACATGTCAGGGTTGAGGGTTCCTCTTAGAGCCAGCTTAGGGAACCACGGGTCACAGCAAACGTACAGTCAGCAAGTGCAAATGAAAAGACGTGAAGTTATTGCGACCGGGTGCTGACAGCCCCGGCGTGCTCACCACTGGGACGTCCTATGCAGACCATTGCCCTGCAGAGGAAGAGAGACACGGTAGAGCAACATTAATTAGGTTTTAAATGAAACTTAAAACCTGCGTTTATAGTATCAACTACCTGCTAAAGACTTGAAAGCTGGCTCTGAAAGGTTTTCAGCTCGGATTCTGAATGTGTCCCAATTTCACTCTTTATTTGCTAAATAGTGCTGCGTATTTACTCATTAACTTCATCAATGATTCCCCAAATGGAACAAAAGAAGTGGCATCCGTAGTATCTACCATAATGCATTGATCTGCCTTTGAATGGCATTTTGTGTAGGGAATATTAGTGAATGCGTGAAGGATTTCAGACATGAGTTTGGTTGTTTGACACAATTATACTTTAAAGTAATCTGGCTAAAGACACAGCTATCTTGTTAGTATCATCATTATCTAACAAAATATATGTCTAAATACTCGCTATCTAGGTTATCTGTTGGTTAAAAACTGCTTTTCTGTGTGTGTTTTAACCATATTTTGGCAACAATAAGATGAGACTTTTTGATTTCCAGACGGGAGTTTCAATTTTAGGGCAGCACAAGAAACAAGCTAAAAGGTAAGAACTTTTATAAAACGTACTAAATAAAATAACGTAATGATTTATACATATATTACAATATAAGTATCCAGAGCAGGTGGAAGAAGTGGATAATGCTGCTCAATGGATGTCCAATGGTTGTTTTAATACTTCATTTTACCATTAAAATGCCCCAATAGGACTACAGTAGCCATCCTCCCTGATGTATAGAGCTAAAAACCTTTCAAAACCAAATCAAAAGCATAGAAACACGTGTTTAATACTCAAAGATAAAGACTTATTTCTCCAGAAATAGATATCTGGAGAAAAATGGAAAAAGACTATGATAAGGTTCAGAAAGAGACAAACTACGTCAAATCAAACAATACCCTTCCCACCAACATTATTTCAACCAGCATATTGAACAGACGAAGTGAAAGACACAAGGCCTGGAGTGAGCTCCACAAGGTAAGAAAAAAAACATCCAGACAAAGAAGTGATTCATAGTCAACCTGTAGAAGAAGTTGCTATGGATACAGCAGGAGCTGAGAGGTCGACATGCACAGCGGCAGGGGAATAGAAAAGCATCTGGAGGTGATAGGAAGAAACAAGGAGAACTGTGGAGCGAAGGAGGAGAGGCGTCGAGGGTTCAGGGTACGACCTACGCTATTTCCGTTTGTCTGTGTGTGTGGAGTGCTCCGGTTCTCAGTGTGTGTGGACGGGGTGCTGCTCCCGCTGTTGGCTGCAGAGTGGGTGGAGGCTCTGGGAATGACCATGCCATAGGAAGAAGAGTCCGGAGGGTGCTGCGTGAAGTCATAACACGGCCCATGACAAAAACATCCAACACATGAGGCAGAGTCACCGACCCAGTTTTAAATCACTTCTTAAAGCTCGGTGAGGACTTTTTTGTAGTAAAATTGTATTTTTAGGTAAACCCCTCAGAATAGGATGGTGTGTTTTTATAGGCCAAGCATCGTCCTAGTTCCCTCAACAAAAAGCCAGTGGGGGTTTTATAATTGGATTTTGAGTTATTGCAGAAAATAAACTCTTTGGCAAACAAAAGTTCCTGATACTACATGTGAATGGAGCATAAACACCAGAAATATAAAGCTAACATTAGGCTAAACTAACTAGCATAATAGAAGGCTAAACGATAATGGCTTTACCATTTGATACCATGTTTAAAAAGAGGCTAACTGTACAGTTTGTTCTTTTACCTTTAGGTTGAGTAGACTAACCAATGTGTTTGCACATTTTACACAATTTTGGCTAGTTCCCTAGATGCTATTTGTTCCAGGGTCAAGGGTTAAGGTTAGGGTTAGGAGGTTGGGGAACTAAGGACTCTGGGAATGTAGATACGCTCCCAAATGGAGTTGCAGGAGTGTCAACATTCCCAAATCCAATAAAGAGGAGCTGCTAACCCCAAACTCTGATATACCAGCTCACAGTGGATGTGGTGGTCATTCATTTTTCGAATGTAACCTGTAACCACACAAAATAATGTAGTTAACGTTGACTACTGTGCTTCTTAGCCTTGGAAGTAATGCCGGCTTACTGCTGCAGTACGCTTGTTGTATGTAATTTTGGTGGGAATACATACCCAACACTGATTGATGACTCATTGCGTTCACCAGCAGCTGACACTACAACAAACTAGCTGCTATTACATTTAAAGGATTTTGGTGATTGTGTCCCAGCAATAAACCTACATTTGGACTATCAGGTCAGTGGGGCAAGAAACAACATATATATATGTACGTATGTGCATCTGTTGAGCAGTGAGTACAGTTACACAGTCAAACAGTACTACTTATGACCACTTATGGTTCATACATTTTATCTACTGCTCATTAAATGCATACTTTCCATAGACACACTTACTTGTTGTTATCTGCATCTAAGTATTGTATGACCTATATTTTGTTTGCTTCACAGTCATGCCTCAAAAACTGTCAAATGTTCTTAATTTAAATAATAATTTGCCTACCACATGCTATATTTGTGTGTGGGGAATGTGCTGTGAACCAGATATGCAATATTCAAATATGTGTGTGTCTGTAAGCAAACCACATGGCTGTATACTCACATTTCCCACTGCTTTGCTGATGAGAGCCAGCTCAGTGGGCTGGTAGACTGAGCTACGCAGCTGACCGGTGTAGCCGCTGTATGGAGACACAGGCTTGGACGCTGTGATGGACAGAAAGAGACAACAAATATGAATATTTTGTCACCCTACAAGCCTGTGATATCTTTAGGCCTCTGAAACGCTGTCGTTCCCCAGCAACCATCTCCTAAATCTTAATATTGCAATCATTAAGATACGCAGCACTTAATCACCAGAACGAGACCACGGGACACTATCTGTCCTTTATCTTGTTTGTGCTTCCGGTGATGCATCCTGTAGAAACACCCAGCAGAGATGGAGGTGAGAGATGACTTTGTCACACTTTGCGTGACACAACAAATATTTTTCCCCTGGATGAGACTGTTGCCACACCTCAGTTGCCATGGAGACAGTGCAAACACAAGGCGTGATGTTTCTGGTGGGAATCAGAGTGGGAGCGTTTCTGTGGGATACAGCGGTTACATATACTAGACACTCACTAACAGTAATGATTCATGACACATCGCCTCTGAATACCTGACTGCAACTCTGGGAGAGCAATGTGTACAGACGTTTGATTCAATTTTCCTGCCTCGGCCCTGACGACCATTATTGACTCTTCAGTCATAGTTAAGTGGGGAGTTAATGATGAAGCCAAATGTTGCTGCTCTGTGTAAAGCCAGATCAGCATTTTCATATCACACAACAGCTGTGCATAGAGCATGTAACACCAAGAATTAAAAACAGAATAATCTTTCAATCAGAACTGAATTGAAGACTTCAATTAAGAAAAATGTAACGAGCAATAGTAGCGTAATCTCAGCTGTTCCAGATAATGGGAAGAAAAGGAGATTTTAGTTTCAGTTATGTGTAAAAATCAACTTTCAACTTTCTGGGAGTTTGTTTGCTTTCAGGAAGGTTTGTTTTTCCAGGAAGGAAAAAAGAAGAAAGGAACGAAATGAAAACAGGATAGGAGAGAAAGACTGCACAAATTCATCTCACGTTGAATGTACAATAAACTAACTCGGAACAAAAAGAGTGCTGTTAACCCTAAAAATGTAGAGAAAAGCTCTCCCAGAATGGAAACAATCAAAATAACTTGTACTTAGTTACTTTCCCCCTCTACGCCATAACCTTCCAGGACATAAGCAGGAACACAACATCATCTATGATTATGCACTGACTCTACCAACAACACAAGAGATTGTAGTGTTCTGATCTTGGTGGCTTTTTTACTGCAGTATCAGATCCTGTTCAGCTCAGGACTTAAACAGCAGCATATCAGATTCTGTGGGGTCATCATGTAAATGCAAAACAACCTTTTTAAGGACATTTTAGCAGGGTAATCGGTCCATTGTGACGTTTCTGTGGGCTTGAAACTTTTACTCATCACCACAAGGTCATTCTGTGTATTGTGTGAGAAGTATATTGTGGTACAACCAGTCAGCGCAGGGACACAGGACAAAATGTACAGTTCAGTGTTTCCACTCGACAAACCGTGGGTCAAAAAATATGATGTCACACGCTGGTAGACGTTTTAATGATCTTCCAGTTTGAATAAGTATGATATGTAGTCAGGGAGGTTACTGTGTGACTAATGCATGCATAGTGAATGTACTTATGTGCTTAAACTCCCCTCTAGCTATTACCTCACAAACAAACTGAAACCTTTCAAATTCGTCAACCAGGCAAATATTGATTCACCGGGAAAGTGGGAGTGAAAACTGCTTCCTGCCTTGTGTTCTGCAGAAGTCCGGATTCATATCATACCTGATAGGACAGGACGTCTCATTGCCACAGCCTCCTACAGGGAGTTTTTAACTGGTTATGAAACATCAATTTAATACTGATGCCACTAAGTGACTGTCATACGCAAACAAGAAGGAATGGTTGGAATTCCCCTGAAGTTATTCAAGGTTGGAAACACTAATTACACCACAAATGTTGTGCATTTCAGTGATAAGGCTGATGGTAGTTGTGATTATGACTCTGTATTTGGGTTTTCTTATGACAGACTGCAGTGAAATTGCTGCTATGTACACTTGTGCAAGATCCTACATGTAGGTTCCACCAGCAGATGGATATAAATTGTCCTTCATTATATGTATCAAAGTCGCCATCATCAGTGAGGGAACAAGCCTACGAAAGTTTTTCAGACACATTTCAAGTCTACAGGTGGGGAGAGTTTGATACACAGATTTTTGATTTCAAAGGAATACTTGGCATGAAAAACAATCCAGTTTCTCCAATAGCCTGGAGTTTTAAGTTTACTATAGAGGTGAAATGAACATGTGATACTGAAGCTGTGAGATTTAAACAGCCTACATACCCTGGTTGGGCTCGTCCATAGAGAAAGCCTTATTTTCCACGAACATGTTCTGGGAGCTCTGTTCCTTCAGGATCGTCTCGTAGCCGACTCCTCGATTCGGGTACAGATCTTCCCCGAAGCCTGGCTGGCTTTCATCCTCACTGGTCAAACAGCAGATTTGAGGAATGGTGTAGAGGATGAGGAACACCCACGCATTCGCCACCAAGGCGATGGCCAAGGTGGGGTCGTCCCACGTGGGCCCGCCGGTCCTCTCATTTCCGTAGACGTACATGACGATCCACGCCACCCAAATGCAGACAGAGAGGAAGTCGGTTAGAAGGATAGAGGCGCCTTCTATCTTCCATTGCTTGTGTTTGCCCACCATGATGGTCAGACTTGCCACCATCACAGCCAGGATCAGGGTCATGACGTAGATCAGCGCCATGACGAAGTCCTCGTTGGCGATGTTGCAAGGTATAGCCGTTGCTCTGCTAATTTCGGCTGAGGCGTTGAGTGGCATTTGTGGGTGGCGCACCACTGTGATGATCAGCCACTCTGTGTTGATGACCACCTCCACCAGCCACAGCCCCAGTGCCCCCAGACACAAGACCCAACCCTGGGGCCCGCTGTTTCGCCTGGCGAGGATGTTCAGCCTCACGCACTGCATCAGGAGGCAGGCGAAGCAGCCACCAAACAGCACCCCGAACAAGAACCGCCGCGAAGCGCAGGTGGAGAAGTCCTTTCCCACGATAAAGGCGAAGGTCAGGCAGAAGAGACCGCTGGTGCAGACCAGGAAGCCCACCTGGAGAGCCACTGAGCTCTTGCGGTTCTTGCTTTGTATGAAGGGCACGCTGGCCAGCAGCGAGATGAAAAGCACAAAGGAGAAGACAAAACCAGCCGCCGCGAAGGCCTCCAGCACGATTCCCCACACGACACTAATGTCACACAGGTTGTAGTAGAGGGAGTCCACGTTAGCGCCGCAACCCTGAGGGGTGAAGTTGGCAGCCATGGCTACTGGGAGAGAGTTCAGATTGGATAAGTTGTTCTGGGATCCTGACAGCACCTATTCAGACGGACAAACAGGGAGGGTGGGTCTGAGAAAGGTCTGATGTGGACAGATCTTTACAAACACTCAAATACGTCACCAATGCTGGAAATAGTCTACACCCAATTAAGCAAATATTACACTTGCATGAGTCAGTACACACGCATCAACACATGAGATTCCAAACAAAACCTTTGTAATGATGTTGTAAAACATGTCATATCAAGTGACATAACTGAATCAGAAAGTTGAAACCAAGAACTCAGCGGCCACCAAAATGTCAGAGGAATGTTAAACTCTAGAGTACACTAGAGTTTTTCCCAACTCTGACGTTAATCATTCATCTGTCGACAAATACTGTTTCTGTACATTGGGATTACACCTGAATCAGTGAGGTCAAAGTGCATTTAACCTTTAGTCCTCTGGGTAGAAGAGTAGTTTCATCATGTCGATGTAAATAACACAAATATTAAATCAGAAAGTGGAACCTTTTCAGTTTTCTAATGAACATAAAATCTGCTTTGTGAATAAACATCTCCAGAGTCTCCGTCTCGTCTTTCTGCTGCATCTGGCTGGTTCTTTTTGTCCCCGTCAGATCCAATTACACTGAACCGAGGACAGTATCTGAGCCAAATCGATAAAAGCGCGGTGGCGGACGTTTAGTCTTTCTAACTTCTGTGACTCAATCATGGCAAGGATGTTTGTGGGACAAAGAAATCAGCCATTTCTGTTTCTCATTTGCTTGATCTCTAAGTTTTGTAGTCATATTTTGGTCATTGACTGGCTTTGTGAGTCCTGTCAGTCCCTCAGTAAGCAAACCACTAACATGTCTTTCATTTTAGGGTGTGACCTCTAATCACTCACGCAGTCTTGAAGGTGCTACAGTTTTCTTTTTCCAGATTTCAGGCCTGTCAAACTGAGAAACAGCCTGTGGTGACACTGTATAAACACAGGTCCTACTCTCTAAACATCAAAGTCATGTCTACCTCTGTTACCATGGAGAGCTCAAGGACCAAATGCTTTTATGGTGGTTTCTGAATGCTCAAGGTAGGATGAAAGATTTTCATTCCAGTATGAAACAAAAAAATAAAAGGAACAAATATTTGGCTTCCAAAATATCTCACAATCTCGACCTCGAACTATTCATACACAGTTTCATGACAACTGGGCAACTTCAACCACCAATAAAGATCATCTGATGTGATCGAAAGCTCCAGAACAGCTACTAAATTGACGTTGTTATGAGATTGTTTACTCAATCGAGTTTAAGTGCGTAGGATTTAGCGGCATCTAGCGGTGAAGTTTCAGATTGCAACTAACTGAATGCCGCTGGTGTCTGTATTTGATGACCTGGGAATGAGAACGGGCTGTGAAGTGCGTCAGAGAAACTACGATGGCCGCAAACAACGCCAAAGACCCGATCTACAGCCAGTGTTTGGTTTGTCCGCTCTGGGCTACTATAGAAACACGGCGGACTCCGTGGATGGCGACCTGCGGTGTCTGTAGATAAAAACATCTCATTCTATATACATTTTCAGGTGATTATACACCAATGAATATTACATTCTATTTCTGCCAATAGATCCTCCTGAACGTAACACACTGGACCATTAAATATATTTAACTACAAAATACTGTGAATGCAAACACACAGAAATCAACAAAATGTTTTGAGGAAGTGAAACTGGAAATGTATTTGTTAATATAAACAACGTACTGTAGACTGGAGTGATAAAGGTGACTAGTTGAAATAGTGCCAGTATCTCTTCTTACATTAATATATATGCATCCTGATTGGTACTTGAATGCAACATGATATGTATAAAATGCACACAGACTGTGAGGAATGGGCGTCAATAGGGGCCCCAGGGTCCCCTAGAAGATTAATCCGGCCCTGGAGGAACTCAGTGACATAAATAACTTATCTATAACCTTCTCGTTTTCATCCATTTAGCACAATTTCAAAACACACACATCTGTAAACTGCAGCTATGGATGGTGATGCATTTAATTTGTCACATTTACTTTAAGAGATGGCAGTCATGATACAAATTATGGATGCTTATTCCTCATTATGTGCACTTTAGAGGCTGATTATAAGCGGCCTATTTTATCCGAACCATTACAAACCTGTTCCACACACACTTCCAGATGTGTTCAGGGATATAAAGGACCTTTATATACACTTATAATATGCCTTCAAAGTCCAGAATAAGAACCTCTGTTATGGACCTTTGCTCCTTTTTAAATGCAAAAATACCACCAAGTTTAGCTACAGTGCACATATAGTAACCTATATATTAAAACCTGTATATTAAATGAAATCCATCAACATTCATATATTGAATTCAAATGTTTGTTTCTGCGGATTTTTCTCTAAATACACAGAGAAACTCACTCTGAAGGAAAGAATTAGCCTTTAATCTTTATATATAGATAAAACTAATGAGTGTGATGTGTTAATACCTGGATGTGGTCCGCAGACTCCAGACCTCTGCGCTGGTTCTTGATCTCTGATCGCGTCCTCACCTGCTCCAGCCGTCGGTAACGGGGTTGTCGGTAGCAAATCCTCCGGAGTAAAGAGAGGAGTCACCAAAAAGTTTCTACTCCTCGTCCCAAATGTGTTAGAAAAGCTCAGCGGGCTGATCTGAGCTCGAATTAAATGTCTACATCAAAGTTTAAGAATCCTTTAAGAGCCAGCGAGCAGACTGCAGCTGTGATGGTCTCTCTCGCTCTCTCCCTCTCTCTCTCTCTCTCTCTCTCTCCCTCTCCCTCTCTCTCTCACACACACCCATTTAGTGCATGCAAACAGTTTGCTCACATTATGTCATTAAACTATTTGTTTTTTTAAATATCCCCCTGCTCTCTGTCCCGTTTTGCAGTGAGTATTTTTACTGGATTAAGTTTTAAACTTTGTTTTTAGGTTATTTGATTTAAAGTATAACTGAAACGTGTGTGTGTGTGTGTGTGTGTGTGTGTGTGTGTGTGTGTGTGTGTGTGTGTGTGTAAACGGTGTGTGAGGACACCTGCTGGTGAACAGTGTTCAGTCCAGCACGGTTTGTGCTTCAGTACAAATGTGAGTTACTTGTACTTAACTGGAGTATTTCCATTTTATGTAACTTTATACTCCACTACAGCTCAGAAGCTAATATTGTACTTTTTACGCCATTACAATATTCTGACAACTTTAGTTACTTTTCAGATTACAATCTGTCATACCTTTCCTGTCCAGTGAAAACCACATATGTCCAGATGTGTTGATTTTTTTGTGATAAACAGAAGGATTAAGAGTTTCCTTTGTGGATTAAGAAAATTCTCTATTCCTTAAATTAAATAAACTTTAAAAACCTTCTTGGATTAGTTGATTAATGCATTGCCACAAAGCTGAAAACAGGGCTGCAATTCTGTAGATTAAACTACCAATAACAGTGTATAAAGTAGTCAAAATGAGCTCAACTAGCAGTAAAATGCAACACATTAACAGAGCAGTAATATTATATATGAAACACTGTGAGGGACCATTTTACTGCATAATGAGTACTTTTACTTTTAGATTTTGGTTAATAATAATAACTCTCTACTTAAGTAAGGTTTTGAATGCAGGACTTTTACTTTGGAGTATTTTCACAAGTTTCCCTGAGATTGAACTGAATATATTCTGAGTGCTATGATTTATACTGTTAATATTACAAATACTTTATGTATTTTTATGATCTCCAGTTTTAATGACAATGTAGTGAAAAGAAGGAACAGGTGATTTTGTGATTGATTCAGATGCAGATGCAACAGCACCACCATGTGGCCATTTCCAAAGCTCTCTTCCTTTTAAAGTAACTCTTCTTTCCAGGTTTCTTTGGTTCACTTTTGTCTCCACTTCTACAGTTCATTTTACCCAATCATTTTACCCAATCAGCATCAAATACCAAACCTGAGAGACCTGTAGGTGGCTCTCACTGGAGGGTTAATGCTAGAGAGTGAATATCTTAATCTTCTGGTGGAATGAAAGCCATTAAAACAGAGTTTGAGTATTTTACTCCCATAACTCTGATACAGAATATATACTGTATATGAAACTGACATGACTATGCCAAAAGGGGTCAACTGGATTTGTCCATAGCTCAAAGGACATTAGTCTGACTCCACCTTGTACAAAGCCCAAGTATTTTGTTTGTTTGTTCTTTCTTGGTTTTACATTAAAACAAAATTTTCTGTTGATTGAAACGTGAGTGAAAACTATTCCTCACAGAACGACCTGAAGGAGCCCCAATGTGACAGTAAATAATTATTATAAACATTTAAAACATGTTAGCAAATGAATAAAACGTGATACAATCTAAGCCCATAGAGGCTGCTCCTCAAAGTATATGCAACCTCTTTTCCAATGACATTTAGGAAACCCTTATATTTAAAGACAGCATTAGGAATTCTCTAAAACAAATTAAACTATTTCTTTGATTTCCACTTTATGTATTTTTGAGGAAGCCTTGGCGGTGGTTTACACTCGCTAGTTCATGAAGTAAAAGGTCAAAGGTAAAAGTGAAGATTTTGCGGTCTTGGTCAATAATTAAAGGACTGAGACCACCCAGAGGAAAGCCTCTCCTCCAGTTTACCCTCACTCACACTTGTTGCTCAAGAGCTGATTTTTCCTGCTTCATTTCCCTCAGTGAGGCCACTGGCTGATCTCTGCAGAGTGGACGGCTTCTTGCTTTCAGCTCCTCAGGAAGTCAAGTCTTTTAGCTCTCCATTCTTTGTAATTAAGTCCTCCACCTGGCCTCCAACAATGTCGCTCGGTTCAATCCATCAGGCTCCCTGCGACTGTCAATTGCCTGCTTCCAGATATAGGTCAGGCCTCCACCTCCACCGCAACGACCCCCACCACGACCATGTCTCATTCCTGACCTCATCCCACATTATGTCATCTGTGAAGGTCTTTAAGGCAGTTTTAGTATTGACCCATTCACTGTCTCCTTGAACCGAAGACCCCAGAGGGAAATTAGAGAGGAGAGGATCCTTCATTCTGTGATCCTACAAGGACTAACTCATTACTGTCTGACCTTTCTGTTATATACACATTACAGTATAATGCACTATTATATCTGTACATGAAATCATACTGTGAACCAGGCAGATAAAGCTCACGTCTGAGCATAAACTGATTGGATTTTAATGGTTTAATAATCTGTGTAATAAATCTGAAAAACATCCACAACACTGACTGATTTATGTCCTCTGTCCTACACCACCTTTTCTATAATCTAAAGTATAACAGACTCCCCTGATATACAACATCTTCTGGGCTGAGGTTCTCTGTGATTGCACAATTAAAAATAATAAACCAATCCTGTGTTAGACATTTATTTCCTTGCCATATAAAACTCCTCTCAGTGCTTACAGACAGGATCATTCTGCATTACAGTTATACTTACGGCAAAAGAAGATTGAGGAACAATGTAAACGACGCACATGAAGCCACTTTAAAGACAACAGGGCCAACATGCGGGAGAACATGCATTTCAGCGTTCAACATATTCAAAGTCGCTGCAGCAGTGGAACAAGATGCTTTCTGACTGTACATCCAACGTTACAGCAAAGGATTCATGGCAGGTTGTTTAGTATTAAACAAGTTAGTAAAGGGCCGCACTTGTTTTTCATTGTCTTACCCAGTGACTACATAAGTGCATACAGTGTTTGCTGCAGACTTTCCTAGCTGGTGTGTTCAAGGACGCTCCAACATCATAGAAAATATCACATTCAAGATATTACACAAAATAACAATTGAAAATATCAAATTGTTTCAAAGAAATAATGCGCTGGTTGCTTAGAATAATCACCAGAAACTGATGATTATTTCAAATTTATTTTCAATTATATATATATACTATACCTCTTATCCAGATTAAGAATCTTTAACAATGTTCCTGTAAAAACATTTTTTTTTCTTCTTTAAGAAAAAGAAATTAAATTTCCTTCCCCTCCACTGTATCGGGGACAGCAGAACTCTCAACAACCACCAGAGCAACAGGTCCTCATACCTGAATAACTAAACAGTTCATTTATCAGTACATTGTCCCAAATGACCAACATCACACACCCACATCACCTAAAAACTTCTACTAATCTGCAACAGCCAAACGTGAAAGAATCCTACCTGGATTATGTTTTTTATCAACACAATGAAAATGTTCACGCTGAACACATCTGCAAAACCTTTGACTTGTTTTCCATACAGTATTTGTTCATGGCAATTAAAACATTATTAAAGTTATGTTTAGGCAACTCAAAGCTGAAAGGTTACGGTTCGGAAAAGATCGTGGACACTTTCTTACTGTTTAACATTAACCCAAAATTGTGATCCTTCTTTTACCATAACCAAAGAATTTCTGGATCTGAATCACGCGGGACATAGGACGTGAACACTCCAGTGTCAAAGTTCTGTGCTTTGTACATTTTGAGATTAAGTTAAATCTTCACCAGTTGTCAAAACTACTTGGTTAGGTTTAGATAAAGATAATGTTTTGTGTTACGTAAGTTGGTGATACCAGAGTGTCTATTTCCGGGACAACGGACCTTCGGAGCAATGGGCGAATAACGGGCTGTTGGACAAATGGCAGGAAACTTCCACAGGATAAAGATACTGTTTTTTTCCAAGTTTAAGCAACTATAACTACCTAGTTAGGGGAACACAAAGAAACCCAATGTTCACTGGAGACTGGATTTGAACCTCTGTCTCCAACGTCACAATCCCTAAGGCCGGGCAGACACTCTACGGATGAAGCTTGTCTCGCTAATTTCCCACTCAAATGCTGCTAAAAGCTCCATAACAAACTGTAGTGAGCTTATTTTAATATTATTGAAGGAGTATTTCACAGACTGAAGTCTTGACTCACTGCGTCAAATTGCCGAGTTTGAGCATCCATCTCGTGACCAGTTGATTGATCAGTACAGTGTGAGTGGATAAGTTCTACTTTTAGCTGTGAGGAAAGGGTGATTAAATTGTGTGTGAGATAACACAATGTACTTCCTGCTTTGAAACATGTCATTTAAACTGACTGAACACACAAGCAATGCCCTCATATTTCTGCAGAGTTCAGACACAAAATATGCACATTTGAGCCAACAATTTGCTTTTCTGGGAAGGACAATTTCCAGCTTTTTGTTTCTATATTTCCCTGCACTGTCCACAAAGTGTGTGTTTACTGTACATCTGATAGGATACACTTGTCACTCTCAGCTTTGTCTTTTCATTTGCTGCCCTCAGACACCTGCTGAGCAGCAGGCAGGGCTGAATAGGAGCAGAGTCGGGGGACATAACCAGCTGTTTGAATAGGCACAAAGGACAGGTGGCATGCCTGACAGGGGACGTGTGGCTAGTGGGTTTATACCTGCTCTTTAAAGTCCTCACCCCTCCTGGTCATCACCTCACCCCTCTCCTCCCTAACAGCTCTGTAGACGCGTGAAAGCTCCATTAAACTTTTATCAAAGCCTGCTCGGGCATCTTAGCATCGCATTACGCTCTTAACTGTTTATACAGTCATCTCCTCGACCCCCGCCGTCTCGACCAGTGTAAGGTCGCCGCCACTACACGCTCTCTCACCCCAACCTCTGTTACTACCAGGCAGCAGGAGACATCTTCAAAGAAACGGCTCGTAGCTGCATCTGTGTATGGCCTCTCAGAACTCAGTGTGGGACGACCGCTGGGCGACATGAGCGGATTGACGCGGGGACACACAGGGGGACTGACGCTGTGTCTCTTACTGTTACAGTAAACACAATGAGGACTGTGGAGGGATGAGAGCAGGCAGGTGGCTTGCACTGGGAACTTTAAACCTAAATGGGTGGTCAGGGGAGTACACAGAAGAATCTAAACTTTGAGACGGAGATGTATATATATACTGTACTTGAGACTGCATTGTTGAGTAAAGCATTAAAAAAATGTTTTTGATGATATGGAGAGATTTCACTGACTGTATAAGTTAGAAAGCTTTGAAGTTGTTTGTAAGGACCAAATATTCAAAGCTGCACACTTTGAATGGGGGGGGGCAGATAAACTGTAGCAGTCACACAGCAACATTAGCATTCATTGAAAGTCTCCTTTGTTTCCATCTGATGAATCTAAAGCCAATATTCACTCTTCTTCTAACTCTGTTTTTGGTCTCCACCAACCCCTGAGATCTGGCCGTGAACTTGTTAGAGGGGTTGCTGGGATATGTATCACAGCATCAAAGTTATTCTTAGGCATATATTTCACAATGTTTAGTGTATACTTAATAAGAAGTACCCAGTTCAGGCACTGGTACAGGGGGTTTATCAGTTGGCTGGCGGTAATGAGAGCACTGAGACTGAACCATACAATGTTGTAAAGAGGCTAACAGCTGCCTAGAACAGCAGAGTTGTATGATCCATAGTTACATATCCGTACAAATAAGAGTTAAATCAAATTTTGCAGTGCAACGTTAGTCATTTTTACGCTTCAGTTTCAGTATGGAACAAACAAGACATAACATGTTAGTGAGATTTAGAGCTTCTGGTGAGCTGCTTTCCGTGCTTTGTGCTAAGCTAAGCTAACCGTCTGCTGACTCTCAGCCTACAGTACAGACGTGAGAGTGAAAGCTTTATGCTAACATAATATTCCTTTTGTTTCAGAGCATCTGGGACTCTCATCCATGAAGGTAATTTAAAGCACAGGTTAAGACTAAACACTGACAAATCCAAGAATTAACAACTGTACCTCGCTGTGAACTCCACAGTAAAATGGATATTATTTAAACTTGTTAGACAGTTAGACAAAACTAGATTTAAATGTGGCTGCAGCGTGTCATTTTAAACATCAAGGGTCAATGTCAAGGCATTTATCAGACTTCTTTTACATCGACTCAGGCTCCATCAGAAACCAGGTGACGCCGTTTGACAGAACAAATTAGTGACAGCACTTTTCTCAAGTGCACTAATTATACATCAACACATGGCTCATTCAAAACTTTAAATCATATATGCAAATTAACTGTTAGAAGTTTAAGTGCAGATCTCTCATTTTTCACTTTTTACGCTGACTCACTGAGTGAAACAGAAAACTATTCATCAAATTGTGATGTTGTTACATGACAATTCCTGTTGCAGCAAATGGAAATGTACTAGCTGATGTGTGTGTGTGTGTGTGTGCGTGTGTGTGCAAGTGTTCGTACATGCATGAGAGTGTGTGTTTCTGTGTGTGTTTGTGCAGACCATCAGGCTAATCTGTGGTTTGTTTAGCCAGAGCTGAGGCCATGTTGGTGATGTAGCGGAGGGGCTGTTTGAAGAGCAGGGTCTTCACTCCTGCCGCTTAAACAGCAAGCTTTCATTTGAGGCTCCATCGAGTTGCATTTCATGAAAAATAAACACTCGCCTTAGCAGCTGTGGGTTTTGTGCCTGGGAGCGCGGTGTAGAGACAGAGTACCATTTCTTTGCTCGATTGGCTTTGCTCAGCAGTGCGGATTGTCTGTTGGACATTCAGCATCTTTACACAACTGCAGAAAATAGCAGCCAGTTCAGATTAAAACACTTATTTCTCCCTCTATGCTGCTTCCATAGGGGATATTGTGGTTTAAAGTAGATAGAAGCAAAGTAAATACGATACAAGTGGGACTGGGTAGATGAAAGGATTTAAATTATTTATCTTCGATTTTTTTCCCTTTCTATGAACTAACAAAGGACCTAACTAATCGCAGAGGAAACAAAATGTTATTCTTCTCTTCTCGTAACAATATAAAAAATGTTTTGTCACATTGCTACCATGTATGGAAAAAACAAAAATACAGAAAACCTACTTTTATTTTGTCAAATTCTTCTGAAGAAAAATAAATACGCTGTCATTTTATCTGATTTACATGGGCAAACAACACCCAGTGACATATTATAATACAAAAAAACATACTTCTTGTAAGTTCATTTTAGGCCCTTTGAGAACGCTCCAGGGCTGACTGGCAGATGTCCACGGTCGTAGATGGAACGCAGTGCGTGTCCCTGGGGTCAGAAGTGCTCAGGGACCGTGGGACGATGGGTGTTTTGGATTAAGAGGAAGGGGCGCGGGGTCATGAAGGCTTTCTGGGCCTGCGAGGTGACAAGGGGGTGGAGTCCCGCTGTGAGCGCTTGATGTTCCCACTGTACAGAGAGGAGATGGAGGCGTGGGGGGCCTGCTGCTGTGGCAGGGCACGCCGAGGATACAGCGGGCCCCCCCTGAGCAGCAAGACATCCCGCACAGCGCTGCGGAAGGGCTTACTGACGAAGCAGTAGAGGAAGAAGTTCACGGCCGTGTTGAGCATGGCCAGCATGTTGGACAGGTCGTAGGCGAGGTGGACCCGCCAGTCTCTGTGAACTGAGGACACGTACAAGTGGTAGATGACCACTATAGTCCTGGGAGCCCACAGCACAGAGAACACCGAGGTGATGGCCAGCAGCATGGCCGTGGTCTTCCCAAGTCGCCAAGGAGGCACGGACTTCAGCCCACGCTCCTCCTGGCAAGGCTGCTGCCTCTGCCTCACCCTCAGCGTGTGGATTATCAACGAGTTCAGCACCAAGAAGATGCTGCAGGGCAGGAAGTAGATGATAGTTACGTGAGTCCATATGAGGACGGTGTCCAGAGCTGTGGGCGGGTGGCTGTTCCTCCACATGTCCGACCACCAAAAGAAGGGAACGCCTGATGCGAGCGACAACGTCAGGACCATCAAGATGATCTTCCTGGCCCGGGCTGGGTAGCTGATCTGGCGGTGGAGGAGGGGGTGGCACAGCGCCACATAGCGGTCCACAGTGAGGGGTACGGTAGACCAGATGGAGGCGTGGTTGGCGGCGAACTCTGCAGCGCTGACAGAGTGCAGCAGGAGCGTCGGGACATCGCGGTGAAAAACTGCCGTCTCCAGCAGGAAGCCGACAAAGATGATGAAGAGCTGGGAGAGAATATCTGAGCCCGTCACCGCCAGTAGGTAGTAGTACAGAGCTTTCTTGGTGCGGGATGCCAGTCTGGACAAAGCCACTGCTGTGAGGATGTTCACTGTCAGAAACAAAGCAAGACAGAAAGAAGAAACAGAGGAAAATTAATTTTAACAGAATAAAATTTTTTTATTGCGTAAGACAAAACAGAAAAATCGGATTCTGGTTGTTTTGGCTGTGGGGGGCTGAAAGGGTTCAGTAATTCTATATTTTAAAGGCTGAGGTGCATTTTTTGGGGAATAAATAGCATTCAGCAGCATTTTCAGTTACAAACCATTGATCTCATTTGTCTATTGCTTGCAGCTCATTAAATACTGTATCACTTCTATAAAGTATCTGTTTTTTTAACATCTTGTCAACAGCAGGATATTTTCACTGGAGCTATTTGGATAACATCGGTCTTAAGACCCCGTCATGGATTCAGCTGTTGACTCTGGCTCTCCGGCCTTTATATTTATTTCCCTTTGGGGACAATTACGTGATGCATCTGGACGCTGTGGTGACACATCCGCTTGTTTTGAACACCACTCTAAATCCCTGATGGATCAATACCAAATCACTGCCATCGACTTGTACACACAGGACAGTAATGAAAACAATGCCGAGTTGAACGCTGTCCGTCAACGTTGACAGCTGGCTGGAGGCATCAATGGATGGATAATAAACTCAAACAAACTGATTATTAGATTATTATAACCTGTGAAAAGAGCCATCAGTGCTTGGTTTTGTGCTACAACAATGAACTCCCTCACTGGTCCATTAGATGAACGTAATGCACCCCTAACTCACTTGTGTATTGATTTCTCCTGTCTTGTGCAGTTCCCACTTCTGTTATAAATAGATACCAATGCAGTGATTCAAACTGTGCCTTTACACACTGACTGTGGTTCAATGCAAATGCAACTTATAAAATCATGTAGTGCATCAGTTAATATTCAGACCTTAAAATGTCAGCTCACCTATAAATGTGTTTTTTACAGGAAAAAGACATTGCTGTTTTTGATGTGTATATTTTTGTACAAGGATGAAACAAAAAGTCCTAGTCTTGAACTGCCAGAGTGGAAACCACTCAGTAGAAACAGACAGTACTTTTTCCGCAATTCCGCACACAGTTGTCATTATATGACATCTTGACAGTGTACCTGGTACTCCCACGCAGAGCAGAATGCTGTAGTAGATGACAGGGATGAAGCCCAGGACACAATTGGACTTCTGCAGCTCCCCAGGTTTCAGGCCCAGCTCCTGGTGGCCGGACGCTGTCACATTGGGCGAGTCAATCATGACCTTGGAAATTCCCCTGGAAAATAAGAGACAGAGGAATGTTTCTAGGTCTCCGAGTCAGTGTTTAAGTTTAGAAACCAAGGGACAAAGGGGGAAAGGGATGATTTTGTTAGACTTCAAGGATAAGTCTGGTAATTTTCTATATTTTTCACAAGTGCCATGAAAAGACCAAAACCAACAATGAAATGTGTATCAGAGCCTTTTATATCTTCTTTCTCTGTGCCATAGAGCTCCATTGTTGTCCAAAAAAACCCACATCAGTGAGCCACACTGTCGCACTGGGTGACATGATCCTTCATTACCATAAACACACACACTGTACACCATCATGCTGCTCCAAATATTCACTAGAGCAGCAAATGTAGGTCCGCTTTTGAAAATAGTCCCCAACGAATGCACTATTTCCTCCTGTTTGACTAACTTTTGCTAAAAACTACAGTGACCCACTGTTTTAGGTAATTACTGAGCCTTTTGAGGAAATTAACCTCTTTATTTGTGAGATGTTTTTAAAGATTTACGTCTTCAATTTGAACAAATGGGCTCGATGCCAGAGACAGAGTAGAGCTGTAAAGTGCTGGAAAGTATTAAAAGATGGACACATTGTTGGATTTCTTCTGTCATACTATAATAGATGAAGTTAAGGTTGAATTAAGGGTTAGGTTCAACACAGTTTTTTGGCTTGAAATTAAAATATTTTGTGTTAAAAAAATCTTTAAAAAAAAGAAAAAATTTAACTGCGTAAAAACATAATTTTGCAGCTGAAACTAATGAAATCCTTTTAGATGGGTTACGCTACAACAGCAATGATTGTCATTATTAATTATTCTCATGATTATTTTATTGATTAATTGAGTCATCCTTTGGTCCATAAAACAACGCAATGTCATCAAATTACTTATTTAGGTATTTAATTTATTACAGTGAAAGACAAGGAAAAAAAGCAAATTTGCTGCAATCAGAGAATGATTCACATTTTTGCTGAAAAGTTTTTGTTGATTGATTAATTGACAAATTACAGCTCTAATTTTGTGGAAATCTGTGGGATAGAGCAGGTCTTTAAATTGGGTTTCATTTACATACATGAAATAAAAAACGAGTTCAGGATATTTATTTAAGATATACAATTTTTGTCAGTGACAGGAGACAGAGCTGACTAATATGAGATGTATCAATATATAAAGATCCATTCTGTATATACTGTCATGATATCAAGTATCAAAACCTCATTATTATGCAGATGATCAGCCGCTTTAAGTTGCTGCCATAGACTGTATAAATAAATATGAATGTGGTCTCTGTGATGTCACCGGTTCCAGGGGCGTTGTGAACTTCAGTGTGGTCGTTTCTGGCCGTCACCACCTCGGAAGTTCTGCCACTACTTTCTCCTGAATGGCTGATCCAAAAAATAGGTAGACGTAGGTGAGGCGGCCATGCCCTCAATTATGCATAACTTTAAGCCTTAATATAATAATAACAGGTAAGTTATATAAAAATTCACCCCTCTTGTACAGTTGTCATAAACGGGGAAATTAGCTACAAAGACCAGGCTGTACCAGGCTTTAAACATGTTTATGCTGTAAAGTTGGGCATTTTAATATGGGGCTTTATGAAGACTGACTTGCTTTTGTAGCCAGCCTCCAGTGGTCATAAGAGGAACTGCACTGTTCCTTCCATGTTGTCTTCATTCGGCCAGAGAGGTTGGTTGCTGCATCTTGCAGTTTGCCATGAGTGAGGTAATGTCCGAGCTGTTGGTTGTTTTTCGGAGATAAACTGTGGAAACAAAACTGAGTTTGGACTCAGTCAATTAAACTGCAAGTCCACAACAACAGATGGGCTGACAGCGACGACCCCGTCACCCTCCACCCTCCCCTGAGTCATTATCGTCCCGTCTCCCCATCTAACCTTTTCACCTGGGAGTCATCCATCCTGTTTTTCACCGTCTGCCTCTCTGCTGCCTGCTCTCCTAATTTACTTCACTCATCCATGAAGCCGTATTTGGACTGTGTTATCTCTCAAGCTTTCAGTGACAAACCATTTGTGGATGCTTAACCAACATAAACATCATCATGGAGCCACAATCACCCGATCGGTGAAACTGGCCTCATGATGTGAGCGGCGCAATCACTACTTCTAACAGTTGGTCATATTTAGTCACTGCCATTGTAAAGACTACTTAAGTGCCAAAACTGTGCATGTGCAATATATGACTGGCACATTTTATGGCCTGTAGCAGGAATGTGATCATAAAATTGGACGGTATCGAATATCTTAGTGCTTGGCTGCTTTAATTCACCTTAGAGCTATAAACTAGCAGGAAAGCATGGATTTGAAAAACAATCATGAGGATCAATGATGTAATTCAGTATGTAGCAGAAAGAGGGTTAGTCAGTGTGATAGAAACCTTTCTCAGGCTGGAATCAGATTTTCATTCAAAGGGGTTTCTGGCCTCAGAAACTGTATCATATACTTTGTATTTTGTAAATTATTGCGGGGGAGTTAAGTGAGATCATGAAGGATGACGGATTGTGGTCGTCTTGTGTCAGAGCTGGCAGACAGAGTGGGAGATCTGTCACAGGAGACGACCGCATGTCAACTTCCCACAACTTCTAAAATTAGCTCTTTGACTGACGACACCAGTCAAAGGCGCCTGAAGGTCTTTGAATGTTCTGTTACCTGGTAAAAGATCTGAAAATGTCGTCACTCGTCCGCGCTTTCAATCCAATCTGAATGGTGGATTTAATTGTTTTATCTGATATTTATGTTATTGTGCTACCGTGTGTACATTTGTATTCTGAAAATAAAATAAAAAGTCAATTTACCAGCTGTTCTGGAGCTTTTGATCGTGATTTTCATCACATGAAGTAATTGTACATGTTCAAATTTCTATTTTTCTGAGGACATTGAGAACTTGAGATGAGTTTTGAAAGTTCATTCTCGACCTTGGAAACAGCAATAAAACTCAACTCAGTTGACCTACACTGTAACACACTGTAAAACCTGATGAGTTAGATCAATTCAAACTGTTGGAAAACCAACGTAATAAAATATTTGATTTGAGGAGAAATAACTCAAGTATATATTGTTAAGGTAACTTGGGCAAATTAAGTTAATTGTACCAATTCCATTCAGTTAATTAAAGTTACTCTCATATGCAGCATTTCTCCAAACTTAATTAAAATGTGTAAAAAGAATTTAACTGAATAAAGTAACTTAAATGCATCTTCTATATACAAATGTTACCACCAAGTTGAATTTACTTTTCTTACTTGAGTTTATTTCCACTAAAGCAAATTATTACATTACCTGTCAAAGAGCTGAAGTACGATAAAAACAATTTATAATTAATTAAATAACAAATGATGAATTTGTTTTTGTTTTTTTCTGTGACTAACATCAAATCTTTACACTTTGGGCAATCATTAAGAATTATTTGGATGCATAATTGAAAAATTAAAAAATTATAAGCTATACAGCTTTATAATGCTTACATGTTGGTAAAGATATAAAGTCAACTTAAATAAAATGAGTCAATGGAACAAAATTCAATTTTATCACCAATACACTGTAAGACCAGATAAGTTCATCTTACTTAAAATTACTTAAGCTTCTTAATCAAGATTTTTTTTCAACTTACAAATGTTTTACTTAAAAATCTTTGATGTGTTTAGTTAAAAGAGTTAAATTATCAGTTTTTACAGTGTACTTAAACTACTGTACACATTTAAGTTCACTCAAAACAAGTGACTTGCTCAACAATTCATCTTTGAACAATTCATCTTTGAATTGTTGAGCAATTCAGAGATGAGTTGGGTTTGATTGATGTGAACGAGTGACTCCAGTTATTTTGTAAGATTAATTTATGGTAACTTTTATTAAGATATGTTATTAGGTTTTACAGCGATGAGGCTGCTTTAGCCGCTCTGGCCCCAGCCTGTGGAACGACCTGCTGGAGGGCTTGAGGGGAGCAGACAGCGTGGATATTACAACACACCTTTTCAGCCTGACTTTAATCTAGTGAGTGTATGTCGCTCTTCACTTTTACTGTTATTTGTATTCTTAGGTATGAGAAGAAGAGCTTATGTGTTCTAGTCTGACAAATGCCTTTACGCTGTATGCTGCCATTAACATTTAAGTGTAACAGATCAGGACAGAATATCACGGTTTAATAGGTGTCCTGTCTCTGAATTAATGTGTAGAGCTGATGTGTTTTTCACTCAGCTCTGATAAGAAGTCTTTATCACGTTATGAACTTGCAGCGATTTGGCACAAAGACTTCAATCCATAAATAAAGAAATGTGAGCGCGGAGTTTGCAGCATGGTCTGATTTAAATGCATTTTGTTTCCTTGTTTATCAATAAAACCTCCTCTTATTACACTCCTTGTTATGTAACGGCATCCCACGTGCTGAGATAGGATGTCCCATTCAGTATTAATAGGCTCCCAGAGGAGGTGCAGACATACATACATACAGACCTCCCTACAGTTTGACCTCAGAGAAGAACACACCTCTTTCCCTTTACACTATGTGTGTGCTGCAGTGGAATCCCTGAGACTCCATGTCATCAAATACAGGTCCGCAGCCTGATGTGTATCAATTTGTGAGTCCTTGACACCAAAAGGGCTGAGAGCCACTCATATAAAGGGAAGTTAATATAGAAGCACAGTCCAAAGTTGACTAAAACTACCTTTGAACACCCCCACTGCACACTCTAGAAACAGGCTTAAATGGCTTCTGCAGACCTGCAAAGGTGACATTACTACCTGTCTGTCAGACACCTGATCTGCTTCCTCACGAGCCTCATCCCAGGACGAGCAGTGAGAAAGATGATCATTATAAATGAAAAGGTTGTGAGGTTGCCAGCAAAACACGGCACCAGGGAACAGTAATTACACTGACCAATCAATATCTCTGCAGCCGCTGCTGTTACCCAACCGGGGGTCCTCTTTAATCTCGAAGGCAGCAAATGAAACCTTGAAGCTCTCTGCCTCCTCTTAATGCTCTTTATCACACTTCGCCACGCTCAGATGTCAGTGCTACAGATACTGGGTGCGAATGGAGCTGTTCTCACTTCAGAGGTGTTTCATTAAATCCACTCTCACACTATTACAGTCGTCTGACACGAGGGAAATTAGATGTATCGACGTGACAACAGCAGAGCCTGATCGCAATGCTCCCGTCGAGCGTCAGCAGAGACAATCCTCTGAAGAATTGCCCCTAGAGAAAAAAGCGACTTAGATCAGAGGCCGAGGCATGTTTCTGATTAAGGCTCTATTTTGGATGGTCTTCCCAGGGTCGAGATGCAGCTGGAGGATATAGGACGTGGCTCTGCAGGGGGGCTCAGTGCCCAGGAACTGAATTATCTGCGCTCCACTGAGTCCTCTTAATTATTCATCAAGAGAGGGTGCACCTGAAACAACAGCGCTGGGAGATAAAGGGTGCAGCCATATTACAGTACAGCAAACGTATATGGCTGTTTCACATGAGAGCAAGGAGGATGCATTCTACGGGCTACTTCAGATTTTATCTTGGCCGCAGGAGATGTATCTGAACGCGGAATTGTTTCACCCGGACGGAAAATCGATGGTTGACAGGCAACACTAGAATCTGCCGTCAAATAAATGCCCTCGTCCTGCAGATCGTGAGCTGTTCAAAGTTCACTCACGAGGCCAAGACCCCTCGTTAGGAAGACAGAATCCAGAAGTTCCATTTTGGCACCAGAAATTACAGACTAAAATCATGACATGTCTCTTTCTTAGAAGATTTACAGAGTGAAATAACAAGGAAAGACTACAAGTAAATATAAAAGTTGAGTTCAAGGCTATGTCAATTATGAAACAATTGAAGTGAGACAATCCAGGCTCGCTCTCCGCTTCCTTAAATAACTTTTATAATAAGACTGTACCTTGCACCAACATCTGAAGTCAGTGATGTATAACAGCTCTGATTGCACAAGAAACAGGAACATTTTTACAAGTTTTACAGCAGAGCCGCTCAGACACTCGCACATAAACAGTGAATGTGAGAGTTTTCTTTGGCTTTGTTGGCCCTTGTATGGTCAGTGTCACCGTCTGCAGTCCTACCTTCACATCCAGTTTCCACAGCGACTCTCCACCTGGGCTACAGCCACCACTCTGTCGTTCCCCCAGAGGCTCCTACAGAGTCCCCAACATCGCTGCTGGACACCCACTGGCTGAGGAGACGTGGAGGAGGACGGAGAGGAAGAGGAGGAGGAGGAGGAGGAGGAGAAGTGGAGACCAGGCAGCCGGTACATCACTGCAATGAGTGAGCAGAGGGAGAGGGGATAAACGAGGCAGAGGGGAGTGAAATGTGGGGAGGGGGAGGGAGGGGAGGGAGAGAGAGAGAGAGAGAAAGAGGGAGGGAGGAGGAGGAGGGAGGGATTGATCTGTGCAGGGAAAGAGGTGGATGAAGGAGGAAATAGATCAAAAGAAATAGACACAAAGAGTAAAGAGACAAATGTGGGGGAAAGTGATGAAGTGAAGTCTGACGGGGAATTAAAAGAGGAAATGTTTCACTGAAAATAGAGACAAAATAAATAACTCTGTCAGAATGTGTCCAAATCTCATATTACATAAGAACAGTGTGCATATGCAGTAAGTACTCATTGTCACAGTGCAGCACTTTGCACTCAGAATACAGGAAATCCATGTAATTCATGCTTTATGGTAACAGGTAATGATAAAGGCTGTCAGTGGGATTGATGTTAAGCAGATAAATATTTATGGGGTGTCCAGTGGGTGGCATAGAGACTTAAAGGGGCAGAAATATACGCTCATTTAATCACAATCACGTATATCAATATTTGCTTGGATATTTTCGCTCAAAAACATTATTGTGGCACATTAGTTCAGCATTTTATAGAACTATCTAAAGGTAGCATCTTCAGACAGCTAACCACTGTTCACTGAGTCGAAAATGTGGCCAGATCATTCAATTAATTTTCGTTTTTTAACACATAATTTTTTTATTAATCTAAATGAATGTGTTAAATTTGACAGTATTTGAAGCCAAACTGCGGTGGTCATGCATTTTTTAGGAGTGGCAGCTGGCAGCCCGTGCCCACCCCTCTAGATCCCCTGATATTAAAGTGCGACTTTAAAATGCAACAGCCAGGGGCGCCCGGTTAGCTCAGTTGGTAGAGCTAGCAACCCATGTACTGAGGCTGAGTCCTTGCTGCAGTGGCCCAGGGTTCAAATCTGACCTGCGGCCCCCTGCTGTGTGTCATCCCCTCTGTCTGCCCCCCCCCCCGTCTGTCCTCAGCTGTCACTCTCATAAAGGCAAATACAAAAGCAAAATTGTCTGAGGAATGTCTGAACTGAATTTCATGGTAATCTATATCACACTTTAGTCATCGTCATCTGAGCATCATCAAAAACAAACAACTACAAAAACAGGCAGTGGCATCCCAAAATCATAGTTTTACTGACGCTCACATGGTACACTGATTATCTTGTGTACAGTATAATACTGTCAGTATACAGTATAATACTGTTAGTATACAGCATATTACTGTCATTATACAGCATATTACTGTCAGTATGCAGTATATTACTGTTAGTATTCAATATTACTGTTAGTATACAGTATATTGCTGTTAGTATTCAGCATATTACTGTTAGTATACAGTATATACTGTGTATAATTGGAAAACTGCTTTATTTTGTTTTTTTCTGAGATGCTGTCTCTCTACAGTCAGCTCTGAGTAGCTCCTATACTTATTTCCTTTGTGCATTGTATTGTGCATACAATAAAACTCAGAAATCAAGGATTTGTGGCTGTTTCAATACCTCGTAATTTTTTTGAGTGAGAACACTACAAAAAGACTAAAGAATATACTATAGAACTTGTACAAAGGAGATTGAATCTGTAGAAAGATCTCAAAGAATAAAATATAGTGTTAAAGTTTTGAAAAAATCTAACTATTTCATTTAGTTTGCTTTAACTTTACAAAGTTGGAGTTTTATTGACATTCAGTAGAACACACCTTGTTCCATTTCCCTTTTTCATCCAAAAAAAATATTTTTGAATGTACATCTGATGCACAAAAGACAATCAACAGACAAGAATTCATAAATAAAATCGTCTTTTACACACATAACACAAGCATTTAGCATAGAAATGGGACACATTGTCACATTAAAGGAAAAATAAAACTACCTTGTGAGGACCACATTTGTTTCCCTACATAGAAGGACTGTCCCCATAATTTGTGGGGCTGCAACCAGATATTATTTTATCAGTTTATCTGTTGTTATTTTCTAGATTTCTTTTCTATAAAATATCAGAAAAAATAGTTTAAACTGTCTAAACCAGTCCAAGGTGTCTGTTCTGTCAGTCCAAAACCAAAGATATAAAGTTTAATAGAATATAAAACAGAGAAAAGCAGGATATCTTGGTGTTTGAGAGGCTGTAAACTACATTTTTGTAGTGTTTTGTTGTAAAAACTAGTTTAACAATGAAGCAGTTATCACAGGAGATCTCTGTCAGTCGTCTAATCGATGATTCGACTAATCGCTTCAGCTCTAATAATGTGCGTGAACAGATTTATGGGCTTACAGCGTGATTCGTACAAGTACACACACACACACACACACACACACTGAAGACAACAGAAGAATAACGACATCCAGCAGCAGCAGCTTCCTAATTTCATATTCGTATTCTTAACAGCAGTTGAAACTAACACAATTACAAGCGAGGAAATAAGATCAGTGGATCTGGGAGCCAAGTTGTTGTTTTGTTCAAGACAAATGTGTCCTTAATTTAGCTAAACCCTTCAGAAAGCACGTCTCATGACTGCAAACTGTTGACCATAGCAAAGCTCCAAAGCAAACAGTGCATTAAAGGAGCAGATTTGAACTAATTCATCCATCAGTCGCGTCTGTTGACAAACCATTTACAAACCTGAGGCCTACGTGAGCTCGCTTTGACTCAGCTTGGCTCCCTTTGCCCTGCAGCTGCATATCATTTTATGTGTTTATCTGACACGCAGTGTTTTACCTCTGACTTTAAACTGCAGCGGGAGTCACTCAAGCGAATAATAAATCCCGGCAGTCATCATGCACAGACATGACTCCGTATCGATCAGACCTGTTAGACTGGAGGCAGATGACGCAGAGGGAATATATGGAGATGGAGCTGGATAAGAGGGGTTAAGATTCATGTTATCTGCCTTATGAGCAGTTGATATTCATCACAATGGTCTACAGGAATCAGATCTTCCTTTTATGGTTAGGAATCACCGTAGAAAACCCAGAGCATGTAACTGAGGCAGAACCCTGAACAGATCCAATGCAGCACCTCTACTTGCAAGTCCATTACTGGATCTCTGGCTCCGCCCTGCAGTACAGCAACAACACTGCTCCTTTATTTCCAGCTGGTGAGGATGATGATGATTAACTGGGGCCAATACCCAGTAGAGGACTGCATTGGTATTGTGCTGCAACGCAATGCAAATCTACTGAGAGAGGGTGGTTTTCAATCTGCTGCGGGGAGCGAGTGGTGTAGGTGTACTGCAGAACACCTTTCTCACACACAGAAACACTGTTTAGTTTTTCCTCTTAAAGCCTCCAAGGCTGTTGGTATTTCTCACTTTTGTCTTGTGGAAGGTGTAGAAAGACTAGTTCAGTCACCTGATCAGAGATACACTCTCTGTTCTGGGACCTCCTTGTCCTTCCGCGTGCCTCCGTGGAAAACCTTAAAAAGGGGAGAACACACCCCCTGCACCTGCCAGGCATCATGGAAAGTTTAAGACAAGGAGAGCGGGAGAAAAGACCCAGGGTAGAAGAGCAAGCTTCAATGCAATGTTATTAGAATATAGGTGGGTGGGAAAAGGCTGTAGAGGAGCGGCAGAGATAGGCGGGGGGGCTAAAGCAGCTTAAAAAAGGCGCCATAGAGATTTTAAACAATTGGATTGTTGAAAAAAAAGGGGGGGGGTATTAGTTGATTGTGTATGAAATAAAAAGGGAAAAAAAAAGAAAAAAATGAATTTTTTTTAATAATTGGGATGATATGAAAAAAAAATAAAAAAAAAAAAAAAAAGTGTGCGGGGCCCCCCCTAAAAAAAAGAACAATATCCAAAATTTCAAACCTGAGTCCCCCTCTTTCCCCCCCCCCCCCAGGAGGTAGGGGAGAAGGGGGGGAGCTACACGCTAACTCCCAAAGATCTCACGCAGATGCTTCAACAAACCTGCAGGAGTCACTAAAAAGGATATTTTACCTGCTTGAATGGAACAGATGCAAAACTGAGGATTCAATGTGTCCCTGTACTCGGCGCTGCTTTTACTTTTACTAACTCCTGAATGCATTTTGTTTTAGAAATGAAAAGTTAAATGTATGAGCCTGAGAGCAAGAATCAGAGTACAGCTGTGAAAACACCCTTTGCCCATGAATTCTCTCTTCGATACATACTCAGAAAATATAATTCAAAGCATTCATTCCCGTCCTTGCAAGCAGGTCACATTTAAGTGCAGTTTATGGCTCCATAAAGTCAGCACAGCACTACGATAGATCGGTCAAACGGGAATGAAACCATGAGGTAAATGGTGACATGAAAAAAGTTGCGCACTGAACAGTAAGGTATATTCAAAGCAGTGCACCAGCATTAACCAATAATGCTTACCATGAGGCTAATGTGTGCACATGTGTTCTTATTTAATGTGTTTTTATTGTAATGTTCCTTAATCCAAGACAATCTTCTCCTATATGGGAGACAATAAATAATATACAGTGCAGTGGTGGAAGAAGTACTTTAGCATCAAGCATTTACTTCAGTAAGCAGGTAAAACGTTGTTAAGAAGAACGGATACGTCTGATGATTCTGCCGACAAATCTCATGAAAAGGCAAAACCAACACTGTCAGAAAGGTCAGAGGAGGGGTTAGGATTAAAACAGATGTATCTTAAATTACCTGTAGAGGGTCCAGTGCACTGGTACCAGGGGTCTGCCTTATATAATCACTTCCCACACTCCAAATTATAGTAAAGTTACTTAAAGGTGCAAGGGATTACGGTAAGGGTTAGTCAGAGAGAACTGAGAGAACACCTTCGGGGAATTTGTTGCTTTATTTTTACTGTTTTATTATGTGAATTATTGAGTATATTGGCAATAAACATATTGTAATGATATTCAATTCTAATCTCACCGTTTGGCAGTACCATTGGATGGCCGCGGCTCAGTGGTTGAGATTGGCTGTTTTAAATTATTGATGGCATTCGTATGTAATGTGTGAAGGACACTTATTGAGCAGGATTATATTATCTGCTGTAAATCTAAAATTCAATTCAAATTCAAGAGAACTTTGTTGAGACATTTTGGAGATCCAACATTTCTCAAATGTAAAATACAGAAAGTCACCCAACTGGAACTGTATAAAGCTGCTGATCATCTCTGATTATATAATTGTGGATTTACACCAAGAGGTCACATTTAAATGCATAATGACCGTCTCTGTAGAGGGTGAATAACTCCTGGAGCCAATTTCACGCCTGCAGAGTTTATTGGCAGCTCAGATTTACAGTCAGCTTCTATCCGCCTGCATTCAGCTCAGAAACATTACCAGTGAAAAACAAATCTTCCTCTGCAGCTGGAGTGATGCCGGAAGAGGGAAAAAAAGAGAAAGGAAGAGCTAATGGAGCTGCTGCAGTAAGATAAACTGATGCTGAGCCAGGTCACCTCAGTCTGGACGCCTGCCATAACCTCAGCTTTCCAAACTGTCACTCTGTGCAGCTTCCAGGCTGTAGGAGTCTCAGTGGCTGTAACATGAGCGGCTCTCCAGACAAACACTGTCATCTTATCCCCGCTCGCTCTCATCATGACTTCATGCTCGCTGTGTCACCGGGCTGCTGACAAATCTATCACTCTTTACTTTTGATTCATGCTTCTGATAATCCTTCACCCCCTGATGCTTTATTGTTTTACTCTGCACACTTGTGAAGGAGGGATTTTGTTCCTCGATGTGTCTTTTGAGTGTAAATAAAGGTTGACACTATTTTCAAGCTTTTTATTGCACTGAATGGACTGCTTCTAATGGATAGGACTCTTTATTTGTTGAAATGTGACCTCTTACAGTAGTTACTTTTCAGAAATTTAAACCAAAGCATGTAATAAACCAAAAAACACACCACACACTGTAAAAACAGCTGAAAACTGAAACTGATTACATCAACATCTTTAAGTAATAAAAACTAAATTTTTTAGGTTAAAAAGATTCTTAAATAATAATATTAATTATAATAATAATGCAAAGAGTTACTAAATAAATTCATAAGTTAAATAAGGTAAAAAAAAAAAAGTTAATTCAACTAAAAAACGGATTACATTGAATATTTTAACTAAAACAAACTCAATTTTGTAAGTACAAGAAATTCTTCATCAAGTAGCTTTAGTAATTTTAAGTGACACTGACTTAATTTTTTAATTTATATATAGAGACTATTTCTGTAACTTAGTTAAGTTAGTGTCACTTAAAATTACAAAAAAAAATGCTTCAAGAGTTTTTTAAAACTTAAATTGAGTTACATTACTTAAAGTTCCCGTCTCAACAGTTATTTTGAGTGAATAATTCTTCTCTTTAGACAAAAAAATGACTAATTTCCCAGAAACATCATTCTGCAGAGTGAAGCTCAAACATCACACTGTAGTAAGAAGAATCCCTGATTATTTGAATGAGGAGGTAAATGTAAATAAATCTATATTGATCAGCAGGTCTGTTATATTGGTTGCAACTTGCTCTCACTTTAATATCAGTAACTAGTAATTCTGCCATGAAATATTTTCTCGTTATCTTATTGACTGATATCTTATTTCTGCGTTATTGATTCAACTCATACCAAAGCAGTGAGTCTATCTGGCATATTCTGCATTATTCTCTCAAATTAAGACTTGTATTTGACTTTTTAAGGTAAAGCAAACAGGCACAAATGGCAACAGAATTACCCCAATCGGTCAGCTCTGAGATGGACAACATGAGCACACATTAACTGCAGGACTGAGGCTGAAGCTCATCACAGATGAAGATAAACTGCAAGGATGCGGGGGAGGATTTGCTTTTAGAAGAAGGTTCTGGATTGAACCGATCGCGTCATAGATAAAGAGGTTCCTGTAAACATTTTAAAATGTATGAGCTTAATTTCTTTTGGTTGCTGTGTTTCAGGCCACATGCAGGCGCTCTTGGTCGACTTTAAGAAGATCTAACTTATCTTTATTTATTAATTTACCAATTAAATTTACCTTTTTTCTTCTGCTTTCCCCTCTTTTCTTTGCTTGTACAACTTTTATTATGGCTTTTAGGAATGATGATTAAGTAAGGGATAATGCCCGACGAGTCATTAATGCGTGTTGGATTTATATTTGCATGCATTTTACAATCAAAATCTAAAATGTTTTACATGATTGAAATCACAATATAGTCAAGTGCAATATGCAAACCACAGGAAGCTGCAGTTGTTTGATAAAAGCTAAAATGTGACAAAACAGCAATATAATGAAATACTGTAGTTCTAAGGAGACCCTGGTCTATAAATCTTGTTCTCTAGATTTAAGAAAGTATGTTTGTTTGGTTCAAACAACAAATGTCACATCATCATGATTTTAATAGTTTTACATTTGTGATGCAAAGATGATCATTCTAGCACTAAACTCTGAATCACATTAAAATATCTGTCAAATAATTGCAATATGATGTTTTTACCATATCATAAAGTCCTAATAACAACCAAAACTTCCTTTTCACATCCATAATTTGCTTATTACACTTATTTTTCATTCATTTCCTTTTCTATCTTTCTCTTTCACTTCCTGTGATTGTCCTGCATTGACTAAAATCTATTATGTCATTATTTCATGCTGTCAGTTTGTATGATTAAACAGATGTTTTTTAAAAAGTAGAAACACTCACTTGTGTCTGTTGTTCATCACCAACACAGCATGTCTGCCCTCTAGCGGACGTGTCATATAAATACAACGAGTGTCTCACACAGGAGAGGTTGATGAACTCGTTGACTGCAGACTCTCTCTCTGCAGATAATTGGTGGTGCGCTAATTTGCAGAGACTTGAGATGCTTGAAAACACACACACACACACACACACACACGCACACACGGATGTTGTCCAATAAAACACAGTTTCACAATATTAAAGGGCGAGTTCACCCAAATTACACCAACCCCCCACACCCCCACATTTTCTAACTCTATATCAGCAGATAGTTTTGGTTTGAGATATGGGGCTTTGGGGAATTCATCAAAGCATCAAACTAATTTTAGGAAATTATTGCACAACATTTATTTTGTCGACCCCTTGAAAAAAAATACTCCAGAGCTTGGTGAGCTCAGATGTTGGTGCAGCCATCCTCACTGAGGGTGGTGGGACTTGTTAAGTCAGGACTTGTCTCCTCTTAATAAGACATGAGCTCCCCTGAAAACATGATTTGTGATTGTTTTTTGGGGGTGAGGGGAGCTCTAACTTATGGACAGTATTCTATTTTTGCCTTGCATTTTTATTTTTCTGTGTCTTCTTCCTCATGGATCACGTGTAAGTTTAGACTATTGTTGATGTATGATTGATGCATGAGGGTGAGTCATCGGTCAGTGTACTTTTTTGCTTTGAAATGAGAAAACCAGAAATGGGAAATGAGCAGTTTTCAGTTTTTTGTTTTGAAACAAAAAAAAGAAAATGAAAGAACGACGAACAAACGTTTTGTTTCTCATATTTATAGTTGGGAAACAGCCAGCAATGCTTTTCTCATTTCAAAACCAAAATCGTAAACCTAACTTTATACAAAGATCGGGAAAAAAATCATTTATTTGTCCCATTGAGTCATTGAGCCAAGAATGATCTCCTGCGAAAGCTATCGTATAGTTCCCATACTGCTCTTGTGGATAACAATCAGAAGTGCCTGTGAATACCGACCCATTTCAGGCACTGGGGTGACCCTCAAATGCAATAAAACTAAAATAGCGAGCCTGTTTTGAAAATGTAAGTAGCAGATAGTACAGATGAGTTGTACAGATATCTGTAAAAAAATACTTAAGTGCAATTACTTCCCACCTCTGCAAACCTTTCTGCATCCCCCTGATCTAAAGTACTGTTCATTAAGTCAAGGACGCCACCAAGCAGGGCGATACACAAAACTATTCAGTGTTGGTGGTTGGATATTTAGTTTGAGGTTTTTTTGAATAGAGTTAATTATTTTGTGTGCGGACAGCGAAGGCCGATGTTTGAATCACTGACCTGCTGGCAAACATCCAGACACCATCCAGAGATCTTTTCTATCCATAGTCAGACCATCATTGACTCTAACTCACACGTGTTCGCAGGCCGGGGTCAACGACATGAAACAGATCATAAACACGCTGAAGGTCGAGCGTGGAGTCATCCTCGCCGACGTCCTTCGTGAACAGAGCTTGAATTTTAGTTTGTGATCAAACATATTCTCAAAAAACTGACGAGGATTTCAGTGAAAACCGTTACTAGAGAAGTATTGATCGTATAACTTACACCCCCGCCCCAATGAAGCGTGCGGTTGCCCGAAGCTGTGAATAAATTGCTCATGTTGCTGTGTCACGCACATTGGCCGAACTGGGTGAACACACTGACACACATAACTGCATGTGGAGTCTGTAACTGCTGCCCAAATTCTTGGTGCTTCGTTATCGAGCTTCAGCGCTCGCAGATATCGTCAATCATAGAAGGATTCCTGCGATAAAGACTCACCTTCAGATCAAATAACTAAATAATTTACTCAGTCAGACCCTGAACACCCCAGCTGTTCCTCATCCCCCCCAGTCTCCCCCCTCCACAGCTGTCTGAGAGTCCCCACGGCCTCCTCATCAAATCAATGTCATGCAGCGAGCGTTGATACCCAAGGATAGGAAAGTCGGAATCAAAGTGGTAGTCATGGAAACAACCCAGGCCTGGTTTCAACCCACCAATCGATGAGGTTCTGTGTGCATGGCGATGGGCCGGATGTGGCGAGGAGGAACCCCCTGTCCCACATTCTGACACACAGACCCCCCGCTCGTCCTCCACAAGCAGGGCAAACACAAATCCAGACACGGTGGAGGAGGACGAGTGAGAAAGGATGGTGAAACAAGTAGTTCAGATCTGCGCTGGGATGCTGTTCTTGGCTCTGTGCGTGCACTCGGGGGCAGCTGCTGCAGGTAAGTTCAGTGCTGCTTCAGCTATCGGCTCAGATATCATTAAGCAGGATGTGTGCGGCGTTGGATTATTTGTAGTCTGATCTAGTTTAATTTGAGGTAAGTTTGCGGCAAAACAAATAATTGACTGAGTTGGTTGCTGGATGATTCTGGGTGTGTAGGCCAGAGGCGATGTAGCAAATGAGTGTTTGATATGATTTTCAGACTGATAATAGTAATTATGTGTGAATGTCTCCTCGTGAAAATAAAAGCTAATAAGGGACTGTATGAAAATGAATAGGAGGGTTTAGAAAATGTGGCTAAAGGGTAGTTCTTTAATTCATGTTTTTATCATCCTGGATTTCTATTTTAATTCAGCCTACCTTTGTAACATAGCTAACAGTTAGATCATACACACTAACAACATTAGTGAGGCTGCATTTTGACTTATATTTTGCAATTTAACTTCTAATAAAATATGAAAATTGCTGGGGAGGGTCCAAAAACATTATATTTAGCTTCTCTCTTAACTTAAATAGTCCCTAATAAGGTATTTATTAGTTAAACCTACAACAGCAGGTTATCTACGTCCCTTATTTGACAAGTTAAAAGTTGAAATGTAACAGCTTTTTTCTCTGTATTTCCTGGGTGAACCGACCTTTGAATATCTTTCTTCCTCCAGGCTTTAGACTTTGGTGAAAACTTTTTATTTTGCCCAAACAAAGAAGATCTCTGACTGACTTACTGACTACATTCGGCTGTGTGCGCCAGAAACTGCACCTAGGCTGTGATTTCAAGCAAAACCCACTACTGAGTTTGTGCCATGTTCCGTTTTTATCGGGGGAAAGGAAGTGCCAAATATTTATCCTGAATCAGAAAGAGGAACCACACTTTGCGAGAATGAATCAAGGCTCAGATGGCGGCGGTTACAGTAACGGCGGGCACTGCAGAGGAGAGGAGGTGGAGGAGGGGTGGTGTGCCTCAGCTGAGACAAAGCTTTAATTAAACGTGACCCACAATCCCTCATTATCCAGACAGCGAGTGCAGCTGGACTGATCAATGGCATGGATTTGGATGATAGTGCCCCAGTATCTGCCCCAATAAATAACTGACATGCAACCTCTGTACATTCCTCTAAGACAGAAAACTTTTTCTTTGGTATTTACATCTTTGAAACCTTGCTTTAATCTAATTCTCACTACTTTACAGTCTTATAACTCTATGTATTCCCCTCCACCAGGCATGCTGAGAGTCGACGGGGCCCAGGATGGCGGTGGCGGCAGCGCGGACACCATCAGCCACTCCCTGACCCTGGTGCAGCGTCTGGAGGCCCTGCTGGTTCAGGGCAACGGCAGTGACGTGTCGCTCAGGGTGGAGACGCCCAGTGCAGACGAGGTGAAGGTGATCCAGACTCACTCGCTGGTGCTCTCCCTGCAGAGCCCCGTGTTCGAGGAGATGCTGCTGAGCCGCAACAGCAGCACGCTGGTACTGAAAGAGAGCTCCGACTGTGCCGCTGTGTTTGATAAGTTCATCAGGTGAGACAGAATATATGTCCCTTAGAGTCACATCCTACATCTGCTTCACCCAGTTTGAGTACGTTATCACGCCCTGTAGAGGGGTGAACGCCCCACATCTGAGACAAACAATCACTGATGAGTTCAACATAAAACAAACTGATCAATCAGTGAGCTGCTGAGTTGCTCAATAGCAGCTCCTGTGGTGGAGCAGTAAGACCCTGTGGAGCCCGTGCTGCAACAGCAATCAATAACAAAATCTATTTTTATCTCAAATGCTAATTAGGTTGATCAAAACCTGATGAACTACAGACGACCTGACTTTGGCCAGACGGAGAAAAACTTCTTTACACTGAATGCCAAAATACAATTTTGGAAAGAGATGCCTTATGTTACCTATTATTCTCACTAACGCTCCAATAATTCATATTTTCATATTAACAATGAATCAAACAACTATGTAATTCGAAAGGGGTCGCAACAAAGTTTTTTAACCTCTTTTAGCTCATTGTTTTGTTTTTGGTAGAGCGTGTCCCCATGTATAAAGAGTCTTCACCTGTCACTATCAGATAAAAGCAGTAAAAACCCCAAAACTTCCAGTTGTCTTGTCTCAAAGTAAATAGTTTTTTGGGGGTTTTGTTGAGATGCCTGAAATAAAGTCTGTGGTTAACACGAGTTTAAGAGATTTACACATTTTGTTTTGGTGATGATAGTGAAGTCATGCAAACGCGGTGTAGTTAGTTTATAGACTAACGTTAACTTTTTACTTCTTGGGATCGCATTTATGGTTAAAAAAACATAAAAATACAGTTAATTTGTGAAGATTATCCCACTGAACAAAATATCACAAACCTTTGTTCGCCACATTTACAGTTTATATAATGAACAAAGCTTCTGTCTGTGAAGTGTCTTAAACCTGCATTCTATGTAATGGCCAGCAGGGGGAGCGCCAATGGCTGCAAAAAAAGGCTTAAGGAGAAATGAGCCGACTTTCACTTGATTTATTAGCCACCATTGTTTCTAGTCAAAACTGCACAGCCAATGAGAGCAGCTCAACTCGAAGTACGTCACCTCCGCTGGCTCCAAACTCGAGCCAATGGGTAACGTCATGATAGGTTCGCCACAGAGCTTATTTTCTGCAATAATCCAAATCCTTTTTGTCAAAGAAACCAGGACGATGCTAACTTCTGGGTCGGCTTACAAAAAGACGTCATCACCGCAGCACCCTATAAACCTTCTGTGTAATACCAGCCAAGTACCAAATGGTAGACAAAGTTAGTATTTAACAAAGAAACAAAGAACTAAAAGGAGAGTGGACTTAAATTCATCAGGTGGACATACAGGACTCCAGTGGGATGATAAGGTTGCTCCTTGTCTGCTGGATGTTGGATAATGTAATCTAGGGTTGTGGTTTCAACTTGTTATTTTGCCCCCAAGTAGCCAAAAATAAGTTTTTGCAGCTTTAAAGTAATGGTGTGGGTAAAAACATTTGCGGAGCTGTTTCAGGCTGAATGGTCACATTCTATTTTACAGAAGTAGAAAACGTTGTTCTTTAAAAGCTCCTACATGTGCAACCAACCTCTACTTCCTCTCTCTGAGCAGGTATCTGTACTGTGGAGAGATTTCTCTGCGTCTGGACCAGGCCATACCTTTACACAAGCTGGCCACTAAGTACCAAGTGATGGGTCTTCAGCAGGGCATCACCCAGTACATGACCCAGAATCTTGCCCGGGACTCCTCCTCTGGCCATGTGGCGGGCTGGTACGAGTACGCCCTGCAGGCGGGGGACGTGACTCTGAGGGACAGCTGTCTCCAGTACATGGCCTGGAACCTGACGTCGGTGCTGCAGAGCGCAGAGTGGGTGACCATCAGCAGCCAGCTGCTCATGTCCCTGCTGCAGCGCTCGGACCTCATCCTGCAGAGCGAGATGGAGCTCTTTGCAGCGCTGGAGGCCTGGATTATCCAGAATGAGCCGGACGGTCTGACAGCGGAGAATGCTTTGAGAGCTGTGCGCTACGCCATGATGCCGCCACGGGAGCTCTTCCGCCTGCAGACCCAGTCATCAGTCCTGGCTCGCTACCAGGAGTCGGTGCGCGACCTGCTGTACATGTCCTACCAGTTTCACTCTGCGTCGCCGCTGCACATGGCCAAATACTTTGATGTGAACTGCAGCCTCTTCATGCCCAGGAACTACCTATCGGCAGTGTGGGGGTCGCCGTGGATCATCAGCAACCCAACGCGGGACGACCGCAGCACCAGCTTCCAGACCCAGCTGGGTCCCAGCGGCCACGACGCCAGCAAGCGGGTGACTTGGAACGCCCTGTTCTCACCACGCTGGTTGCCCCTCAGCATGAGGCCGATGTACACGGAGACGGGCGCCATGCAGCCGACACGTGTGGAAGGAGGGCGCCCTCGGATCATCATCACACCGGCTACGTCCAGTGCAGATTTCGCCGGGGTGAACTTCCAGAAGACGGTGCTCGTGATGGCTCAGCAGCAGGGGAAGGTGGTGGTGAAACACGTCTACAACTTCCACCAGAGCACGGAGGAAAACGGCGATTTCTTGGCCGAAGCCGACCTGTACCGCCGGACGTCTGATTACCTCATGGACAGCTCCCTCTTCCTCCATATTGTCGTGAAGCCACTGTACCAGACCCTCATAACCACCAAGAACTGACCCCCCCCCGGGGCTCTCTGGGCCACCGTACCTCACCGCACACGATCCAACCCTCTAGAGCGACTTCTCACTCATATCACATCATGGGGACGTGGATCTGAATCCTCCTCGTGTGTGATATTTGGATCTTGTCTCATACAACTTCTGTTTTCATTGGGCAACTAACACGCTATCGCCTGACTCTTTACTGAGTGTAAAATCATTCTGAATCTCTTATAGGATGAGTCTGGTGCAGTTGTATAGTTTTATTACTGACCACAAATCCCATGAAAAGACCAAAAACCAACAATGAGTTGATCCTTACGAGTATTGTGTGTGTATCAAAGCCTGATATATCCTTTTCCTCTTCCTCTGTGCCATAGAGCTCCAAAACACCTCAGTGAGCCACACTGTTGCACTAGGTTACATGTCCCAAATACTCACTAGAGTAACAAATGTGGATTAATCCGCCTCTGAAAATAGTCCCCAATAAATTTCCTTCAGTTTGAGAAACGTTTGATTAAAAGAAATCACTTTAAAAAAATTAAACTAAACATTTGTGAGCCGTTTTTTAAAGATTATTGAACCTGACAGACGGACAAACACACTGTTGTTTTCATGGGATTGGTTGACAATAAGACAACTACAGAACATCACCGGCTGTATCCATGTTCCTGCCACACTGTCTTTGTATTGTTTTTTAATGTATTGTTAATATTGGTGCTATTTTACCCTGTTTACGTTCGTCATTCATCACCCAGTAAGCACTGATTTGGTGATTTGCAAATCAAACTATATTTAGATGTCTAGGTTATAACTGGGCTGAATTTGGTTTTTACTTTTTACTTTAATATATTTATAAAACCACTCTTACAAGCCTTCACACCACAGTAGATGTCAGAGTACCTTGTTGTTAGCACATTAATGTGATTGACGTTACCTAGATTCACTGTTGCATTAATCAATGTTACCTCAAAGTAAAGATTTTTAATAAAGTTTTAAAAATAAATAGTTAATTGTCCTGATTGTCATTATTTAATTCCTCCATCACTTTAATATAGCGATATGTTTTCAGGTATTTTACTGAAGTCAATTGTATTTATAAATTACTTTGTCTCAGAAGGATTTATATACGATGTGACACCTTTATTCCCAGTCTATACAGGTAAAGATTCATCATTATTATTATATTAGATATCATTATTATTATTTCTTGAATAAAAGGAGCGACATGAAAAGATTCTCCATTAGAAGCAAAAGTCTGCATTTACAGAGTAAAAGTACGTAAGTATTGTCAGGAAAATGTACTTATTTATGTAAAAGTGTGTTAAATTAGAATATACAGTATTATAAGATATGATAAAATAAGATGTTCCTTTATTGATCCTCTGTAGGGAAAATGTAGAGCAAAGATTATAAAAGGATAGAAAATATAAATTATAAAAAATAATACACAATAAAGTTTATATTGCAATATTATAATATTAAATATTATATAATAGGATTATTGTTACAGTTGCGTGAATGTGTACGAAGAATTTTAATTAAAGGTAATATTAAAATATTGATTAATGTGCTGTTGGGAACTTTTTAAAGTGTAACTAAGTGTATTTATTCTATTACTTCTTTATTATTAAGTACTGCTCCTTCATCTCAGAGAGAAACATTTTAACAAATATACTCTAAATGTACTCTTACTACATTTCTCTGACAGCTGCAGTGATCTTTATAGTTATATTTTACATAACAACATGTAATCAGTGTATAAAACATGATGCATTATTAAGATTAAACTACATTATATAAAATAATTGAAACTAAAAATAAAAAACTCCACCTGGAACACCTACATGTTAATGCATTAGTAATAACTTTCCAATAATATGATATTAAAGTATATTTATAGGTTTTACTTTTGATATTTATAGTACATTTAGCTTTTACTGAAAACAGGACTTATTATGTATATTATTATAGCATTAATAAACTGGTATTACTACTTTTACTTAATTAAAGGACCTGACTACTTCTTCCATTGTAGAGTAATCTGTAATATTACATCATATTTTATGAGCTGATCATATATTTTGTATTTAGAAATCTCCATTTGCAAAATACTACACTGCAATAAACGATTCTGTGGTCATGTAGATTTTAAATAATGAATTAAGTAAAATATATTTAATATAATGGTGTAATTGGTGTCCTTATTTCAGTAAAAATCAAGTGTTTGGAATAAAAGACACTTTTTCTAGTTAAATAAAAGCATTCTGTTTATTTAATTACTAATATAGAGAGTGAATCCAACCTAATGTAATTACACACAAAGACCGCTTCCTGTCAAATTCACTTTCAATTCAATTCAATTATTTATAATGTAGGTGATTATACTCAATTATATATCATGGATGTCCAAAATTTAATTAAAAGTAAAAGTATTATTAAAAAACTCTGTTTTTTTACATCAACTCAACTCTATTTTTGCTTTCTCGTTGCATCCACTCATATTAAATGGCTAACTAGAAAGTGCCTGATTTAAATTATATTTACTCAAAAACCAAACATATAACAATATTATATCTAATTAATAATAGTGAGTATATATGGTGTATGTTTTCACAGTGGACACAAGAATAGCAGCAGAATAAACACAAACATTAAGTTATTCATACAGTACAAGCATTTTTAAAACGGTGCTAAAGTTGAGTGACTGTCACTGCTCAACACACCTGCACCGAGACGTAAATAAGCTCGCTGTTATGACTACATTTCCCAGACTCCTCTGCGCTCCAAGCAGGAAGAACGTTCTCTCGCAGGGGCTCACACTGATCCAAGTTAGGAGCTTTCAGCTGCCAGCCTTGGCCCATCATGTAAGTGCTGCGGAGAATTCTTTGCAGTGCAATTGCAAAATAACCTCTTTCCCCGTCGCCGGTGCGCGCTGTGCACTTGTACCCGCGCGGCCCGCACGGACACGCACGCTTCGGACGCAAAAAGGCTCCAAGTGCATGAAGATCGAGGCTCGTATTTTGCATCTTTTGTTGCAAAGCGAGCCGCTGAAGCTCCAGTGCGAGGGCGATGGAGGGAGGGAGTGAGAAAGAAGGCAAAGTCTTTTGTGCTTCCCCTCCCCCTCATCAAAGCAAAGGGGAAATGTCTCAGCCGAACCGAGGTAAGAACACTGAACCGATCCGTGCAAAACTACCGACGTGCAATCACGGCTGCACGGTGTGCAACATGCACCGCTGCAGGTCGAGCACGGCCGGTGCATTTTAAAGTTACATGGTTTTAGAAGGGTCAGTTGCATTTCCTGTTTCAGATCTTCCCCTTTGCACAGTTCCTGGTAAGACGATGCTGTCTGTGCTCGCTCAGATTGACGTTATTGGTGGCGCGCGGGCAGGGATGTGGGGCGCCTTTAACAGTCACGAGATAGACAAGGACACTGCAACTCTTTATAATAAACTCTGCACGAGTTGATGCACGGCTCGTGCACGTTGCGCAAGGTAAATAACGAAACCCGTGTCGCGTGCAGGGCTGTAAATATGCGTAGTTTTGGTGCAGGGGGGGTGGGGGGGGTGGGGGTTAGGCAACATGACAACCTGCAGCTGTCAGTGGGCAAGTTTTTTTTTTAATGGGTTCAGATTTGTTTTCTGCTTATGGGATAGAAAATCTAATAATAGAATTTCTTGTGAGCATTTAAGTGGTGGTGAGTTCAAGAACGGGGGGGGGGGTGTTTAGGCTATCCAAGCCTGACCAGTGTCAAACCCCTGGTGTCCACAGCGTGCATACAAACACTGCGTGTCACACTTTGACCCCGGCTTTATCACCAGTGCAGCAACAACAGGAGAGAGAGTGAAACGTCCTGCAGCCTCTGAGAGTCCATCAGTGAGCTGCACAGACGCCTGAGCTGCAGTGAAAGCAGCTCAGGCGCTTTTCCTCCCCGCACAGTGTTTTCCAAGAAGTCCAAAGTGAGGCTTGGTTCATTGCACAACATGCAGAGCACACACACACACACACACACACACAGAGTCAGAGGCTGTACAGGATGTGAACAGGTAGGAGAAGAGAGCCCCCGATGGTCAGAGCCTCGCAGTGTTTATCTGCTACAGTCAACCGTCCGCCCACCAGCAAAAAGGAACTGCCTCGGTGCAGCCAGTCGCTCTTCTGATGAATAATGCAGGTTTTAGGGTTTTAGAGTTGAAGGAGGCGGTTCCTGCTCGGTGCAGAACGCGGTTCGTATCCGTCGCTGAAAGGAACAGTCGATTAATCGCTCGGCGTTTCGCTCGGAGTAGTTTTGGTCTTGACTAGAAAAATGGTGCCGGCAGTGAATTTACTTCTGTTAGTCACCTTTGGAAGCCAAATAAACCTGCTGCAGATGAAAACATGAATCTTTCAGAGTGTCGACACTTTAAACATTTGGAATTAAACTCGTATGTACGTTGTTTACTGTTTGTCGTCTGTCTGGTTGCGTGCTGTGTTTGCTCTGGTGCCTTTACACGAACTTCCTACGGCATAAGTAAACTTATTTAGAATTAAATTGACGTTAAGACGAGAACTATAAGAACTATTTTGATCATTTGTTCATTAAGTCAAAGGCTCTTGGCTGTTATTTGTGCTGTCATTTGGATTTCTGCTGTTTCTGTGACAGTAAATTTAATACTTCTTTATTTTGGACTGTTGGGCGAACGAAGCAGACAATCTGATGACGTTGCTTTGGGCTTTAGTAAAGTGTGATGGGTGTTTTTTCACAGTTTAATGGCTTTTTATAAACTAAATTATTAACTGACAAAAGAATAATTGACAGATATTAAGTCATTTATTAATAAAGTATGCTAAACAGTTGAGTTTTATTTCATTGTAAATTGAATGTCGTTGGGTTTTTGTCGGACTAAAACATTAATCTGGTAAAAAAAAAATGACGTTGAATTGTCGTTGCTACAGTTGTCACTTTTTCAAAAAACACACAGAATTTGAATCAATTTGAAGAAATGTAACTTAATCCAAACTACGTTGTAGCGTTGGTGTTCTTTAGTTCATTTGAGCGGCAAGCTAACGAAACAAAATGCTAACAAAATGGCAGTTCAGTCAATGATCGGCTGCTAACAGTTGATTCAGATTTGTTGTTGTGATAATGTAACCTTTTTAATATGATCTCAGTTTAACCTAACTACATTGTACAACTGATGTTTCTTTGTTCTTTCATGGTGCCAAACGCTACTGTAAGGCTACTGTAAAGCTACTGTAGTCTTTATGGATTGTTTTTATGTCTGTGGTTTGTTGTTATTTGTTCAGAATGGCTCGCTTGTTTCCTCCATTTTTCTTTAGCAAAGCGAACAACGGTCTTTTTACTGAGTACCGGTGTAGTTATACACTCAGAAACTTCAAATTCATGAGATTATTACAGAACTTTTTTGAGGAAAATCCCACTGATAAACCCGCTGTACGCTACCTGCTCGGCACTGAATGCCATGAAGATAAAGTTAGCAACTAGCTGATGTAGAAAGTGGAGCGTTTAGCAGCTAAAGAGCCAGATGTGTTTGTCGGGGTTGGTGGAGACCAAAAAAGAGATAAAACAAGAGGGAATATTGGACTTCATTTCATTATGTGGACAGAAAAATGACTCCAAAACAAATGCTAATGTTGCTCTGTGTCTGCAGGATGAATAAATAGATTTGCTAACACAACTTAATAAGACAATAATGTGTCAGTGTTAGACTTACAGCTTGTGGCACCGGTTAAAGCACATTTAATTTCTGCAAAAACATTTTTTTCCTTTTCGCTAAATAAAGTTCTCTAATGTTGAATATTGTCAGAATCTGTACAAGCGTTTTTGAAATAAGTAAACAGAATTATAAACCCGACCGGAGGTTTGATACCAATTTACGGCACTAGACCGTTTTCGGTACTCCGTGTTAATCTACACTCCCTGTTACTTGCAGCCCTGCACAGATTGTACAACACAGCAGTGGTGTATAAACTGAAGGAAATGAGTACGAATCTGCAAAGCTAAAATAAGCATCATGTGCCCGTGTGTTTTATTTAAACCGAGCCAGACTGAGACCAAGTGCCTTCACCCTGCTGCTGGTTTCCTTCTATTCTCATATCGGCACAGATGCATGTTAAGTCTTGCGTCTCCTTCTCCAGCGCTGCCCTGTGTGGCCCCGGACAGTTTTTGCCCTCACCATTGTGCGCTGTGCTGTGCTGAGTGCGGCAGTGTGCTCGGCTGGCCGATGGCAGCGTGACAGCAGCCCTCCCAGCTCGTGTCCCCCCCTGCAGCCTCGGCCGGCCCTCGCGCCCCTGCACAAATGTCCCGTTTGTCATGCAAATGGAGGCTGCGTTTTCAGCTGCACGGATACTAAATTTGCTGTTTCGACGGGCCAATTGTTGGTCCAGTTCCAGGCCTCTAGTGGCTTTTTTTGCTGCAATAACAGTAGAATTGTTCAGAGCATTGTGCAGATGATCCACTAACGTACTTCTCTTTTCATGCATGCATGCATTCTGACTGCAGCAACTGATGGCAACAATATTTGGGACATTTTAAATAATTCTTGTGTATTCCAGCTTTGTCACAGGCGTGCGTGCGTGCAAGCAGAGGTGTGCGCTGCAGTTGAAAAAGACTGAGCGTTTGCTGAAAATGAGAGACACATAAATCCAGTTCAACCTGGAGTAACCTTCGTGGTTGTGATGGCAGCAGGTTTCCAGATTTTGCCGCTGAAATGTGATGAGAATGGGGGAGGGAGGGGTGCTGCAATGTAGCACAGCCTTGCAATGCAAGATAGTGGATGCAAATAATGTAATTTATTACAGGTAGATAGAGATCTGCTAATGGCACCCTGAGCTCCAACCAGCAACTCTTCTGTCTGTTAAATATACGAAGACTGAAGCTACAGTTCCCCTTACTCTGGACGGGAATACATTAAATGTAGACTTTAGTGGCACACGATACGTCAGCAAACGAGGATTTAATTATTGCCAAACATTTCACTCCCCACTTGGGTGGTGATTTAGGAAAGTGGCTGCACTGGCAGCTATTTTCTCAGGGTTGAATTTATTTTAAAACTGTTGTAATTGCATGAGAGCAGTCTGAAGGTGCTCCTCACGCTGACATTACCCAACAGTCAGCAGTTTTTACACCTGTTTGCTTTTTTTTTTGTATTTTCACTTGTGTTTTTCTGCTTGTGTTGAATAAAACAACTCATCACCAGCTCCAATTAGCACCTCAGCAGTGATTGGAAAGAAGAAACATTTCAGTAAATTGCCAACTTGTGCTTATTTCGTGTTTGTTTGTATGTGTGTAGAAAGTCCCTTTTTAAGTACATGGAATATTTGCTACCAAGTATGGCTGCAACTACAGATTATTTGCATAAGCAGTTCATCTCCTGATACATTTTTGAATAATTGTTTAATTTATAAAAGTCAGAAAATTGCACACAGGCGCTCACAGCGGATGCCCACGCGGTTCTGTTGGGTTTCTGTGTACACGATAGGGGTGTAAGACAATATTGTATTGCGATATTTTATTTAGCGATACTGTATCGACTTTCAGAAACTATTGATTAGATAGCAGTGTTGTAAATGTAAATTGATGCCTGTGATGTTGGATGTCACAGCGACTGTGATAAAAACATATATCACAATATATTTAATCGTAACCTGTGTATCTTTATACGTCAGATTCTTACCGATTCACAGCCCCAGTACACTGATATGTTCTCCCAGATTGTGAGCACGTACGCGAGCAAATAACAATATTTATTTATACCCGGGTGGCCGCGGGGATGTAGAAGTTGAAATAGATCTTACATTATGTCTGTGTCTCAGATCTGTTTCAGGCTGCATCAGTATAAGTGAAGTATTTTGCAGTCCATCAGTGTGAGTGTAAAGGACACTCAACTCCGTTTCTTTCTGCTGGATCCTCTTATAAATTAATCTCGTGCATTATGGGCTGTGTATTGGAAAAAATCTGACGATAAGATGCGTATCATGATTCAGTATACTGCAATGAAGGAGAACTTGATACAGCATTGGGGGCGAGCTCCGTTCATTCCTGCGGCGCATTAAGCCGACTTCTGCCGGCCAAGCCGCTAACTTCCGATTTAGCCATCTGCTAACTTGAATGGAGGTCAGATGATTTAATCTACAGCTCTTCTAGACTTTACGAATGTTATCGGA